ATCTATCTATCTATCTATCTATCTATCTATCTATCTATCTATCTATCAAATTTCTATACCGCCCTACTCCCGGAGGACTCAGGGCGGTGAACAGCCAAGATAAAATACAGATAATACAAATATTAAAAGTCCCTTAAAATTATTAAATATTTTGGCCGAAACACAGATTAAAACACCCAATTTATAAAATCAAATGAATTAAAAATTTAGAAGAGGAGAGTTAGGCCAGGCTAGCCTGCTGAAATAAAAAAGTTTTGAGAGCACGATGAAATGTGCGCAGATCTGGGATCCTCCGTATCTCTGGGGGGAGCTCGTTCCAGATGGTAGGTGCCCCCACAGAGAAGGCTCTCCCCCTGAGGGCCACCAGTCGAAACTGTGTTGTTAAGTTAGTACCACGGTTGTAAAGTGAATCTGACTTCCCCATGGACTTTGCTTGTCAGAAAGTCTCAAAATGTGATTACATGAGCCTGGGGCCCTGTGACCTTTAAAGCCCTACATGGCTCAGGGCCAGGTTATCTTCGAGACCGCCTTCTGCCGCATAGCTCCCAGCAACCGGTAAGATCCCACAGAGTTGGTCTCCTCCGGGTCCCGTCAGCTAAACAATGCCGGCTGGTGGGCCCGCGGGGGAGGGCCTTCTCTGTGGCTGCCCCAGCTCTCTAGAACCAGTTACCTCCTGAGGTCAGGACCATCCTCACCCTATTGGCCTTCCGAAAAGCGGTGAAGACCTGACTTTTCCAGCAGGCCTGGGGCCGTTGATCTTGCTCTTGTGATCTGGCGAGATCCGGCCATGAATGGCGTGAATGAGTTTTTAATGTTTTTAATTTTTCAATGTGTTTTTATAATTATTTTTTAAAATGTATTGTGAGCCACCCTGAGTCTTCGGAGAAGGGCGGCATATAAATTTAATTAATTAAATTAAATTAAATTAAATAAATATGAAATTCAGTTGCCAAGCATCTGAATTTTGATGATGTGACCATAGGGAGGCTGCAACAGTTGTGTGAAAAATGGTCGTAAGTCACTCTTTCCAGTGCCGTTGTAACTTTGAATAGTCACTAAACAAGTGGTCATAAGTCAAGAACTACCTGCATAGCAAAAGTGCAATTTAATAAACCCACCTTGGAATGGCTTCATGAGGTTCACATGCAGAGGAAAGGCTGCAACAGCAACGACGATACGTGGCATTTTAATTTTGTCCCAGGAAGATCACCAGGTGGTGGAAAGTCCAGTTTGCCTTTGAGCAGTCAAGGTGCCTGCCAAGGTGCCTCTCCTGAAAAACGCACCCCATCGCTCCTTCATCCATAAACACCCACACCAACCATAGTGAATTTGTACTGGGCATCATCACACATGGCCTTCAGCACCTTAGGAATGATGTCCTTTTTACTTCAAATATTCGCTGCCGGAACGAAGTGTTTTCCGTCGATTGCTCCGACACAATTTGGAAAATTCCGCGGCGTCAAAAAAATCCGCTGCGATGTTCAGCCATTGCTGTAGGACGCCAATTCATCCCGCTGCGGCTTTCCAGATGGCTTAGCAAACTTCAGTCAGAATTAAAGATACCGTCATGGTTTCCATCTTGTAGCTTGCAGCCACACTCCGCTAAGAAGCACCACAGGCTAGGAATCTCAAGAGTCAGAATCAGAATAGAACTGGAAGGGACCTTGGAGGTCTTCTAGTCCAGCCCCCTGCTGAAGCAGGAGACCCTATACCATTTCAGATAAATAGTTGTCCAGTTTCTTCTTAAAAGCCTTTAATCATTTTAGATCTTGCTCTTATTGGGGAACTGGGGGTGGACTGGGGGACAATGTGTGGCTCTATGCAGCGAAAATACTTGAAGTCATCTCCTCATTCACCGAGTACATGTGGTGCTGCACAAGCAAGTTATATTCATTCTTTTTTTTGCCTGGATGTATTCAAGAGGCCTCACATACAGGTAGTCCTCGACGTATGACCATAACTGAGCCCAGAACGTCTGTTGCTAAGTGAGACAGCTGCTAAATGAGTTTTGTCCCCATTTTACAACCTTTCTTGCCGCAGTTGTTAAGCGAATCCCTGCATTTGTTAAGTTAGCAACACCGTTATTAAGCAAATCTGGTTTTCCCATTGACTTTGTTTGTCAGGCCGCAAAAGGGGATCACTTGACCCCAGGACACTGCAACCGACATAAATATCAGTCAGTTACCAAGTGTCCAAATTTTGGTCTTTGACCATGGGCATGCTGTAATGATCGTAAGTCATGTTTTTCAGTGCTGCTGTTGTAACTTCGAACGGCCACTAAATGAATGTTGTAAGACAAAGACTATCTGGGTCACCTCTTTCTTTTTCCGCCACTGTAGGTTGCAGCATATTCCTTGGCATGGTATTGCCACAGCTGATCCTCCAGGATAGTGTAAGCAATGAAATCTTTCCTCAGCAAATTGGTCAAAAATGTTCCGGTTTCCTCATCCATTATTCCGCTTGTATTGCCACTTCTTTTCACAAAGAAATTGTCTTCCTTTCCGATTTCTGTTTCTTGTGTCCTTCTATGTTTTCTGTGCTTTGTTGTTTGTCCCCTAGCCAGAATATTAACATTCACAGAAACATAAATGCAACAGTTATGTAACCGTCTCCCAACAACAGACACATACAGTACATTCCGAGACGTGCAGTGACGCAGAAGTCTAAATCGCATCTTATACTGAAGAGCATCAAGACAGGATGATCTTGAATTTCTCCCTCACCTTTTCCTGTAATTCTGGATTAAGTTTAATTTTTTTGTGATGGTTACCTCCATACTCCTCTGTACATACTACTGAGCCACTTTGTAAATCAATTTGCTAATACTTAAAATATAATTTTTTATATTCTCTGGGCAGCATGTACATTTAATAAATAAATAAAAGCCGCCCAGAGTGGTTTTGGACTGCGAGCTGGGCATATATAAATTTAATAAATAAATAATGCAAATATGGATTTCAAGTTAAGGATGGAAAATATTTTTGAGCATTCTTTGTCCTGCTATATTCCCTCCTCAACTCTTTCTTCATCTTTCGGTCAAAAAGACTAAAAACTATACGGCATGTCTTTTGCCTCTTTGGAGGTTAAGTAAATAGGTAAGTTCCTAATTGCTTACAATAGGAACAATAGAAAGTGTTCCTATTGAAAGTAAATAGACAATAGAAACACTTTCTGATTATCCAGTCATTCCCTTTCTTCCAAAATGCATGCGTTCCTTACTGAATGCTCCAATTCGGAGTTTATCTAAAATAAAATATAAAGCAAAAGAAAAGAAAAACAAAAGGAAAAAGGAAGTAAAATAATAAAATAGAATAGAATAAATAAAATAAAACAAAACAGTCAAGAGGCCGCTAACCCTTGCCAATTTGACTGAATGGCAAAGCCCGCCTTACTTAAAGAGCCAACGTTTTCGTGCTCCGACTGGAGAGCCTCCCAGGCCATCCTTTTAGGAACAGGCTGGACCAGATCCCACTTGGCTGTCAGCAAGCGAACATCTCTTTCCTTCAGGTCTGTGACCTCCTGTGAAGAGTGAGAGACAATCATCCCCTTCTCATCCAATTCCACTGCAATCGAAAGAAGCTTGAAGAAAACTTTTGCCCTCACTGTAAAATCCAAAACTATTTGAAATAATTCCTTTACTGATCAATTTTTATTATAACAAGAATGGTCCAATCCTCTATTATCAGGTCGAAATCGTGTCGTCACGGCATCGTCATGTGACGTATTTGGACTTTCTCCCCCTTTGCTAAACTGGGCATCGGCATGGCCAGTGCATGATGCATCCAGCCCACAGAGTTTGACAGCCCTGCTCTATATTAACAATGCAGGAAGTCCTTGACTTAGGTCCGTTCATTGAACGGTGTTCGAATTATAACAGCATCGGAAAAGAGTGACTTATAACCTGTCCTCAAACTCTGCATCACTCCTGCAGTCACAATTGCAATATGAGCACAAACGATGCTTCGGTGATCATGTGACTAGTATGACTACACCCTGAGGCACATAGAATGCTTCCCATCGCACTGGTACCTATTTATCTACTCACATTTGCATGCTTTCGAACTGCTAGGTGGGCAGGGTGAGCTGAGGCAAGGAACAGGTGCTCAACTCATTGTGTGGTGCTCAGGTCTCAAACCCAGACTGTCAGCTTTCTCCTCAGTTCTAGGTTGCTTCTCTCCTTGATTAGTTTCCATTCATTGCTTCTTGTCTTGCCTTCTGATGCTTTGGGGAATAGGCTGAGCCCACTCTTCTTTGTGGCAGCTCCTCAGATACTGGAACACTGCTATTATGTCTCCCTTAGTCCTTCTTTTCACTAGACTAGACATACATAATTCCGGCAACCATTCTTCATAGGTTTTTGCTTCCAGCCCCCTAATCATCTTTTTTGCTCTTTTCCGCACTCTTTCCAGAGTGTCTAAATCTTTTTTATAATATGATGAGCAAAATTGGATCAAAAACTTTCCAGTTGACAAGCTCGGCGTCTTTAACTGCTGAGCCATTGTGCCTCCTTCATGCTAATATTACATATCACCAGTCTGGTATACGGCAAACTCTGTCACAAGGTTGACACACCTACCTCTCTCAAAGCTGTTTGGACAATCCCTAATCTTTCAGAAGAAAGTAATGAGCTAGGACGGTCTGGGGATTCGATTCCAGGTCCTGCAGGAGATGAAAACAAGACATTACAATAAGACAGGGGTCGGCAACCTTGAACACTCAAAGAGACACAAAGGTCCTAACTGGAAGCCCCCGTTCAATTCTGAAGCCGACCGGAAGTCCAGTTCCCCCAGAATAGAATCTCCTCCTAGCACGGCGTCCTTTTTCCTCTACCTGTCCTAACCAAAAGCCCTATCAATTGTGGAGCCAACCGGCAACAGGGAGCCACAGCAGATGAATGAAAGAGTCACATGCGGCTCCAGAGCCGCAGGTTGCTGACCCCTACAATAAGAAGAGGCAAACTTAAGTGGTTGGACACACAGCTGCACACAAGGGCCTGTTGCGTTGTGAGCCAGGCAGAATCACTGCAGGAGGAATTTTGAAACTGAACAATTGTGAGAAATTGCCTCTCTTAACTACTGTAATGCTCTCTACATGGGGCTCCCCTTGAGGAGCACCCGGAGGCTCCAACTGGCGCAGAGTGCGGCCACACGGGTGGTTATGGGAGCGACGTGGCGTTCCCATGTAACACCTCTCCTGCGCGAGCTGCACTGGCTCCCGGTGGTCTTCCGGGTGCGCTTCAAGGTTTTGGTTACCACCTTTAGAGCGCTCCATGGCTTAGGGCCTGGTTATTTACGGGACCGCCTGCTGCCGCCAACGGCCTCCCACCGGCCAGTACGCTCTCACAGAGCGCTCTCAAACAATGTCAGCTGGCGGCCCCCAGGGGGAGAGCCTTCTCTGTGGCGGCACCTACTATCTGGAACGAGCTCCCCCCAGAGATACGGAGGATCCCGGATCTACGCACCTTCCACCGCACTCTTAAGACCTTTTTATTTCACCAGGCTGGTCTGCCCTAACCTTTCCCATTCTTTTTTAATGTAAATTTTAATGTAAATTTTAAATTTGTTCTTAACCTGGGGTTTTAAATTTGTCTTGGGCTAAATTGATTTAATTTGATTTTACTTTTGTTCTTAATTTTTGTATTCTATGTGTTTTATTCTGTGCCTGTTCACCCCCCTGAGTCCTTCGGGAGTAGGGCGGTATACAAATTAAATTAAATGAAAAATGAAAAAATCTTGCCATCCCCTTTCGTTTCCCTTTTTGAAATTGCTGAACGATTTTCTTTTCCTACATATCCACCTGTATGTCCATCTAATTCCTTTTCAGGGTGGACAGGATGCCTTCCTTCCTACATAGGTTGGGCCTGAAACATCTGACTGACGTCTGCTTTGATCAAGGAGTTCCACTCTTGCCAAGATTACTGCAAGATTCTTACAGAAAATACCGATCAAATCAGGAAAAAAAAATATTTAAAGTGATGGTTTCCGATCCAAATCACGCTTTTGTGAAACCGGTGTTTTTCAACCTTGGCAGCCATAAGATGTTGGAGTTTAACTGTTGCAAATATATGAGGGTTTCTAAGCACCTGAATTTTGATTAGGGGACAGTGGATATGCTGCGACGATCATCGTTGTGAAGATCGGTCATAAATCACCTTTTTTCGTTTCGCTCAAATTTGAATGATTGCTAAATAAACATTTGTATCAGGGGTGGGTTCTAAAATTTTTTTAGTACTGGTTCTGTGGGCGTGGCTTATTTTGTGGGCGTGGCTCGATGGTCATGTGACAATTCTTTAGAATTTAGCAGAGGTACTGGTCTACCAGGCTTTTAACTGCTTGCAGAGCTGTACCGGTCTACTCATTTGTTTTTGCAGGCACCGGTCTACTCATTTATTTTTGCAGGCACTGGTCTACCCATGTATTTTTGCAGGCACTGGTCTACTTATGTATTTTTGCAGGCACTGGTCTACCCAAGTATTTTTGCAGGCACTGATCTACTCATGTATTTTTGCAGGCACTGGTCTACCCATGTATTTTTGCAGGCACTGATCTACTCATGTATTTTTGCAGGCACTGGTCTACTCATTTATTTTTGCAGGCACCGGTCTACTCATTTATTTTTGCAGACACTCATGTACTCATTAATTTTTGCAGGCACTGGTCTACTCATTTATTTTTGCAGGCACCGGTCTACTCATTTATTTTTGCAGGCACCGGTCTACTCATTTATTTTTGCAGGCAGTGGGCTACCCATTTATTTTTCCAGGCACTGGTCTACCCATTTATTTTTGCTGGCACCGGTCTACCCATTTGCTTTCTTTTAACACTGATCAGCTATAGGGCAGCCCTTTGAAGCCCCACGGCATGAGTTTAAACAGTTTTTTCCCTCTAGCTGATCAGCTGGGACTCAGGAGGCAGCAATAGATTGGGGGTGGGGCCAAATAAAAGGTAAGAATAATGCAGGGAGGGCAGGGGGGCAGAACCGGTTCGGTGACGTCATATCGTCACTGCTACTGGCTCAACGGAACCAGGGGGAAACCGGGAGGAACCCACCACAGATTTGTATGTCAAAGACAGCCTGTAGGTAACCACTGTACAATCAAGGTAGTACTTATACTACACTATTAACAATACAGGTAGTCTGTGTCTTGCAACCACACTAGAGCCCAAAATTTCTGTTGCTGAGGGAGACATTGGTTAAGTGAATTTTGCCCTATTTTACGACCTCTCTTGCCACTGTTGTTAAGTGAATCACTGGAATTAATAAGTTTGTAACCAGGCTGTGAAGTGAATCTGGCTTCCCCATGGACTTTGCTTGTCAGAAGGTCGCAAAAGGGGATCACATGACCCCGGGATACTGCATCCGTCATAAATATGAGTCAGTTGTCAAGTGCCTGAATTTTGATCACGTGACCATAGGGATGCTGCAATGGTTTTAAGTGTGAAAAACGGTCATAAGTCACTTTTATTCAGTGCTGTTGTAACTTTGAATGGTCACTAAATGAACTGTTGTAAGCAGAGGACTATCTCTATGTAGTTAACTCAAGTAAAATTCATCAATAAAAAGATGCCAAACCTTAATCCTTAATGCCAAACCACAAGCCACAAATTCCCAATGTGCCCCATGGGCAGCTAAGACACTTCCAGGACAGGAATGCTCTGGCCCCATAATCCTTGCTCTGGCCCACCAGCTGTCAGCAATACTACAATGTGTCCCACACAGGTCTGCCCTTGGAGACTGATCAGACACTGTACACACTAAATGAAGTGGTAGCAAGATTGGTGTCGAACTACGTTTCCATTTTTTTTTTTTTGTATGTGCATTTTTTTTATTGTGTTTTATTGTACGACCTGCCACGAGATCTTCTCGATCAGCTTTTTCAACCTTGGCAACTGTTAAATGTGTGAATCAGTGTTCCAATATCTCAGGGGCAGAGGTGGGTTTCAGCAGGTTCTGACCAGTTCTGGAAAACCGGTAACGGAAAGTTTGAGTAGTTCAGAGAACTTGGTAGTAAAAATGCTGACTGGCCCCGCCCCCATCTTTATTCTCTGCCTCCCAAGTCCCAGCTGATCGGGAGGAAATGGGGATTTTGCAGTAACCTTCCCCTGGAGTGGAGTGGGAATGGAGATTTTACAGTATAGTTTCCCTGCCATGACCACCAAGCCACGCCCACCAATGCCACGCCCACGGAACCGGTAGTAAAAAAAAAATTGAAACCCACCACTGCTCAGGGGCTGCTACAAAGAAGAGAGAGTCAACTGGTCCAGAATGCGGCCGTGCGGGTAGTCATGGGAACTGCATGGCGCTCCCATACAACACCTCTCCTGCGTGAGCTGCACTGGCTCCCAGTGGTCTTCCGGGTGCGCTTCAAGGTGTTGGTTATCACCTTTAAAGCGCTCCATGGCATAGGACCTAGTTATCTTCGAGACCGCCTGCTGCTACCGACAACCTCCCATCGACCCGTGCGCTCCCACAGAGAGGGCCTCCTCGGGGTGCCATCAGCCAAACAATGTAGGCTGGTGACCCCCAGGGGAAGGGCCTTCTCTGTGGGGGAATCAGTTGCCCCCAGAGATAAGGAGGATCCAAGACCTCGGTGCCTTCCGTCGTGCCCTTAAAACCTTCTTTTTCCAGCAAGCCGGGCTGGCCTAACACTTTTTAAAATGTTTTTAATTGTTTGTTATTGTTTTTAATCATGGGGCCAAATTTATATATATCTTTTTAATTGTATTTTAATGTTTGTAGTTTATGCTTTTATTTGGCTGTTCACCCCCCTGAGTCCTCAGGGAGAAGGGCGGTATACAAATTTAAAAATAAATAAATAAATAAAGTTATTCTCCAAAGCACCTGAGGGTAGGACAGGAAGCAATGGGTGGAAACTAATCAAGGAGAGAAGCAACTTAGAACTAAGGAGAAATTTCCTGACAGTTAGAACAATTAATCAGTGCAATTGCCTGCAGAAGTTGTGAATGCTCCAACACTGGACGTTTTTAAGAAGATGTTGGATAACCATTTATCTGAAGTGGTGTAGGGTTTCCTGCCTAAGCAGGGGGTTGGACTAGAAGACCTCCAAGGGCCCTTCCAACTCCGTTATTCTAACTTCAGTTCCCAGAATTCCACTGGGGGAAAGTTAAAGTCCACACATCTTAAAGCTGCTGAGATTGAAAAACACTGTACTAAACTATAGCATATAGCCATGACAAACATTATTCCTTCCGAATTTAGCTTCTCCAGATTGGGTGACCCATCTAATTTATTGCATTTATCAAAACTTGCTCCTTCTAGGAAACTGATCGAGGTCAAGAAATCTGCCCTCAGTTTAAGCATCCCACAATGCAGAAGGGATTGGGCGGTTTCCGGTTCCTAGGACGTTCTTACCTAGCATACCAATCTCCACTTCAACATTTTCTCTCTTCACGGCTTCTAAGGGCTTCTTCTCGGCACCTTCGAGATTGGTGGGTTCTTCGTTTGGTGGCCCCTGAAACAGGGAAGACAAGTCCTACTCGGAACAACAGGATTCATTGTGCCAAAACCAGGAATCTTGGGGGCTGCTTCTCATGGAGGTTATTGTAGATCAGGGGTGTCAAACTCAAAGCCAGCGGGCTGGACCTGGCCCCGCTTAAATCTGACCCACAGGGCCGCCCTGGAAACAGCAAAGGACCGGCCCATAGTGCTTCTGCCAGCAAAAATGAAGCTCCATTTTCGTTGACAGAGGGTTGCAGGAGGCCATCCCAACCGAAAACGGAGTTCGCGAGGGCCACGTGCGGCCCCCCCCGAGCTCCGTTTTCCCTGGCAGAGGGTTGCAGGAGGCTGTCGCAGGTGAAAAAGGAGCTCGGGAGCCCATTTTCACTGGCGGAGTGCTCGGGCCACCACAGGTGCCCCCGACACGAGTGATGTCAAGTTGGCCACACCCACCCTGGTCATGCCCCCCCACCGAGATCAAACACAACCATGGGGTGGCCCTCAATGAAATCGTGTTTGACACCCCTGTTGTAGATTATGCGACTGAGTTACATAATACCGTGCAAAGTTCTAACTTGCTCACAGTTCTTATTTTTAGCGTTGCTGGATTTGCCCTGCAGGAAATGCTCTACCAGTGAATTTTCTCCCTACAATTACCGTATATTTCGGAGTGTAAGACGCTCCGGACTATAAAACGCATCTACCTTTTTTGGGGAGGAAAACAAGAAAAAAAAAATCTGCCTCTACCTCCCAGAAATTTGCCTCCTTGCAGCAAACAGCAAACAGCCTGTTTCAGTTTCATTTTCAGCACAGCCTGATTAGCACAAGAAAAAAAAAAATCTGCCTCTGCCTCCCAGCAATTTGCCTCCTTGCAGAGGCCGAAAATGGGGTGCACGGAGGCAGCAATAGGCAATGGCAAGCAGCTGAGGGTCGGGAGGCCGATCCAACCCTTCACGGTCTTCAATACCATCCATCAAGTGATGTGTTGTCGAGGGGTTTTTGACACTCGACAATAAGCTGCTTGTGCTAAACAGGCTGTGCTGAAACTGAAATGGGCTGTTTGCTGCAAGGAGGCAAATTGCTGGGAGGCAGAGGCCAAAAGGTGGGGGCCGGTGGGTGGGCAGGGCTATATTCGGTGTATAAGACGGGCCCAATTTTTTTTTTTTTAAATTTGATTTATATGCCGCCCTTCTCCGGAGACTCAGGGCAGCTTACAATGCGTTAAGCAATAGCCTTCATACTTTTGTATATTTATACAAAGTCAGCTTATTGCCCCCACAAACTGGGTCCTCATTTCACCTACCTTAGAAAGGATGGAAGGCTGAGTCAACCTTGAGCCTTGGAGAGATTCGAACCAGCAGTAATTGCAGACAGCTGGTGTTAATCACAATGCTATTAGTCTGCTGAGCCACCAGGCCCTTTTTTCACCCTCTTTTGGGGGGGGGGGGGAAGTGTGTCTTATACTCCGAAAAATACGATAAGCTCTCCTAGTTTACATTGCTCTGCATGAAATAAAAAGTGAAAATATTAACATAAGACTCTTTGTCCAGGTAATCCTTGAAGTACGATCTAATATCTAATATCTAAGGCAGGAGTGTCAAACTCGATTTCATTGAGGGCCACATCAGGGTTGTGTTTGACCTTGGGAGAGTCGGGGGGGGGCAGGGTGGATGTGGCCAGCTCGACATCACTCATGTCGGGGGGGGCGCCTGTGGTGACCTGAGTACTCTGCCAGCGAAAAGAGGCTCCCAAACTCCATTTTTGACTGCAAAGGCCTCCTGCAACCCTCTGCCAGTGAAAATGGAGCTTGGGAGAGCTGCAGGCTAATCCGTTTTCGTTGGCAGAAGCACCACGGGCCAGTCCTTCACTGTTTCCAGGTTGGCCCCATGGGCCAGAATTAAGCACTCCGCAGGCCAGATCCGGTCCCCAAGCCTTGAGTTTAACACCCCTGATCTAAGGGGTTGCCATAAAGAAGAGGGGGTCTACCTATTCTCCAAAGCACCTGAGGGCAGGACAAGAAGCAATGGGTGGAAACTGATCCAGGAGAGAAGCAACCCAGAACTAAGGAGAAATTTCCTCACAATTAGAACAATTAAACAGTGGAACAACTTGCCTCCTGAAGTTGTGAATGCTCCAACACTTAAAAGTTTTTAAGAAGAGATGGGACAACCATTTGTCTGAACTGGTATAGGGCTTCTTCCCTGAGCAGGAGATTGGACTAGAAGACATTCAAGGTCCCTTCCAAATCTGTTATATGAATCTTAACTACACAAAGTAATAAAAATAATGATTTTTTTTTTATTTGATTTATATGCCGCCCTTCTCCGGAGACTCAGGGCGGCTTACAATGCGTTAAGCAATAGCCTTCATTCTTTTGTATATTTTATACAAAGTCAGCTTATTGCCCCCACAAACTGGGTCCTCATTTCACCTACCTTAGAAAGGATGGAAGGCTGAGTCAACCTTGAGCCTGGTAAGATTCGAACCTGCAGAAATTGCAGGCAGCTGTGTTAATTACAAGGTGCATTAAACCACTGTACTACCAAGGCTCCTATTTTGACTGAAGTTTGAAAAAGGACTTGGATAATTATGAATTATATCAACAGAACAATTTCAGAAATATTGGTGGTAGTGTTTAAAATTCTCATAATCAGCAGAACTCAAAAGAGACTGTACTACATCATTCCCTGTAAGTATTCTAAGAGTTTCTAGCACTCAGGTGCATTTGAATCATGCAAACACCAAGACTGATATCATCAAATCATACCTGACATGCTTCTGATTTGGTTCCTTGCTGACTCTGCAGGAAGTCCTCCACCAGGGCCACGGCCTGGGAACACGACTCCGGCCTCTTGGGTTGAACCCAGCTCTGGAGCTTTGGAGGCAAGCTGGCCAGGAACTGCTCCAGGATCAACAGCTCCAGGATCTGCTCTTTGGTACGTCTCTCCGGCTTCAACCACTGGTGGCAAAGTTCCTGGATCTGCTTGTAAACCATCCGAGGATCTTCCACCTCCTGGCAGCAGAACTGCCTGAAGCGTTGACGCCGGGCTTCCGTTTTCATGGCTTCCCCTTTCAAGATGGCCGCCTTCACCTTCCCATAGTTGTCCCGTTCTCCAATTTCCAGCTTCTGAAAAGCCTCTTTGGCTTCTCTGCTCAAGGCCGGCAGGAGACAAGCCACCCACTCTTCTCTAGGCCACCGGCAGGCTTGGGCCACCTGCTCGAAGGAGGTCAGGAAGACCTTGGGGTCTTCCCAAGGAGAAGCGTCCGACATCTTGGACTTGCTTTCTCCTGGGTGAACCGGTTGCAGCGTCTTGAGGAACTGCTGCCACTGTGATTCCCAGCGTTCCTCCATCCAAATGAACGGGGCCCTCTTGTTCTTCTCAAATACGCCCCATCCCGCTTCTTCAGATGTTGAACTGCAAAATTCAACTCCTTGTTGATTCTCATTTACTTCTGCAGCTACCCTCTTGTTCGCTAGCAATGCTTTCCCTTCTGATGACCTTCGTAGATCTAAAATTTAAACCATTTTCAAATTAGATCATTTTCACCAAAATATTGTTAAGGCGATGCAACGTTTCCAGGTCCTAACATATTCTGAAATTATTATTTAATAAAAATGAGAAAGCAGATACTTGGCTACTCTCCCCTCCTTCTTTTCTGTGTTAAAATGGGGTCTTTGGCCGTTTTCAATCCATTCCCTAATCTTACCAGTAAGCTAACAAGCCCCATCCAGTTCCACCACAAAATATGGAAAGAATATAAAATAATCAAAGGAAGCCTTTAATACCATTCAGCACTTTTAAAGAGACTATGAAGATTCTCAATCATCCAGGTTGTCCCAAAAATGCTTTTTTTTCCAAAAGGCAACTGGACATTCTTGTTTTCTTTTGAAAACATTTCACTTCTCAACCAAGAAGGAAATGAAGAAGCTTCTTGGATGAGAAGTGAAATCTTTTCAAAAGGAAAAAAAAACACCCAGGAAAGTCCAGTTGCCTTTTGAAGAAAAGCACTTTTGGGACTTTAAAGGCTACGCTATCTTCTTTTAGTCCTTGGTGATCTAGGACAGGGGTCTCCAACCTTGGCAACTTTTAAGCCTGGAGGACTTCAACTCCCAGAATTCCCTAGCCAGCTTTGGAATTCTGGGAGTTGAAGTCCGCCAGGCTTAAGGTTGCCACGGTTGGAGACCCCTGGTCTAGGAGCTTGAGTGAACAAAGAGCCTTGGTGGCGCAGCAGATTAAAGTGCTGTTAAGTAACACCAGCTGCCTGCAATTACTGCAAGTTCGAATCTCACCAGGCTCAAGGTTGACTCAGCCTTCCATCCTTTCGAGGTAGGTAAAATGAGGACCCGGATTGTGGGAGCAATAAACTGACTTTGTATAAAAAAAAAAAACACTGCTTAGGGGGGGCCGAAAGCCCTACTAAGCAGGTATATACAAAAGTATGAAGGCTATTGCTTAACGTATTGTAAGCCGCCCTGAGTCTCCAGAGAAGGAGACTCATAAATTGAACCAATAAATAAATAACAGTCTGAACTGATGATGTTACCTAATCAGGTAATGAGACGTTTGCAAGCAAACAACCACCTCAGAGCGTATCAAGGATCTGGCAGTTTAATCCTGAGTTCGGGATGTCTGTGGAGATTCTCAGTCATCCATGTCATGGTTGTCCCAAAGGTGCTTTTTTTCAAGAGGCAACTGGACTTTCTGGTTTTTCTTTGAAGACCTTTCGCTTCTCATCCAAGAAGCTTCTTCAGCTCAGAGCTTGCTTTCTTTTCTTCAAAGAAAACCCAGAAAATCCTGACTTTGGGCTGCTCTCTTCTATGGCAACGATCTTATTATCTTTGCAAATCAAAGTGGCCTTATATTTTCACACCAAGGAAATCATAGGAGCTTTTCTGCGGATCCACCGATGAAGGGAACAACAATCAGATTACCAGATTAAAAATCTCTTTCTCTGCATCTTTATTCGGGGCCACCAAGACAAGGGAAACCTAGCAAACCGGCCTGTCCCCCTTCTCCTCTCCCAAAAGGGCTAAACGGGGATCAGCGCACTCGCCGCTCCCCCCACCCCAGCCCGGAGCTCCGCGGACACGGCCACCCGCAGGAAAGACAGGGGCAAATCGCCCTGTTTTGCGCCCCAGAAAAAAACGTCTTTCCCCGGACCGACGAGACCCCGGCCTGCACCCCTGCGCTGGAAAAGCAGCTCAATGCCATGGTGTGCAATGCAATGCAATGCAATGCAATGCAGTGCAGTGCAATGCAATGCAACGCAACCCGCCCAGGCTCCTTTGGGCTCGGGGGTGATCCGAATGGGGGAAGCGGGGGATCCCCGGGGCGGAGGCCACCCGGTGCAACGGTCTGGCGCAGCTCCGGAGCAAACCTCCGCCTTCCCCGCCCAGGATTGCAAGGCTGGAGGCCTCGCCGGCTAACCCCCCCGGCCCGTACCGGCAGCGGCGGGACCCGCGCGGCTCCTCTCCTCCCCGGCGCCGTCCGGTGGGCGTGTGAGCGCTGGGGGCCCCCCGGGACTCCCGGCCGCCGCAGCTGCGCCCATCAATCCCCGCCTCGCTTCGCCTTGACGCTCTGCCGCTAGATCGGCGGAAGGGAGGCCGCGGGCGCCCCCTCCCGACCGGCCGCGGCTCTGCCTTCTTTCCCGCAGCCGTCTGGGACCGGCCGGGCGACTCAGTCAGTCAGTCAGTCAGTCAGAATAGAGCTGGAAGGGACCTTGGAGGTCTTCTAGTCCAGCCCCCTGCTCCAGCAGGAGATTTGTATCAAATGTGGAGAAAGCTGCTCAACCCTAATAACCCTGAGATGGATTTCTCCCAACCAGTTCCCCAATAGGGCCCACCCTGCTTGTCTGGTGTGGTCTGTTTATTCTTGTTATGGAATGATGATGTTATGGAAGGAAGGAATTAAGAGACATCCCTTCGGGGGCAGACAGAGTCAGCTTTATTATTGCAATAAGGTTCAGACAGGTATTGCTACCTAAAGAATGTGAGCAAAGTAATGAACACGAGAGTCCAACTTTATACAGCTTCAAACAAAGGATTCTGTTAACTCAGCAGTTAATATGATCATATGCATTTGTCATTTTTAATTGACGCTTCCCAATTAATAAATTTTACAATTTTCTTTGCCAACAGTCATAATTCTTTTTGCCAATTACTGAAGCATGGATTCAAATTATCTCTTGTTGATATTACATGTGGTCATCCTTTGATCTCTTTAACCTTCAAACTGGATATCACCAAATGTTTGTATCTCTGACAACTGAGGGGCCCCTCTGTGAATGTTTCTACTTCAAAGGAATACTCTGCCTTTCATCTGGTTAATTGGCTTCCCTTAAACAAGCACATTTCCTTTCTTACAATAAAGAAGGCCCTTCAGTGATCATCCAGCTGGATCCGCCGCATTTACCTACATTAATGAGACCAAACAACATTCCTGGTCGGCCAGAGACAGTTTATTGCGCAGTTTCAGAACCAGATTTGTATCTGCAATTATGAACCAAGAAGAGCTCTGATACAACTGCTTTTATACATCTCCAAGACAAAGGATTTTGTGAGCACAGCAGTTTTCCATATATGGTTAACGTACATTTGTTACATGATAATTGATACTTTCTAAATTACTAAATTCCTACATTATTTTCTAGTTCATAAGATTATTTTAGCTAAACAACTTTCCTCAGTTCTGTGATTGCTGATGCGTAGATTCATGGCTGCTTTGGATAAAAAGTAACTTTTGTTTCATATGGATGCCCTTGCATTCTTGACAACTAGGCCCCTCAGAAGATATATACCGTATTTTCCGGCGTATAAGACGACTGGGCGTATAAGACGACCCCCTACTTTTCCTGTTAAAATATAGGGTTTGGGCTATACTCGCCGTATAAGACTACCCCTCTTCCAATGCACACCAAATAAAAATTAAAAAATATCAGATTTGATTTCAATATGGTAATTTTAATTCAAATGCTTATGCCTTTCCAAGAATCTAGTACACCAGGATACAGTGGCCTTAAATCTGTTGCTGTGATCTGGGTTAGATTTGGCCCACTGAAGTGCAAACAAACGTATTTTATTTTGTGTCACTACATACCAAGAATGGAATTTAGCTGACTTAGTGTAATCTCTAAACAAGCACATTTCTTTCTTATAATAATGTGAATAAAGAGGGTCCTTCAGTGTTCATATAGCTGACCCTGTACTATTCCTACATCATTCACATTATTATGACAGACTAGGAGTGACATGATAGTTGTCTTCCAATATTTTATTTATTATTTTATTTTTATTAGTTTGATTTATATGCCACCCTTCTCTGGAGACTCAGGGCGGCTTACAATGCTTTTAAGCAATAGCCTTCATACTTTTGTATATACCTGCTTAGTAGGGCTTTTGCCTTCCCCCCCCCCCCAGCGGTGTTCTTTTTTATACAAAGTCAGCTTATTGCCCCCACAAATCGGGTCCTCATTTTACCTACCTCGGAAGGATGGAAGGCTGAGTCAACCTTGAGCCTGGTGAGAATTGAACTCGCAGTAATTGCAGGCAGCTAAATAGTACTTTAACAGTAATTTAGTCCACTGCACCACCAGGCTCTATATTTAATTTAATTTAATTTAATTTAATTTCCAATTTATTTGAGGGGCTGCCACAGAGAAGAAGGGGTGCGGGATGTCAAGCTATTCTCCAAAGCATGTGAGGGTAGGACAAGAAGCAATGGGTGGAAACCAATCAAGGAGAGAAGCAACTTAGAACTAAGGAGAAATTTCCTGACAGTGAGAACAATTAATTGGTGGAACAACTTGCCTCCAGAAGCTGTGAATGCTCCAACACTGGAAGTTTTTAAGAAGTTGGATAACCATTTATCTGAAGTGGTGTAGAGTTTCCTGCTTAAGTAAGGGGTTGGATTAGAAGACCTCCAAGGTCCCTTCCAACTGTTATTCTGTTCTGTTCTTCTGCTTAGCATTTTTTCTAAATCAGCTATTGATTAGCTAGCTGTGTGCATCCTTCTGCTGAAAGAAACTTTAGGGTCAGTGAGGACTAGAAAGCTGGCTTTGTTGCACACCGGACCATAATGCTGTTTTGCAGATCTATAATCCTACAACGAGCCATTGTCGTTGACGTCCCCCTTCTCTCCTACTTCTCAGCTTCTCCCCGACTCCCCTGCATTGTAGTTCAGAGAGCAGCACTTTGACTATGAAGTACATCGTCTGTGGCATCAGATTTGGGGGGAGTACTGATCTACTTCCTCAGAGTGGCAGAGTTGAAACTTGTCCCAGAGGAAACATCTTCCAGGATGAAATATGTTTGAATTTAAAAAAAACCACTTATCCTGCGTTTATGGGGGGAAATATTTCAAACTTTTAGAGTTGCCAGGTCTGCTTCCAAAAAATAGCGGACAAGCGGCGGGGGGGGGGGATTAAGTAGTAAAAAAATAAAAAAAATTTTACAATTAAATTATATATTTTCTTACAAACATTTTAACACGCCATTTTAGGTCAGTCGACACAAGCTACAATACATTTTAAAAATGTGAACTGTACATAATTTTATAATATATTTTTATTTTAATCTCATCATTAATTTTTTCGGAGAATCGAGTTCAATGAATATTTGATCTTTGTCTCATTCTAACTTATGAAAAAAAAGACAAAACGCGATTCTCCTATCCTTATTCTCTTAGACTGTACATCTTTAGATTATGTACCATTTCATCATAAAGCTTTTGAATTAAAAAAATGTCCACTATTTTGTTAAAAAAAATAGTGAACATAATGTGAAAAAAGCGGACTGTCCGCTCAAATAGTGGATACCTGGGAACCCTACTGAAACTTTCCAAATGGAGATGTGCTAGAAACAGGGAAGGAGCACCCTCTTCAGATGATCAGGAAGTTGGAAAACCCAACTGCAGGTTCTCTACATACAAGCATTCATTTAGCAACTGTTTGAAGTTATGACAATACTAAAAAAAAAAAAAAGACTTACGACTAGGTCCTCACAATCAAAACCATTGCAGGGTCCCTGCAGTCACATAACAAACTTGCCAAGCGGCATAAATTTTTATGATGTTTGCAGTATCTTAGGATCACATGATCAACATCTCTGACCTTCCCAGCTAGTTCCTACAAGCAAGTCAATGGGGAAGCTGGATTCATTTAGTGACTATGTGGTTCACTTCATGACCACAGTGATTTGCTTAAGAACCATGGCAAAAAAGGTCCTAAAATATATTGTGACTCATTTAACAAGCGTCTCATTTAGCAATGGAGGTTCCTGTGTCAATTGTGGTCGTAAATCGAGGACTACCTGTATTGCACTCCATCAATCCCTTATATTAGGAATGCAATTCTTGTGGAATGAATAATAGAAATGAATGATGCAAGAGACAGAAAAATTATTTGTGTATCCATCTGCTAGCCGCCCCAGCCTCTTAGCATGGTAGGCCTATGGATTTTGGATTTAAATACTGACACAGGTTGCTCTTTTATTAACCTAAGAAATCTCTAGGACGACCTTCGCAGCTGGAACATGTATGGATTTTAATTCCCAGAATTCCCCAGCCAGCATGTTAAATATTTTATTTTAGCCTGTTATGCAACTGAGCTTAATAAATGCAGTGTTATTATTTGAGGTGAAGAAAATTTTTTCTTAATGCGAGTTAAAAAGGAAGTGGTATTAGAATACTAAAGAATCAAACTCCTTTAACACTCTGGTAAATCCATTACCTGAATAGTTCTGTAATTTGATTAAAGCTCCCCCAAACACAAATATGTACAAAGCCATCTTCCTAAGAACATTACTGAAAAGTAAATTAACAAAACTGTCCTAAACAGGATCATTTGTTGAACGACTGTAGGTTTTGGGTTTGGCTAATCTAGAGGAAAAAAAAGAATTAGGGGTGACAGGAAAGCAGTATTCCAGTATAAAGAAGCGGGGGTCAAATTATTCTCCAAAGCATCAGAAGGCAGAAGAAACAATGGATAGAAACTAATCAGAGAGAAGCAACCTGGAATTAAGGAGAAACTTCCTACCAGTGAGGACAATTAACCAGTGGAACAGCTTGCCACCAGACATTGTGGTTGCTCCAACACTGGAGGTTTTCAAGAAGAGACTAGACAGTCATTTATCTGAAATGGTATAGGTTCTCCTGCTTCAGCAGGGGGCTGGACTAGAAGACCTCCAAGGTCCCTTCCAGCTCTATTTATCCTATCCTATCCTATCTGGGCCAAACTATTTAATTCGATTTTATTTCTGCTTTTTAAATTTTTTATGTATGTATTTTATTGTTGGCTGTTCACCGCCCTGAGTCCTTCGGGAGTAGGGCGGTATATAAATCAAATAAAGTAAAGTATAAGTAAGTATCCTATCCTACCCTACCCTACCCTACCCTATTTCTGTTCTGTTCTTGATTATAACTGGTAGCTAGATGGATAGACAATCCTGTATATTACAGCCTGATTAACAAGACCAGTTTCTGGAAAATTTATGGAAACTGTATTAAAGATACAGTTGAAAAGCATGTTTAGAAAAAAAGAAGAAAAAAAAGGACCCGAGGAAAACTTTTTAAAAGCTCTATTTTTTTTTTGCTGGTCCAAAACACTATGAAGAAAGAGATCTCTCTGTGATGGCGCCTACCCTCTGGAACAATCTACCCCCAGAGATACGAGTGATCCCAGACCTCCGGACTTTTCATCGGGCCCTTAAAACCTATTTCTTTCAGTTAGCCGGGCTGGCCTGATTTTATATTGGTTTTTAAAATTGATACTGATTTTAATTGAAATGTTTTAAATTATGGGCCAAGCTTTATTTAATTATTTTAAAACTATTTTAACTTTTGTGCACAAATGTTTTATTTTTGGCTGTTCACCGCCCTGAGTCCGAAAGGAGAAGGGCGGTATAGAAATTTAAATAATAAATAAATAATAAATAAATATAGCAGGATAGATCCACATAGATAGCATAGCAATAGCCCTCTGATTTAATATACTGCTTCACAGTGCTTTACAGCCTTCTTTAAGCGGTTTAAAGAGTCAGCCTATTGCCCCCAACAAGCTAGGTCTTCATTTTACCGACCTCGGAAGGATGGAAGGCTGGGTTAACCTTGAGCTGGTCTGAATTAAACTGCTGGCAGTCAGCAGAGTTAGCCTGCACTACAGCATTCTGACCAATGCGCCACCACAGTCAGTGATGTGATGATCCATTTAACCACTGGCATAATTTATGACCTTAATTCCAGGCTCAATTATGGTTGCAAGTCAAAGACTAACTATAGACCATTGGGGGTTGGGCCTGGACTACAAGGGCTCCTGTCCCATCCCGTCCCTCAAGCCAAGGAGACTTTCTGCCGACAATGCTCCATCTCCTTTGGCTTCACTGTCATATTTTCTCCATTCGCTATTGCACAAACCATATAATAAATGCCTATATTTTTTGGGGGGGGGGGGCGGGCGGACAGACCGTGGGTGACACTGCAAAGTCATCAAGTGTCAAGATAGGTCATAAGTTATTTTTTTCAGCACCACTGTAACTTCGAATAGTTGTTAAACAACTGGTCATAAGTCAAGGACTCCCTGGAAACTGTTGTGGCTCCGTTACCTGAGCCTGTGTCTTCGGCAGGAGAGGACTCCGAGAGTGAAGGAGAGGAGTTAGCAAGGCCTCCCTCTCCAGGACCCTCCTCTCTGGCAATGCCTTCGGTGTCCGCCAAAGGGCAAGAGATAGGACTGGGGCCAAGCATGTCCACGCAGCCACAGGTGGACAGTGATGAGGGTAATGAGTCTTGGCTGGATCCTCGGCAGTGTTGCAGAGATAAGCGCGTGCAACAGAAGAAAAGGCGTGCCAGAGATTAGGCTGAGTCACTGGACCACTCCCCACAGGATATAAAAGGGGGTGAGGTGGCCATTCAGACTCTGTGATGGACAAAACTAACTACTATCGAGTCACATTGCATCTTTGGAAACAACATTATCAGCCTTGGATTTATTTTACGAAATGGACAATTCTTGACTGTGTGTATTTTGTTTATTGAGTAAAAGTTCTTGGCAAGCAGCTACTGGGTTGCTGCCAAGCTTCTTATCGGAAGAATTGGTTGTCTGCCAGTTTATTTAACCCCCGGCTGTCTGTTTGTGTGCATGTGTGGGACGGGGACAGAACAGAAACCTAAAAGGAGTCCTGATGGACGGTGTGATGAAAAACGTGAGCCAGTTGTACAGCTACAATGAAAAAGACAAAACCGATGCTGGGATTCAGACAGTTTTCATTACTGTTTATTTCCTATCTCATAAATGTCTATACAAATAGTATAAAATGAAAGGTTGGTTTTTATTGAGCAAGATGATGGAGAAACACAACCAGCTCAGACAAGGGGTATCTGCAGAAACCTCCTTGTACAGTTTGTGGCACAGAAGTATTTGATTTCACGTATTTGAATCTTTATTTTCTGGACAGATTCTATGTCAGATGTGCCCCCACTTCTGCTTCGTAAGTATTTCACTGAGAATATTTATATAATGTATCTCTGGTATACGATCATAGAAAAATGGAGAAAGAGTGATCAAATCCAATCCCACTACTGTACAGGAATCCAAGTTGAAATAATCCATCGCAGATATTCTGCCAGCTGCTACAGGATCAAATCAGTGAAAAGGAATCCACCACCATTCTGGATAATTGATCCAATTATTTAACAATTTACTCCCAATGCTAGGATTTTTCCTTATAAATAAATGTGGAAATCTTTAGGGGCTGTCCGAGTTATCTTCTAGACCAGGAGTCTTCAAACATGGCAACTTTAAGACTTGTGGACTTCAACTCCCAGAATTCTCCAGCCAGCCATAAATAACAGAATAACAAGCTTTGGAAGCCATATTAGCACCAGAAGCTAAAGTTCTGGAAGGGACCTAGGAGATCTTCTAGTCCAACCGCCTGCTTGGATAGGAAACTCTATACCACTTCAGACAAATGGCTGTCCAATGTCTTCTTTAAAATGTCTAGTGTTGGAGTACCCACGACTTCTGAAGGCAAACTGTTCCACTGATTAATTGTTCTATCAGGAAATTTCTCCTCAGTTCTAGGTTGCTTCTCCCCTTGATTAGTTTCCACCCATTGTTTCTTGTCCTGCCTTCAGGTGCTTTGGAGAATAGCTTGACTCCCTCTTCTTTGTGGCAACCCCTGAGATATTGGAAGACTGCTATCATGTCACCCCTAGTCCTTCTTTTCATTAAACTAGATGTCAACCCTGAAGCTGGCCTGAGCGAGGCCATTTTCTGGGCTTAAGGGTTGCTACACTGGAGTTGAGGATTAGGGAGGGGGGAATAGAGATAGAGGGTTTGTAATCAAAACAAAATATTTTCTCCTGGGAATCAAGGACATTCCCTCAGGTGGTCGAAAAGAGGCGGAGTGACGTTACCACGCATCCAGATGACACGATGATTGGGCCATGTGACTGACTGACTGGGGAAGGGGAAAAACCTTTACTGTTAACTTGGTGAAAACTGTGGGAATATTCAGAGTTGGTTTTCACCAGCCTGTGCCAACATATTTCCAATAAACCAGTTCTTTGTGGAATTAAACTGCCTCGGTGTCCTTTTTATTCTAGAGCTATTACATGGAACCTTGACACTAGACATACTCAATTCCTGAAACCGTTCCTTATGTGTTTTAGCCTCCAATTCCTTAAGTCTTAAAGTTGCCAAGTTTGGAGACCCTTGTCCTAGAAATTTCTTAGTAAGAATGCACTAAGCGTGTCCCTCTAGCATGATTTTTTTTTTTAATGTCACTTTAGAATTCTTGCTCTGTAGAAGTCTTTCCCACCTTGATAACATTGATGTGGTCGTTTTCCAATATGAATTCTTGAATGATATTAAGGCTCTCTCTGGCATGGATTCTCTGATGCCTCTTCAAATTTCCTCTCTCGTTGAAGCATTTCTGGCAGTGAGAACATTTGTAAGGCTTCTCTCCTGTGTGGATTCGCTGGTGTTTCTTCAACGTTCCCATCTGATTGAAGCCCTTCCCACACTGAGAACATTTGTAGGGCCTTTCACCCGTGTGGGTTCTTTGATGTCTCTTCAGGATTCCCGACAGGCTGAAACATTTTCCACACTGGGAACATTTGTAGGGTCTCTCCCGAGTGTGAGTTCGTTGATGTCTCTTCAAAATCCCCGTCTCTCTGAAGCATTTCCCACACTGAGTGCATTTGTAGGTCTCCCCGGTGTGAATCCTCTGGTGCATCTTCAAACAGTTGGTGTGACTGAAGCATTTCCCACACTGGGAACATTTGTAAGGTCTTTCGCCGGTGTGAATCCTTTGGTGGGTCTTCAGATTTCCCGACTGGTTGAAACACTTTCCACACTGTAGACATTTGTACGGCTTCTCCCCGGTGTGAATTTTCTGGTGCTGCTTCCAATATTTGGCCTTGTTGAAGCCCTTCCCACAGTGAGAACATTCGTACCATTCCTCTTCGGGATTGCACACCGGAAATCTGCTTAGTGAGTTTGGGTTAGTCAAGGTTTTCCCAGATTCAGGAGAATTGTTATGTGTTTCTCCGAGATTGTTACTCAGATAAGCGTTCGTGTTATTCCCTGTTCCATTCTCGGAGATTTCAACCCTTTGTTCACTTATGTCTTTCTCCTCTTGATTCATGTTTGAAGTACGCTGGTAGCTGTCCTCAAATCTCTGAGGACATTGGTCCAATTTCTCTGTAGGAGGTATTGGATTCAGTTCTACCTGGTAGAGGTATCTTCTATCATATTGGGAGAAGATGGACACTTTACCTTTGTTGGTTTTTTCTGTAACAACAGTAGTAAGATCCTTTTCAAGCGTGTTGCCTGTATTCTCAATTTCCAGCGGTGGCCTCCATCTCTGCTGACTGGATTCACAGCTTTCTTCTTCCATCTCAGCTTTTAATGGCAGAGTCTCAGGGCTTATTGGGGGGTTCCTCCCGCCTATCTCGTCTGGATCTTCTCCACCCTGAAAATTCTCTACTTTAAACCTATTCTCCCTTTGGTCACCTGCAGAGCAAGAGAAAAAATATTTTAATCCTGTCCTGAGGCCTTAATTTCAAACAAGTACACTAATTTCCTTTTTCTACAGATGCATCTATGAAACTTTGATTTTTTTTTCTTCTGTTGACAAATTTTTATTACTTTATTGAAGTATAAAATACAAAGAAAAATGAAAATAATGGGAAAGTAAGAGAGGAAAAAGGAAAAAGTGTAGGGTAAAAAGGGAAAGAAAAAAAAGCATTGACTTCTGACCAGTAGTGTGATTTAAGTAATTTAGCAACCGTCTCTCTGCCTTAATGACGAGCTGGGTGGGCGTGGCCATGGTAGGAGTGGCCAGGGGGTGTGACAGGCAGCAGTCGGCCTCCTGCACCCCTCTGGGAGCAAAAATGGGCTGTGGGGAGGGGACACGCCACCCTCCCGTGCCCCGTTTTGGGCCTAGTAGGCCTCCCTGCAGTCTCCTGGGAGCAAAAACAGGCCATGGGGGGGGGGCTGCGCCACACCCCCCTGCGCCCTGTTTTGGGCCTAGGAGACCTCTCTGCAGCCTCCTGGGAGAAAAAACAGGCCGCGGCGGGGGGGACCGCACCGCCACCCCCCTATGCCTCCTTTTGGGCCTAGTAGGCCTTCCTGCAGCCTCCAGGGAGCCAAAATGGGGCACGTGGAGACTCCTGGAAGGGGCGTGGCCAGCCAATAATTTAACTACCGATTCAGACGAACCAGCCTGAACCGGCTCAATCCCAACACTGTTTCCGACTCTTTTTAGCACAGTAAAATGAAGTAATTGTTCTGACCCAGCTTTCGCAAGTAGGGATAAGACGTGAATAAAACAACCACTCTTTTATAACTGGGCAGTAACAATCTTTTATTCATGTGGATAAACAAAAAAAATCAAACTTATTTAGTCCCAACAAATCTGGGTTTAGCCAAGAAATCCAAATTGCTTGCTGTATACTAGAAATGAACGGTTGTCTGTGACAACCGGCCACTCCCAAACCCCTCCTATGTATTTCTCCAGCCAGGGACGGGCTGGCTATTGTCTGTGTCTGCTTCTCCCTGAGAGCCGGCTTACTTCTTTCTTTTGCTCTCCTCTCCTCTCTATGCATACGTGCATCTGGGATGGGCCCCATCTGTTCCTCCCCCTCATTCAGCTCAGGCCCTGAAGACAGCTGCCTCTCCACCTGGGGAAGGACGGAAGGCCCTGGCTCTGCCTCTGATGCTATTTCCTTATCAGAGCCTTCCGAAGGCTTCGAAGCTGGCCCAGGCTCTCCCTCCACTTCCTCCTCATCTGACTATGTAGGTAGCTCTGCCGGCAGCTGACAGGCCACGACAGTAATAACATACAGCCTCAACTTTTTATTTTTGCATAATAATATATTCTAGCCATTTCTATAACAACAAACCTATCTAATCAGTAAAACCCAAAATCAATGTTTCATTTTTTCCACCTCAAGCACCAAGTCCAGAAGCGGTTTCCAAGTAGAAGTGAGGTTGGTTGTATTCTTTTCTTTAGTTAAAGCAGTCAATTTAGCCATCTCTGCTAACTCCATCAGCTTTTGGGACCAATCAACCATTGTGGGGAGAATGCTTGATCCTCCCTCCCTCTCAGTGCTACCATATGTCCCCCTTTATCAGAGCTTTGCAGTTTTTGAGGATACAAATACCCCTAAACATATGCTCAGCTATTTTGTAAATGCACTTGTTAATTGGAATATCTTTTTACCAATAGGAATTGTTAAACATTTATTTGCTTCATGGATAAAAATGAACTGGTGATTTCTGGATTTACTGATTATAAATGTCTAGATATGGGAAGAAGAGAACTATAATCGTGAAAGGGGGGGGCATGGTATCACGTATGTCTGCTGAAAAGATTGGAAGTTGTATCTTTCAAATGCATCCCTTTTTCCTCACTCTCTATTACTTTTAACACTTTTTCTTTATCTTTTCCTACTTTTTAATTTTGTGTGTGTTTATCTTTTAACTTTGAAAAAATGCATAAATAGAGTAGATAGATAATGATGGATGATTGATGATAGATATGGAAGATAGAGAGAGAGAGATAGTAGACAGATAATGATGGATGATTGATGATAGATATGGAAGATAGATAAATAGACATATAGATAGATAGATAGATAGATAGATAGATAGATAGATAGATAGATAGATAGATAGATAGATAGATAATGATGGATGACTGATGATAGATATGGAAGATAGATAGATAGATAAAGATAGATAGATAATGATGGATGACTGATGATAGATATGGAAGATAGATAGAAAGAAAGAAAAATAGTAGATAGATAATGATGGATTGATGACATATGGAAGAGAGAGAAGAGATAGACAGTAGATAGATAATGATGGATGATTGATGATAGATATGGAAGATAGAGAGAGAGAGAGATAGTAGACAGATAATGATGGATGATTGATGATAGATATGGAAGATAAATAGACAGATAGATAGATAGATAGATAGATAGATAGATAGATAGATAGATAGATAGATAGATAGATATAGATAGATAGATAATGATGGATGATTAATGAGATATGGAAGATAGATAGATAGAAAGAAAAATAGTAGATAGATAATGATGGATTGATGACATATGGAAGATAGATAGACAGTAGATAGATAATGATGGATGATTGATGATAGATATGGAAGATAGAGAGAGAGAGAGATAGTAGACATATAATGATGGATGATTGATGATAGATATGGAAGATAGATAGATAGATAGATAGATAAATAGATATAGATAGATAGTAGATAGATAATGATGGATGATTGATGACAGATAGATAGATAGATAGAGAGAGAGAGAGAGAGAGAGAGAGAGAAATAAAGAATCGTTTGAATGTTGACTCTTGCCAGAACTTTAATTTCATTCAAGAACAAAGAATAGATGAAAAAAATACGTAGGTTGTCTTTCTTTTGAAGCAAGTATTCAGGTTTAATCACTTTTTTCTGTTCTTCCAAACAATTAGAAGATCTTTTTTCCTGACTCCCCCAATTAACTATGGGAAAAATGATGTATCTATTTTTTCATCTGCAATAAGTACATAGAAACATGTAAACGGGTGAGCTGATATTTCCCAGCCTTGCTGGACTGTACGTACCATCCTCACTTAAACAACCTATGTTTGGACGTTCTTCCTGTAGGACCTGCCAGGCTATGCTCTGGTGGCCTGCGTGGGTCAACCTCTGCTTGGCTGCCTGCAAACGCACGTCTGTTTCTTTGAGGTCCATCAGTTCCTGCAAAGAGAAGACACCGTGCCTTCCCATCAGATCCTATTGCCAAAAACCCACAATAAACCTTCATTGCCAAAAATAGAAGCATTCATTACAATACTGGATCCAATCCACTGATCAATGTTTCCTGCAATAGGGCTAACAAGAGCCTGTATCTCAGTATAAATCAGTGATGGCTAACCTTTTTGCCGTTGCGTGCCAAAAGCGGGGGGGGGGGGTCACACATGCGTGTGCCCACACCCATAATTCAATATGCCCCACACACACACATTCTGAAGTTGGCAAACGGGCCGTTTCTGGTCTCCAGCGGGCTTCGGGGTGGGGAAGACCGTTTTCACCCTCCCCAGGCTCCTAAACAGCCTCTGGAGCCTGGGGAGAGCAAAAAGCGGGACCACAGGAAGTCAGCAAATGGGCCGTTTCCAGCCTCCGGAGGGCCTCGCGGGGGTGGGGGTGGGGGTGGGGGGTGTAGAGAAGGCCATTTTCGCCTTCCCCAGGCTCCTAGAAAGGCTCTGGTGGGTCTGGAAGACCCGAAAATCAGCTGGCTGGCGCGCACATGTACACCGGAGTTGAGCTAAGACAACTCTCACTGTGCCCACTGATATGGCTCTGTGTGCCACCTGTGGCATGTGTGCCATAGGTTCGCCATCACGGGTATAGGTAGTCCTCGCTTATCGACTGCTCCTTCAGTGGCCACTCACAGTTATGACAGGGCTAAAAAAGGAGATTTATGACTGCTCCTCGAAACTGGGGCCATCGCAGGGTCCCTGCAGTTATGGGCTCAAGATTTAAATGCTTGGTAACTGGCATACATGTTATGCCAGTTTTCAATAATCCCAGCTTAACTTCCAACAAGCACAGTAACTGGGGAAGCCAGCAGGAAGCCGCAAGTCGCAATTACAAATTTTCAGATTTTTTTTTCACTGTAGCAGAACTGATGTCATAAATTGGGCGCAATCATATAACATTTCACTTGTTGACTGTTTCACTTAGTGACTGAGTTTCTGGTCCCAACTGTGGTTTGGTAAGGGAGGACCACCTGTATTATTTTGGTGGAGTTCAAAGTCCCAAATTGGATGGTACATACAGTAGCCCTCGATTTACAATAGATTCATTTAATGACCGTTCCAAGTTACAACGGCGGTGAAAAAAGTGACATTTTACAACCATTTTTCACACTTATGACCGTTGCATAATTCCCATGGTCACGTGATCCAAATTCAGATGCTTGTCAAGTGACTCCTATTTATGACGGTCGCAGTGACCCGGGGTCATGTGATCCCCTTTTGCGACCTTCTGACAAGCAAGCAAAATCAAAGGGAAGCCGGATTCACTTAACAACCATGCTGCTAACTTAACAGCTGCAGTGATTCACTTAACAACCGTGCCAAGAAAGGTCGCAAAATGGGACAAAACTCACAACTGTCTCAGTTAACAATTCAATTGTAATCATACGTCAAGAACTACCTGCACCTAAAATATATATGTATATGCATACACACAGTGGTGAAATGTAAAATTTGTTACTACCGGTTCTGTGGGCATGGCTTGGTGGGGCTGGGTGGGCATGGCCAACTTTTTTTTTTTTAACTTTTAAAAGCATTTTTTCTACAACCTCTTCGGCCGAAGAGGGTGTAAAAAAAAATGCTTTTAAAAGCCTCTGACGATCCCAGCTGAGTTGCCTGATTGGCAGAGGCTTTTTTTCTTTTAAAAGCCTCTGACAATCCCAGCTGAGTTGCCTGATTGGCAGAGACATTTTTGGCTGAAGAGGCTGTTGAAAAAATGCTTTTAAAATTTTTTAAAAAAGCCGGATGATTGTGCAGCTCAGCTCGGCATGGGGGGGGGAGGGATTTTTGCTACCGGTTCTCCGAACCACCCGCCACCGGATTGGGCGATCTGGTCCGAACCGGGAGCATTTCACCCCTGCATAAACACACACACACACACATATCTATATCTATATAACGCATCAAACTTTATTATAAAGAGCAGAAAGGGTTCTCTCATCCCAACAATATTGTGCTGGCATTTTAGGGTACAATACAATTTATTTCCCACAAAATTATTACAGTCAGTCCTCAATTTACGACTGGTCAACATTAGAAGTTTTGCGAGATCTACTGGGGGGTGGGGTCATTTACACTTCAGAAGTTCCAACAGTTGCCCCCCCCCCCCAGTCATGTGACCGGACTTTGGGTGCTCAGCATCCAGGCTGCATTTATAGCTGTTTGCAAACATCCCGTGATCATATGACCATATTTTACAATGTATGCGCCGAAAACTGGCATTCACTTCCAGTTTTCTGCAAAATTCCACCCACAGCAAACCACTGGTTCACCTAACAATTGCAGCGTTTGCTTACGGACCATGGATTGGCTTAACAACTGACTGGTCCCATGAAAAACCTGGTTTACGACTCAAAAATTACAACTGTGATGGGTGAGTTACAGTTATAACTCAAGGACTACCTGTATAACCTTTGGCTGCATTTCTTCATACAGGTGGTCCTTGACTTACAACAGCTCATTTAGTGACTGTTTGAAGTTACAATGTCACTGAAAAGAGTAACTTACAACCGTCTTTCACACTTATGACCACTGTAGCATATCCCTGTGATCACGTGATCAAAATTCAGATGCTTCGTAACTGACCTATGACGGTTGCAAGTGTCCCAGGGTCATGTGATCACTATTTGCGACCTTCTGAGAAGGAAAGTCAATGGGGAAGCCAGATTCACTTAACGACTTTGTGATTAGCTTAACAACTGCAGTGAACTGTGGCAACGCAGGTTGTAAAATGGGGCAAAACTCACTTAAGAAATGTCTCACTTAACGACAGAAATTTTGGGCTCAATCGTGGTCGTAAGTCGAGGACTATCTGCTTTCTTGAATCTCTAGGCCAGTTGTGTGTCATCTTTGGATTTAGGTCTGCAAAAGCCATTTCACCAAGTCTGAAGAGATTAATCTATATATATATAAATGGCTCTGTGTGTGTGTGTGTGTGTGTGTGTGTGTGTGTGTGTGTGTGTGTTCCAGCATAACTCTGGAACGCCTCGAGCAATTTCAACCAAACGTGGTACACAGTTGATTTACTCTCTGGAAAGAAATATTGAGGAGGTAAGACACCCCTAACACCCCTCGGGGGGTGGGGTCTGTTAAGATGCAGCCTGTTGTGCCTTAAAATGGCTTCTACTGTACAACACAGTGAAGTTGCCATGGTAACAGCTTCACAGTACTCCACAAGGGGGCTCCCTCTGGTAAGGGGGAAAATCCAACATTAGAAATTACGTTTGGTCCGGACATTTTCAACAAGGCTTTGATTATTCTTGCAGACAAATGTATATAATTCATTCGTTTTCCTGTCTAATACAGGATTGGGATAAATAAATACCCAGGCAACGCCAGGTTATCAGCTAGTTGTAAATAAACTCCCAGCTAAAAGAGCCAACAATGAAGTGGGTGGAATTCTAGTCAGAAATAACTAACTTATTTCAAATCTGCTCCAAAAACTACCCCGCCAGAGCAGCACCTACCTCTTTCAATCCAGTTTGGACCACTCCAAGTCCTTCCAGAGGAGGCAACGAGCTGATGTGATTTGGGGATTTAGTTCCATTGCCTGCAAGTAACGGGAGACAGACATTATAAAGGGAATTAGTTTGTGCTATCTTATGCCAGTAGCTGGTGAAGAGCACCATACCATACAATAGGACTCTTCAAACTTAGCAACTTTAAGACTTGTGGACTTCAATTCCCAGAATTCCTCAGCCAGCCTTAAAGTTGCCAAGTTTGGAGAGCCCTGTTACACAGCAAATTGTAGATCAGACGAAGGCAAAATCATGCCCATTTACAAGGCACCCAGCAGGATCTGAGGATACGTCCCGTAATCAAAGAGTGAGAGATTACCTCTCCAAAACTCCCCATCCGTCAAAACGGACAACCCACTGGAATTTAGTTTTCCTTGCACCTTCTTCCCATTCAGGAAAGTAATGGATTTTTAAAATTGATATTCCTACCAAGGCCTTGTTCAATTCTTTGAGAATTTAAATCCTTTTAAATTCATGATGAAAATCAGGCAACGCATGATAGGCTTGGAGGAGATTATATTGAAATTAGCCAAAAATAGTTGGTGTTCTGGAGAAAAATATGTTGGGAACTAACAGAATATGTTGAATAATAGCCAAATAACAGAGGGAGGTATGGAAGAAAATATGCTGGAAATTAGACTAAACAAAACATATTTTTGTGATAAATCTGTGTAACATGAAAAGAGTAATAGATGACAAGGGGGATAAAATCAAAGATAAATTGATAAAGTTTAAGATATTAAGAATCGAGGAAAGGGTCAAGAGACTAAGAATTAGATAGAACTGTGCTTTATAAAGTGTAATAAGAATGGAGTGGTATAGAATTTGAAATCAAGATTTGTGGTGATAAAATTATAAGGTAAATAATTAGAACAAGAGGTTAGAATATTGTTAAAAAAATTCTTTTTTGATACTGATGGAAAAAGATATAAGGTGAAGAAGAAAAAGATATGATTAAGATTGATTAATAGAAATAAAAATGAGTGAGTTAATTTGAAATTAAAACTGTATTGATATAATAGATTTGTTTAGATGATGATGTTAGAATTTATCTTAAAACTTGTTCTTATAGGTTTCGAACTTTTACTGTAGAGCTTTGACTAAAAAATTTTCTTTGTTTTGATTTTGAATTTTAAAAGATATAATGGGAAATTGTGAATGGAGCCTTTTTAAAATGTAAGCAATTGTACCTATTCATGACCGGATCGAGACTTCGCTCTCAAAAGAGATGTATTTTAAGTGTTATGTTGGAAAAAATAAAAAATATTTTGAGAGAAAAAAAAAGAAGAAAATCAGGCAACGCATGGAAGGATTCACGGAGCTCTGCCCTGATCAAATCATTCAGCCAAATCAAGAGAAAATTCAATAATTAGGTACCGTACTTTTAGGAGAATAAGACACACTCCCCCCTCTCCATAAAAGAGGGTGGAAATGTTGTTGCATCTTATACACCGAATACAGCCATTTTTGGCCTCCTGAAACCCTGCCCCGCACGTCCCATTTTTGCCAAAAATAGGCCCGTTTTTCACAAAAACAGGGTCTGCAAGGGTTTGGGAGGCCTGCAGAGTGCTCCTGGAGACTGAGGAGGGCAAAAATGTTCCCGTTTTTGCAAAATACGGGCCCATTTTTGGTCTCCCAAACCCCTCATGCATCACGTTTTTTTCCCCTCCCCGGCCCCCAGGAGCACTCTGCAGGCCTCCCAAACCCTCTGTAGGCCCCGTTTTTTTCCTTGTTTACCTCTTTGAAATCTTGGTGCGCCTTATACTCTGGTGCACCTTATAGTCTGAAAAATACGGTACTTTGGGGTGCAAATCAAAGGATTGGCAAACCGTATCTCGCAATCCCATTCTCATGGATCTTCTAGACAAACTGCATTTCTTTGAAAATCTTCTCTTCCCAGAGACAGAATCAAGCACAAGAGCTTTGAATGTAGGTTTTTGGCTGCTCAGTTTAAAAGATTCAAATACCGCAAATGCAGAAGAACATTCGTTCCTGCATTATAATTCTTACCTGGCACTTTGATCTCCACTTCAATGTTTTCTCTCTTGACCGTCTCCAAGGGCTCCTTCTCCGCTGGTTCAAAATCAGCCAGTTCTTCATTTTGGGGGCCCTGAAAGAAAGAGGAGAGTCTTTACTCGGAACAAGTGAGATTGATTTTCACATATTCTTTGTGGACTGCTGGCTTTATGAGGATTATTGAAAGGCAGTTCAGTTTCAAAACAATATTGCAAGAATTCCAGTCAGAATTCCTTGTTTTCTTAAATATCACTGCATTAGCACAATAAGAGAACTTAAGGTAAAGGTTCCCCTCGCACATATGTGTTAGTCATTCCCGACTCTAGGGGTCGGTGCTCATCTCCGTTTCAAAGCCGAAGAGCCAGCGCTGTCCGAAGACGTCTCCGTGGTCATGTGGACAGCATGACTAAACGCCAAAGGTGCACGAAACTCTGTTACCTTCCCACCAAAGGTGGTCCCTATTTTTCTAATTGCATTTTTTACGTGCTTTCGAACTGCTAGGTTGGCAGAAGCTGGGACAAGTAACCGGAGCTCACCCCGTTACCCAGCACTAGGGATTCGAACCGCTGGACTGCTGACCTTTCGGTTGACAAGCTCAGCGTCTTAGCCACTGAGCTACCGCGTCCCTAAGAGATTGGTGCATTTTGCATTTTCTCCCTAGAATGAAACATCAATTGGCTATGTTAACTTGGGTATGTCTTTATTTTTTTTATTTATTTATTTTATTAAATTTTTATATCGCCCTTCTCCTGCTGGACTCAGGGCGGTGAACAGCCAAGAATAAAAAAACATCCAATACAAAATTTAAAATTATTAAAAGAATTAAACAAATTTTGGCCCAGATTTAAAACATCCCAACTAAAATCTGTTACAATTAAAATATCTAAAGGGGGTGGGGGGGTTACACCAGCCCAGCTTGGTGAAATAGAAAAGTTTTGAGGACACGGCGAAAAGCACGGAGATCTGGTATCCTACGTATCTCCGGGGGCAGGTCGTTCCAGAGGGCAGGTGCTGCCACAGAGAAGGCCCTCCCCCTGGGCGTCGCCAGCTGACATTGCCTGGCTGACGGCACCCTGAGGAGTCCCTCTCTGTGGGAGCGAACTGGCCGGTGGGAGGCTATCGGTGCCAGAAGGCGGTCTGAATCTGTCCCAGACGGTCAGAACAGCTTTTGTAAACCTTGGCAACTTTTAACATGTGTGGACTTCAACTTCAAGACAATCGCACATTTTAAAGTTGCTAAGGTTGAAAAACACGGGGTTAGAGGCTTTGCATTTTATGGGAGAGGCAAACAAACACTGCAGGTGGTAGAACTGACAAGCTGATTACTAATGGAGAGGAGACCACCTGGAAACTTCCAATCCTTTAAGCTGAACTAGGAAGTAAAAAAAAATTCAAGAAAAAGAAAAGTTGCAAATCATTTCCATCTGGTTGCTAACAGAATTGCAAGGATAAATCCAAGTACAGCTAGTCCTTGACTTACAACTGCTCATTTAGTGACCATTCGAAGTTACAACGGCACTGAAAAAAGTGACTTTTTGACCATTTTTCACACTTACGACTTTTACAGCATCCCCATGGCAACTGACACATATTTATGAGGGTTGCAATGTGCCAGGACCGTATGATCCCTTTTCCGACCTTCTGATAAGCAACATCAATGGGGAAGTCATTTAACAACCATGTTACTAACTTGTGATTCACTTAACAACTGTGGCAAGAAATGTTGTAAAATGGGAAAAGGGTCACTCAACAACTGTCTTGCTTAGCAACATAAATGTTGGGCTCAAATGTAGTTATAAGGCGAGGGCTACCTATATTCTTAAAATAATTTTATTATCCTGAATTTGTTAAGGGAAAAAAGTATACCTATGTACAACATGAATTATAAAGAACGGGAAAGAAAAAAAATGGGCCTGAAAAATTCCAATGTAAATAAAATCATTCCAAAAACTTTGGGTCTCTTGTTCAAAAGTTCTGCAGTTAATAGGAAGTGAACAATGATTCAGAAGTGCCATTCATTTTCATCAAGTTGTAACTAACTGCAAGCAATCCTCAATTTATGACCCTAATTGAGCCTGGCAATTATGAAGTTGTGAAGGTCTTAAAGCACTGCATGAGCAGACCTGTTTTATTATATATTTTTTTTCAATGGTTGTTAAGCGAACCCATCATTCGCTATGGGCTGGATTTTGCTGGACACCGGAACTAAACACAAGTTTCCGGCGAAACCGTTGTAAATCAAGGGGTGCTGCAATATGGCCGTGTGATTATGATGGGGGGAGGGAGGGGGCATCAGAACTTAACTCAAATCTTAAGTCCCTTTTGCCATAACTTTGAACTGTCATAACTCAAGGACTGTCTGTAACTGCAGTTTTTTGCAATGTGTACCATACTGTATGGTACATAAACGCTGAGATTAAGAAACTATACCGGACGGCCTTCAGATTTGGTTCCTTGTTGACTCTGCAGGAAGTCCTCCACCAGGGCCACGGCCTGGGAACACGTGTCCGGCTTCCTGGGTTGAATCCAGCTCTGGAGCTTTGGAGGCAAGCTGGCCAAGAACTGTTCCAGGATCAGCAACTCCAGGATCTGCTCTTTGGTATGTCTCTCTGGCTTCAACCACTGGTGGCAAAGTTCCTGGATCTGCTTGTAAACCACCCGAGGATCTTCCACCTCCTGGCAGCAGAACTGCCTGAAGCGCTGACGCCGGGCCTCCGTTTTCACCGCTTCCCCTTTCAAGATGGCCGCCTTCACGTTCTCGTAATCCCCTTGATGAATGGTGTCCAGGCAACGAAAGGCCTCTTCAGCTTCTCCACAAAGGGCTGGCAAGAGATGGGCTACCCACTCTCCTCTGGGCCACCGGCAGGCTCTGGCCACCTGTTCGAAGGAGGCTAAGAAGGCCTTGGGATCTTCCCAGGGAGAATTCCTTGATCTTGTTGGATTTCCTTCTCTGGAATGAGAGGGTTGAAGCGTCTTGAGGAACTGCTGCCATTGCGTTTCCCAGCGCGCTTCCATCCCAATGAATGGGTCTCCCTTGATCCAAGGTGATGCTCACTTATCTTGTCTCTTGGATGTAAATTAAGGTTCAACTGCTCCAATGTTTGGTTCTTCTGCCCGTTCTGGTCCTGTTTGTTCTTTCTTCTCTAGCTCCTTCTTCTATAATATAGAGCATTTTCAAATTAGCGCACTAGACAAAATATTGTGAGAATATATAGCATAGCAGAATCCTGAAATACACCTCCTTAATTCTGAGTTTTCAAAAGTAATTCTGAGATGCAACTGACATGATTCTAAAAGCATCTCCTGAACTATTTGATCCTCTTGTTTTCATCTGACCTAAAAATGCAACTTTAACCCTAGATAAACAAAAATTCAAATATTTTTTGTCAGCGCACAACATATGCACAATGAGATTGATTCACACAATCTTTATAAAGGTTCGCATTTTGTTGCTAACTAATGTTTGACTTTTTGGAGAGATAGGGCAGCTTTATTTATTTATTATTTATTTATTTATTGGTTTGATTTATATGCCGCCTGTTCGACTTTTTGGAGAGGTAGGGCAGCTTTATTATTTATTTATTTATTTATTTATTTATTTATTTATTTATTTATTTATTTATTTATTTATTTATTTATTTATTTATTTATTTATTTATTTATTTATTATTTATTTATTTATTTATTTATTTTTTATTTATTTTTTATTTATTTATTTATTTATTTATTTATTTATTTATTTATTTATTTATTTATTTATTTTTAGTTATTTATTTATTGGTTCGATTTATATGATGCCCTTTTCCGGAGACTCAGGGCAGCTTACAATGCGTTAAGCAATAGCCTTCATACTTTTGTATATACCTGCTTAGTAAGGCTTTCGCCCCCCCCCCAAGCGGTGTTCTTTTTTATACAAAGTCAGTTTATTGCCCCCACAATCCGGGTCCTCATTTTACCTACCTCGGAAGGATGGAAGGCTGAGTCAACCTTGAGCCTGGTGAGATTTGAACTTGCAGTAATTGCAGGCAGCTGGTGTTACTTAACAGTGCTTTAGTCTACCACCAAGGATCTTTTAGCAGAAAAGATTATAAATTAAAAGATTACACTACTAAGTCAGGCTTGTATTTACAACATTTGGCACTGCTATTTTCTATTTCTCGGGGGGGGGGGGGCTTCTGTCCTCCAAAATCTAAGCTAAACGAAGTTTCGTAATTAATCACTTGTAGCACAATACGATACAAGAATATCACACAAGTTATAAGAAACTAGCCAAGAATTTTGAACAAGCGGTAGAGATTTGCCATCCAAAATTCACTTTCTTAATTCTCAGTGAACTTTTCACTTTTGGGGAAGCCTTACCTCAGACATCCGAAAGCGAACAACCTACTCTCTTTTATCAAGAAGTTAACAACACAGGCACACAAACACATGCACAGTGGCAGATGTGACACGTGGGCCTTTCAAAGACTAAACGGATTTTTTTTTTTTTTTACTGCTTTGGGGGGATTAAAAAAAACAACCCTTTTTTTCTCAATGGGCATCATATGGAGACAAAGAAAATTCTTGAAAATATCCTTTCCCTTTCTAAAGCCTGGCTCTTTCTCTGCACCTATATTAAGGGGGGGGCAGTGGAAGAGGCGAGGCCAGCCTGCCCCTCTTCTTGTCCCCCCCCCCACTCCTTCCCAAGGGACAAGGAGGCGGAGGGCTGATCTTGCAAACGGGGATCAGCGCACTCGCCGCCTCCCACCCCCCCCCCCATCCCCGGCAGGAGCTCCGTGGCGGCCCTGCAGCGGGAAACACGGAGGGAGGGGAGGGAGATCTCCCCTTCCCCCGCTGCGCCCCCCCCCCCCCAAAAATCCCGTCTTCCCCGGGCCGCCGAGCCCCCGGCCTGCACCCCTGCGCTGGAAAGGCAAGCAAGACGCGCAACTCAATGCTATGCCGTGCAATGCAAGAGATGCAATGCAATGCAACGCAACGCAACGCAAATGCAATCCGCCCCCGACCAATCTTGGCTCCGGGGACGATCCCGGAGGCCTCCCGGTGCAACGGTCTGGCGCAGCTCCGGAGCAAACCTCCGCCTTCCCCGCCCAGGATTGCAAGGCTGGAGGCCTCGCCGGCTAACCCCCCCGGCCCGTACCGGCAGCGGCGGGACCCGCGCGGCTCCTCTCCTCCCCGGCGCCGTCCGGTGGGCGTGTGAGCGCTGGGGGCCCCCCGGGACTCCCGGCCGCCGCAGCTGCGCCCATCAATCCCCGCCTCGCTTCGCCTTGACGCTCCGCCGCTGGATGGGCGGAAGGGAGGCCGCGGGCGCCCCCTCCCGACCGGCCGCGGCTCTGCCTTCTTTCCCGCAGCCGTCTGGGACCGGCCAGGCGACGGATTCAGTCAGTCAGTCAGTCAGAATAGAGCTGGAAGGGACCTTGGAGGTCTTCTAGTCCAGCCCCCTGCTCCAGCAGGAGATTTGTATCACATTTGGGGAAAGCTGCTCAACCCTAATAACCCTGAGATGGATTTCTGGGTGGCCTCCCAACCAGTTCCCCAATAGGGCCCACCCTGCTTGTTTGGTGTGGTCTGTTTATTCTTGTTATGGAATGATGGGACCAAACAACATTCCTGGGTCAGCCAGAGACAGTTTATTGCGCAGTTTCAGAACCAGATTTGTATCTGCAATTCTGAACCTAGAAGAGCTCTGGTACAACTGCTTTTATACATCTCCAAGACAAAAGATTTTGTGAGCACAGCAGTTTTCCATATATGGTTAACGTACATTTGTTACATGATAATGGATACTTTCTAAATTACTAAATTCCTACATTATTTTCTAGTTCATAAGATTATCTTAGCTAAACAACGTTCCTCGGTTCTGTGATTGCTGATGCGTAGATTCATGGCTGCTTTGGATAATAAGTAACTTTTGTTTCATATGGATGTCCTTGCATTCTTGACAATTAGGTCCCTCAGAAGATATATGTATTACCAAGAATAGAATTTAGCTGTAATCTCTAAACAAGCACATTTCTTTCTTATAATAATGTGAAAAAAGAGGGTCCTTCAGTGTTCATATAGCTAACCCTGTACTACTCCTACATCATTCACATTATTATGACAGACTAGGAATGACATGATAGTTGTCTTCCAATATTTTATTTATTATTTTATTTTTATTAGTTTGATTTATATGCCACCCTTCTCCTGAGACTCAGGGCGGCTTACAATGATTTTAAGCAATAGCCTTCATACTTTTGTATATACCTGCTTTAGTAGCGCTTTTGCCTCCCCCCCAAAACAGTGTTCCTTTTTATACAAAGTCAGCTTATTGCCCCCACAAATGGGGTCCTCATTTTACCTACCTCGGAAGGATGGAAGGCCAAGTCAACCTTGAGCCTGGTGAGAATTGAACTTGCAGTAATTGCAGGCAGCTAAATACTACTTTAACAGTAATTTAGTCCACTGCACCACCAGGCTCTATATTTGCGGGGCTGCCACAGAGAAGAAGGGGTGTGGGATGTCAAGCTATTCTCCAAAGCACCTGAGGGCAGGACAAGAAGCAATGGGTGGAAACCAATCAAGGAGAGAAGCAACTTAGAACTAAGGAGAAATTTCCTGACAGTGAGAACAAGTAATCGGTGGAACAACTTGCCTCCAGAAGCTGTGAATGCTCCAACACTGGAAGTTTTTAAGAAGATGTTGGATAACCATTTATCTGAAGTGGTGTAGGGTTGATTGATGCCTCGTCCGTGGCATCAATCAATCAGAATACAGCTGGAAGGGACCTTGGAGTCCGTCTTCTAGTCCAGCCGCCTGCTCAAGCAGGAGATTTGTATCAGATTTGGGGAAAGCTGCTCAATCCTATTAACCCCGAGATGGATTTCTTGGTGGCCTCCCAACCAGTGGTGGGATTCAAATAATTTTAACAACCAGTTCTCTGCCCTAATGACCTGCTGGGTGGGCGTGGCCAGGGTGTGTGACAGGCAGCACTCAGCCTCCTGCAGCCCCCTGGGAGAAAAAAATGGGCTGCTGGGGGGGGACAGATGTGCCAAACCCCCCCATGCCTTGTTTTGTGCCTAGGAGGCCTCCCTGAAGCCTCCTGGGAGAAAATGGGGCGCTTGGGGACTTTTGGAAGAGGCGGGGCTGGAAGGGGCCAGCCAGAAATTTAACTACCGGTTCGCCCGAATTGGCTGAATCTCACCACTGCTCCCAACCAGTTCCCCGATAGGGCCCACCCTGCTCAGCGTTTTTCGTGATCCGCTATTGATCCGCTAGCTGTGTGAATCCTTCTGCTGGAAGAACATTTGGGTCAGTGAGGAACAGAAAGCTCTGCTGCACACTGGACCAAAATGCTGTGTGTTGCGTTTCTATAACCCTACAGTGACTCATGGCTTCTCTCTCTCCTACTTCTCAGCTTCACCCCGACTCCCCTGCTTTGTAGTTCAAGGAGCAGCACTTTTGACTATGAAGTACAGACTACAGATGTCTATGGAGATTCTCAGACATCCAGGTCATGGTTGTCCCAAAGGTGCTTCCCCCCCACCCCACCCCACCCCAAGAGGCAACTGGACTTTCTGGTTTTTCTTTGAAGACATTTCGCTTTTCATCCAAGAAGCTTCTTCAGCTCTGACTGGATGGTGGGGAATGGAAGAGTTTATATTCTTCCAGCTGTTACGTCATATGTGACTTTGAGGGCACAGATAGACCTCCAAGTGGCCTCACAAGCTCTCTAAAAGGATGCGAATTTTATTTATTTATTTATTTATTTATTTATTTATATTTCTATACCGCCTTTCTCCCGTAGGACTCAAGGCGGTGTACAGTCAAGAAAAATATAGATATACAAGCATCATAAAATTGCTAATTAAAATTATTATTATACCATAGTTTGGCCCAATTAAATAGAACCTAAAATTAGATAACATTTTAAAAACATTCACATGTTCATATGTTTAGCCCCGCTTGTTGGAACATCAGGGTCTTGAGGGCACGGCGGAAAGCACGGAGATCAGGGATATTCCGTATCTCAGGGGGCAGTTCATTCCAAAGGGTTGGAGCCCTCACAGAGAAGGCCCTCCCCCTGGGAGTTGCCAGTCGGCATAATTTGACGGTAGCCTGAGTAGTCCCGCCCTGTAAGAACGAACTGGTCGGTGGGAGGCTATTGGTGGCAAAAGACGGTCTCGTAGGTACCCAGGTCCTAAACCATGGAGTGCTTTAAAGGTGATAACTAACAAATGACCAGCTCTCTGCAAGGAATATAAATCCTTCCATTCCCCACCATCCAGTCAAGAGCTGAAGAAGCTTCTTGGATGAGAAGCGAAATGTCTTCAGAGAAAAACCAGTTGCCTCTTGCGGAGGAGCGGGGGGGGGTGGGGAAGCACCTTTGGTACAGAATTCAGAATAAGAGTTGGAATGGACTCTGGAGATCTTGCCCCTGGCTGAAGCAGCAGACCCTATACCTGTGATGGTGAACCTATGGCACGCGTGCCACAGGTGGCACATGAAACCATATCTGTGGGCACGCAAGCGTTGCCCTAGCTCAGCTCCAGCACGCCAGCTGATTTTCGGGCCTTCTGAGCCCACTGGAAGTTGGGAAATGGACTGTTTCCGACCTCCGGAGGACCTCCGGGACGGTGGGGAAGGCTGTTTTTGCCCTCCCCAGGCGCCAAGAAAGCCTCTGGAGCCTGGAGAAGGCGAAAAACGGGCCCTGGGCCCACCATGCCATCGCGTGCCAAAAGCGGGGGGCAGGCACAGGGGGGCATTGAATTATGGGTGTGGGCACATGCGCACACGACGCCCCCCCGCTCCCTCTGCTTTTGGCACGCGATGGCAAAAAGGTTAGCCATCACTGCCCTATACAATTTCAGACAAGTGGCTGTCCAGTCTCTTCTTAAAAGCCTCCAGGGATAGAGCACTCGTAACTTCTGAAGTAATTCAGAGCTGAGGTAAACGCCAATTACATTTCAGTTTATCAAAGTAAGTTCTGAGCTGATTTTTCTGGGTTAGGAAGCGAAGACGGGATGCATTCCTGGGCTGCAGGCCAGGCTGGGAAGTAACAAACCCAACGAGCCAAAGGGCTCATCACTTCCTTCTTGCCAAGAAAATAGAACATTGCACAGTTGCGCCCATGTAGCCATTGTTGTGGCTCCGTTACCTGAGGCTGTGTCATCGGCAGGAGAGGACTCCGAGAGTGAAGGAGAGGAGTTGACAAGGCCTCCCTCTCCAGGACCCTCCTCTCTGGCAATGCCTTTGGTGTCCGCCAAAGGGCAAGAGATAGGGCCGGCGCCAAGCACATCCACGCAGCCACAGGTGGACAGTGATGAGAGTAATGAGTCTTGGCTGGATCCTCGACAACGTCACAGAGATAAGCGTGCGCAACAGAAGAAAAGGCGTGCCTGAGATTAGGCTGAGTCACTGGACCACACCCCACAGGATATAAAAGGGAGCGTGGTGGCCAGTCAAGCCTTGTGACGAACAAAGCTGAAAGCTTCCACGCCATTCTGCATTGCCGGACTTTTGCTATAGACTTTGCTGGATTATATTTGGATTTAAGTTACTCTGTAATTATTGAATATTTTACTTTGATGTACCAGAAGCGGAGAGAAGTTATCTCTTCCCTTCGTGAGTAATAAACTCTTGGCAGGTAGCCACTAGGTTGCTGCCAAGTTCCGTTATCATAAGGAAAAGGATTTTGTCGGCTGGTTTGGTTTTTAACTCTTGGACGTCTGTTGGTGTGTGTGCGTGTGGGACGGGGACAGAACAGCCATTAAGTTCAATTCCAAAGCCACTTTTACCTTTTAAAACAAAACTTTTGGGCCCGGGAAAAATCCCATGTCACCTCCACCCTTTGGGGACACACCTGTCAACATGGAATGGGATGGGATCTGGAAGGGACCTTGACCTCTTCTAGTCCAGCCTCCTGTTCAAGCAGGAGACCCATACCATTTCAGACAAGTAGCTGTCCAGTTTCTTCTTAAAAACCTCCACCGATGAAGCTTCCACAAATTCGGAAGGCAGGTTGTTCCACTGTTTAATTGTTCTGTTAGGAAGCTTCTCCTTAACTCCAGGTTACTTCTTTCCTTGATTAGTTTCCATCCATTGTTTCTTGTCCTACCCTCTGGCGCTTTGGAAAAATAAATTGACCCTCCTCATCTTTGGAGCAGCCTCTCAAAATACTGGAATACTGCAATCGTGTGTCCCCCATCCCCCACCCTTCCTTCTTTTCTCTAGACTGGCCAAACCCAAATCCTGCAACCATTCGTGTTTTAATCTCCAAATCTTTAATCATCTTAATTGATCCTTCTCTGCACTTCTTCTAAAGTCACATCATCTTTTTTGTAATTTATTTATTTATTTATTTATTATTTATTTATCAAATTTCTATACCGCCCTACTCCCGAAGGACTCAGGGCGGTGAACAGCCAAGATAAAATACAGATAATACAAACATTAAAAATCCATTAAAATTATTAAATTTTTTGGCCAAAACAAATTTAAAACACCCAATTTATAACGAATTAAATGATTTAAAAATTTAAAAGGGAGAGTTGGGCCAGGCCAGCCTGCTGAAATAAAAATGTTTTGAGAGCACGACGAAACGTGCGCAGATCCGGGATCCTCCGTATCTCCCGGGGGGAGCTCGTTCCAGATGGTAGGTGCCCCCACAGAGAAAGCTCTCCCCCTGGGGGCCGCCAGTCGACACTGTTTGGCCGACGGCACCCTGAGAAGCCCCTCTCTATGGGAGCGTACTGGTCAGTGTGGTGACCAAAGCTGGATGCAGTATTTCAGGTGTGGTCTTACTAAGGATTTATAAATTGGTACTACTACCGTAATACTTCACGTGATTTTGATTTCCCAATATCTTGTTTTGTTCTTTCCTGCAGCCGGCATCATGGCCTTCAAGTTACCCATCAGACAGGAGATAAAAAGTCCCAAACTCACCGGCAGATTTTAGCTGCGGTGGCATCACCATTCTACAATTTTAAGGAGGCATTGGGAAGCAGCAAGTAAATCCTCTGGTGAGTTCAAATTCCTTTAAAATTTTAAATCCATCCATCCATCCCATTTCTACACCACCCATCTCACCTATAAGGCATTTGCTGTTAAGAACACAGGAAACCTCCCACCCGAATGGAATTAAAACATCTCTTTTCTGTTGAATCATTGACCCAATTTATCACTATAGTGAGAGAGAAAAGTCCAAGCTGGGAATTAAAAGTACCGGTATTTCATTTCCTCTCTCTCTTACCCTTATATGCCAATACCGTGTTTCCCTGAAAATAAGACCCTGTCTTATATTTTTTTTTGAACCACGAAATAAGCACTTGGCCTTATTGCCATGCGCTCAAAAGCCCAATTGGGCTTATTATCATAGGATGTCTTATTTTGGGGGGGAACAGCCAAGAGATATAAAGCCAAGAGATGATTTTATCCAGCAGGATAATAGAGAAAGCCTCTTGGCACAGTTTTCCCCTCAGCGTTACAGGTAGTTTTTGTTTAGCAACTGCCTCATTTAGTGACCACCTGCAGTTACGACACTGATGAAAAATTGAGACTAATCCTTACATTTATGACCTTCACAGGTCTGTAAAACAAAAGAAGCTGAGGTAAGTTCATAAACACAATTTCACTTAGCGACTGCTAGACTCAATTGTGGCCCCTATATGAGGACTACCCTTCCTTCCGTCCATCAGTTTTATTTATTTATTTATTTTGATTTTCACCAGAAACTACTCCCCACAATATGCTATGTCAGTGTTTCTCAAAATATGGTTCTATGGTTCTCTGCATCTTCCTTAATGAAAACCTTCCCACCCTCTGGATAATCTGTCTCCTTCCCCTTGCCTTTCTCTATGTGGGATGAATGAATTTCTCTAGGACTGATTTTCTCTGCTACTTTAGGAATTTTTCCTGCAGGTGGTCTTAAATGATAATTTCTCACAAGCAACCCTCATGCTTCCATACATATAAAGGCTGGTCCCCAGAGAGCAGAAACTCAAGATTCTTCTATAAATAAGCAGCCTTAAAATTCCCCGTTATCAGTGACCTGCCTTCTTGTCAATTCGTTGGACGGCTATTTGAAGCAGGAAGTCTCTTTCCTAAGGGAGATAGGTTGACTAACGCAAAAAATTTTTGTAACCTCATCCTGTTCGTCTCAAGGAATCAGTTGAGCGGTGAGAAAAATCACTTCTCTTCTTTTAAACAGCTGCCAAATAGTCCCGACATTATGAGAGTGAATTCCTTAGTTTATAGCAAGCTACACCACCGCACTGAATTGAAGCCCCCCCTTCCACATTCAGAGCATTTCTATCAGCACTCTACCATACAACAGAGCAGGGGTCTCCAAAGTTGGCAACTTTTAAGACTTGTGGACTTCAACTCCCAGAATTCCTCAGCCAGCCAGTCATACTGGCTGGGGAATTCTGGAAGTTGAAGTCCACAAGTCTTAAAAGTAGCCAAGTTTGGAGAGCCGTGCAATAGAGCGGGGGTCTCCAAATTTGGCAACTTTAAGCCTAGCGGACTTCAACTCCCAGAATTCCCCAGCCAGCTGGGGGATTCTGGGAGTTGAAGTCCTCCAGGCTTTAAGTTGCCAAACTTGGAGAGCCATTCAATAGAGTACGTTCCAGGGGTGAAATCCAGCAGGTTCTGGAGAACCGGTAGCAGAAAGTTTGAGCAGTTTGGAGAACCAGTAGCGGAAATTTTGAGTAGCTCGGAGAACCAGCAAATACCACCTCGGGCTGGCCCCAGAGTGGGGCGGGAATGGAGATTTTGCAATATCCTTCCCCCAGGAGTGGGGAGGGAATGTGGATTTTGCAGTATCTTTCTCCTGCCACGCCCACAGAACCGGTAGTAAAAAAAATTGGATTTCACCACTGGTACATTCCCCTTCCCACCCTCACCCAGAACTGACTTGAAGCCATTACCTCACTAACATTCAGGTATTCTCTCTCCAGTATGATATATATACATATATATTTGCAAAAAAATTTTTATTTCTTAAACAAACTTACATAGCCACCTGTCTATTAGAAAAGACGCTAGGGGGCATGCAAGAGCGAAAAAACACAATTTGATCAAAACAAAACAAACACCTAAAACTATATCAGGGGTTTAGATAAAACTTGCTTCCATCAATCAACCAATCACATCTTGCTGGCACACTTCGACATCCTGATCCTAGCGCCTGGGACGGAAAGCCAGATCCTCACTGCTTTCCTGGAGGTCAACAACGTTGATCATCTGTCATCTTGAGGGAGCCGGAGGCTGTTCCATAAGGCAGTTGCTAGGACAAAGGCATGCTTCCGTGTCCCTATCAGGAAACACTGTTTAACTGAAGGGTTGTTTAACTGAGGATGCCCACCTGCCAGAACTTGGCAATGAGCAGGGATAGGCAGTCCTGCAAATAAAACCTGGCCCCATGCCAGATACGGCTTTAAAGGTTGATGTCCAGCACCCTGAAAGATCTTGGGAACTCATGTAGTAGAAGAATTATGTGGGTATCTTGTGATGCATCCCTACTGGATCAGTTGTAGCTTCTGAATGCTCTTCAAGGGCAGCCCCACTAGAGTGCACTGCCAACCGTCCAATCAAGACGTGTAAGGCATGGCCAAATGTGAGCAGGGCCCAATAGTGTTAGAAAAAGTGTGACTAGTGCACAAGATGCATTTATGCAAAGGCCCTCCTCCCCATGTGCCGCTTGCTCGTTGAGCAGGAGTGGTGAGTCCAGAAGGTTGGGAGTCCAGAAGAACCTCCCGATGCTGCGCCAGCTCCGACAGCCAAAATTAAAGATGGCAAACCACCAGGTGCAGTTGGGGACCCAAACTCACCGTCATTTGGTCTTGTCAGGAATCATGGAAGCAGAGCTGGAGAGAGTCATTAAGACCATCAAGTCCAACCTCGGCTCCATGTAGCAATCCCAATTAGGGTCCATGGATAGGTGGACACCTCTAGTGAAGAGTATCCCATCATCTCGTTGCAAAATTGATCCAACTGCTCAACCCTTTTTTATGACTAATGAATATTTTGACATTTTTGTCCTAGCATTCATGATTTCATGTTTTACCCTCTGGAATGAAAGAGGAGAAGTCTCTTGATTCTGAATGGCATCCATTAAGGGATTTGAAGTGTGCAATGATCCTTCTCTGTTTTCTTTTCAAAAGCTCCTAAGCAATAAGTTGAATTCAACTCCACATTTTCTTTCAGATCTCTCTCTGCTTTCAGAAAGCATAATCTACATAATTCATAATTTGGGCAAGAGACGGAGGGCCATAATGTTTATATTGGTTTTACAAGTAATCTTTGACTTATCACCATTCCTTTAATGACAGTTCCAACTTACGATGGTTTTGGAAAAAGTGACTTACGACCATCCCTCAATCACATGATCATAATTCAGTCACGTGACAACTGTCTCATCTTTACGACGGTTGCCGTCTCTTGTGATTGCAATTTGTGATCTTCCCACAAATGAAGTTAATTGGGGAAGCCAGGATTACTTAACAATCATGATAAGTAAACCGTTGTAAAATCAGATCCGGTCCTGTGGTGACTCGCTTATTGACCGCATCACTTAGCAACTGAAATTCCAACCCCAACTGTGGTTGCAAGTCAAGAACTCCCTGCCTTTATCCCAATTGTACACTAAAACTCTTTCTTCTATTCTACTGCCGCTCTTTCGTTTTCAATCGATTGTATCTTTCAATTACTATATTTCGATCATGGAGATTTTCCACGCTAGGTTTTAGTTACATCTGTGGCTTTTTCCTGAAATACGAATTTCCAGATAGTTCTTCAAGTCACTTCCCTGACCGACGTATTTCCACCGCTAAGGAACTGGGGTGGTTTGTCTCCGGTATGAATTCTCTGATGTCTCTTCAAAGTTCCTGATTGATTGAACCATTTCCCACACTGAGAACATCGGTAGGGTCTCTCTCCGGTATGAATTCTTTGATGCCTCTTCAGAAGCCCTGCCTGTCGGAAACATTTCCCGCAGTCGGAGCACTTGTGCGGTTTCTCACCGATATAAATTGCTGCGTGGATTTGAGAACATTTGTAGTATTTCTCGCCTGGGTGAAGCCTCTGGTGTTTTTTCAAAGTCCCCATCTGGTTGAAACCTTTCCCACACTGAGAGCATTTGTAGGGTCTCTCTCCGGTATGAATTCTTTGATGTCTCCTCAAAGTTCCCGACTTATTGAAGCATTTCCCACACTCCGAACACTTGTACGGCCTCTCTCCGGTGTGTGTTCTTTGGTGTATCTTCAAAACATCTGCCTCAGTGAAGCATTTCCCACACTGGGAACATCTGTGAGGTTTCTCTCCGGTATGAATTCTCTGGTGTCTTTTCAAGTTCCGCATCTCATTGAATCCTTTCCCGCACTCGGAACATTTGTACGGTGTTTCTCCAGTGTGGATCCTTTGATGTATCTTCAAAAGGATCCCTCGGGTGAAGCTTTTCCCACACTGAGGGCATTTGTAGGGTCTCTCCCCGGTGTGGATTTTCTGGTGGGTCTTCAGATTCCCTGCCTGATTGAAGCTTTTCCCACATTGGGAACATCCGTAGGGTCTCTCTCCGGTATGAATTTTCTGGTGGGTCTTCAGATTTCCTGCTTGGTTGAAAGACTTTCCACATTGGGAACATTTGTATGGTTTTTCTCCGGTGTGGATTTTCTGATGTTGACTCCACTGACTAAATTTACCAAATTGTTTCCCGCATTGAGAACATTCATACACTTTCCTTTCAGTGTCGTTAGGGGCCTGAATTATATTTAGCGAGTTTGCGTTACTGAAGGTTTTCACGTACTCGAGAGAATGGTCGTTTTCTTCTTCTAGATAACTGCACTGATATCTGTTGAAACGATTCCCATTTCTCTTTCCAGAAAACTTGCACTTTTTCTCAATTCTTCTATTTTCTTCCTTTTCGCCAAAGTCGGAAAGACACTGGAGATCGTCCTCTGAGCTAGGCCATTCTTCAAAGTCCTCCGAGGAATCTATCATGTCAAGTTCCACTCTGTAGTGATACTTCCGACCATACTTGGAGAACAAAGGCGTTTTATCTTTGCTGGATAAAGTGGTCTTTCCAATAACAGCAGTAGAAAATCTTTTTGCCAGCAAACGGCGTTCCTTCTCATCCTCCATGGGTGTCTCCTGGGTCTGCTTTTTTGATGGCAGATTCACAGGGCGTCTCGTGGAATCTGTCCTGAAAGTTGCCTCCAGCTTTTCATCTTCACCCAGAGAGTCGTCCATCTTGACTCCACTTTCCCATCCGTTACCTGCCGAGAAAGAGAAAAATGCCTTTAACTTCCTTTTGATTGGAATTTACTTCCAACATGTTCCACTCTGCTGAACGTCTGGTCGTTGATAAGAACCATATCCCAAGTAATTACTGTATTTTTCCGATTATAAAATGCACTCCCTCCCCCCCAAAAGAGGGTAAAAATTTGGGTGCATCTTATAAACCGAATGTAGCCAAAAATGTGAGGCACGGAGGCTGCAATGGTCTGTGGCAATCCCTGCAGCCTGGAACAGCTGATTGGGAGTATTCCGGGAGGCTGATCCACCCGCCAATCAGCTGCTCGTGCTGAATCAGGCTGCAATAATGTGCTGAAGCTGACCTGGCTGTTTGCTATTTGCTGCAAGGACTTAGGAGTTTGCAGCAGCAATCACATCTAGAAAGCACACACAAGTAACTGATTCAGCAGGATTCAATAACTTCTCTTTATATATAATATAACACATGAAGTAAATATACAATACCAAAAGCAGGTTTTCCAACATGGTAGTAAATACAAGCAAAACACAAGCAGAGGAGAGGAGTTTCAGTTTCAGTTTTGAGCAGCAGACTAGTTTACAGCTCAGCACAGACTGAGAGCTGCAGAGCTAAGCCACGCCCAGTCTCCGTGCTGTCTCCTTCCTTGTTGCTCACACAGCAAATACTGTTTCAGTTTCCAAACAGCCCTCCACTCTTTCACACACTGACAAGACGCTAGACAGATAAATACCGATGGATGCTGGTAGGCAGATTTCCCACCCCCCTTATTTTCCTCCCCAAAAATGGAGTTTTCTACTTCAAAGCGTCTTATACTCCAAAAAATACGGTAATGACTCTTGGGAGCGTGCAAGAAATAAAACAACGGCAAACCAACCATCTGTGTAAAATAAAAATGTAAACTGTGTAAAATAACACTAAGCTCAAAGAGCACTAAGAACCCTCCCCCAGGATCAGCCACGCTCCTGGTTTACCTGGTGAGAGTTTGGCCAGCTCTATCCTGTATGTAAAATCTTACATATTCAATTTCTTTTGTCACACTCATACGTTTCCTATTGCCTTGGGAATCCTTACCCAACATACTGATCTCCATTTCAACTCTTTCCCTCTTCATTGCTTCCAAGAGTTCTTCCTCTCCAGGATCAAAATCCACAGGATCATCCTTCAGCAGCTCCTGAAACAGGGAGACAGACGGATCCGTTCAGAGGGATTTTGCTATAAAAAGGAAAACTCAGCTGCTTCCTTACCGATCAAAGCGTTGCCCAGAATCAGACAGGATCCCAACACAGTGTAGGTAATCCTCAAGCTGTGATCATAATTGAGCATGGAATTATAGTCATAAGTTGTAGTGGTCATTAAGAGCCTTGGTAGTACAGGGGTTTAAGGCACCCTGTTATTAAGCTGGTTATTAAGACCAGCTGCCTGCAATTACTGCTGGTTCGAATCTCACCAGGCTCAAGGTTGACTCAGCCTTCCATCCTTTCTAAGGTAGGTGAAATGAGGACCCAGTTTGTGGGGGCAATAAGCTGACTTTGTATAAATATACAAAAGGATGAAGGCTATTGCTTAACGCATTGTAAGCCACCCTGAGTCTCCGGAGAAGGGCGGCATATAAATCAAAAATTTTTTTAAAAAAAAAGTGGATCATGTGACTGTGCCCCATTTTATTACTTTTTTTTGCAGCCGTCATTTAGCAAACATGGTGATTGGCAAGTGAATATCCAAAAGGTGATTTTTTTTTTTTTTTGCAGAAAACCAGAAGTAAACATTGTAAATCAGCAAAAAAACCCAAAACAAAACAAAAAACAACTCAACAAAAATTGTGGTAACACAACCACCGGATGTTGCAAAGGGCCGTGATGGTGAACCAGATGCCAAGCACCATAATACAATCATGTGACCATGGTGGGGGGGGGGTAGCAAGGGGAAGTCAACTTCAAAACTGTATCCTAAGTACCTTTTGGGGAGGACTTCAAACAGCCATTATGTGACTAGACTTTAAGCAAAGAGTGGTTGTATGTAAAATGTTAAACCACTCATAGTTCCCATATAAAGACTAAAGTGCTGTTAAGTAGCACCAGCTGCCTGCAATTACTGCGAGTTCGAATCTCACCAGGCTCAAGGTTGACTCAGCCTTCCATCCTTTCTAAGGTAGGTGAAATGAGGACCCGGATTGTGGGGGCAATAAGCTGACTTTGTATAAAAAAGAACTCCGCTTGAGGGGGGGGGCGAAAGCCCTACTAAGCAGCCCTAATACAAAAGTATGAAGGCTATTGCTTAATGCATTGTAAGCCGCCCTGAGTCTCCGGAGAAGGGCGGCATATAAATCGAACCAATCAATCAATCAATCAATCAATCAATCAATCAATAGGCATATAAATCGAACCAATAAATAAATAAATAAATAAATAAATAAATAAATAAATAAATAAATAAATAAATAAAGCGGCATATAAATCGAACCAATAAATAAATAAATAAGGCGGCATATAAATCGAACCAATAAATAAATAAATAAATAAATAAATAAATAAATAAATAAATAAATAAATAAGGCGGCATATAAATCAAACCAACAAATAAATAAATAAATAAATAAATAAATAAATAAATAACAATTTGATCTTCCCAAAGCTGGAAAACAGAATAAAGTTGGAAGGGACCTTTGAGGTCTTCTAGTCCAACCCCCTGCTCAAACAGGAGATACCATTTCAAAGGATTGGATTGGTTGTCCAGTCTCTTCTTAAATACCTCCAGTGTTGGAGCACCCACAAATTCTGGAGGCAAGTTGTTCCACTGATTAATTGTTTTCACTGTTAGGAAATTTCTCCTTAATTCCAGATTGCTTCTCTCCTTGATTAGTTTCCACCCCATTGCTTCTTGTCCTACCCTCAGGTGCTTTGGAGAATAGCTTGATTCCCTCTTCTTTATGGCAACCCGAGATATTGGAACACTGCTATCATGTCATCCCGGTCCTTCTTTTCATTAAACTAGACATACCCAATTCCAGCAACAGTCCAGTCCTGTGAATGACCTCCTTATAAACTAGTTATTGTAGGCAACACAGCTATGCTGTGGGTGGTGCAGTGGTTAGAGTGCAGTACTGCAGGTTATCTCTGCTGCCTGCCTGCAATTTGCCAGTTCAAATCTCACCAGGCTCAAGGTTGACTTGGCCTTCCATCCTTCCAGGGTGGGTAAAATGAGGACCCAGATTGTTGCGGGCTCTGTAAACGGTTTAGAGAGGGCTGTAAAGCACTGTAAAACAGTACATAAGTCTATGTGCTATTGCTAGTGCTAAGTGCTACGCAGAAAATAAAGGCAACTGTAATAAAAAAAAAACTTTTAAAACTTTTGTCAGCCTTGTGTATTATGAATGCAACACCTTTGCATCAGATTATATGCAGGCAATTCCAGAAACCTAATCTAGATTTTGTACTGTCAGTTCTGGAATTCAGATCCTACCTGACAGGATCCAGATTTGGCCTCTTGCAGACTTGATAGGAAGTCCTCCACCAGGGCCACCGCCTGGGAACACGTGTCTGGCCTTCCCGCTCGGATCCAGCTCCGGAGGTCCGGTGGGAGGCTGACCAAGAACTGCTCCAGGATCAGCAGTTCCAGGATCTGCTCCTTGGTGTGTCTCTCTGGCTTCAGCCATTGGAGACACAGCTTGTGGAGTTGGCCGTAAATTCTCCGGGGGTCTCCCACCTCCTGGCAGCAGAACTGCCGAAAATGCTGGCGTTGCATCTCCGTCCTCAGGGCTTCCCCTCGCAAGATGGCCGCCTTCACTTTGCCATAGTCTTCTCGTTCTTGGATTTCCAGGTTTTGAACGGCCTCTTCCGCTTCTCCGCTCAAGGCTGGGAAGAGCTGAGTGGCCCATTCTTCTCTAGGCCAGTGGCAAGCGTTGGCCACTTGCTCAAAGGAGAGCAGGAAGGCCTTGGGGTTTTCCCAGGGGGAATCCTCTGACCTCATCGGATTCTTCCATCCATTGGGAGGGGGTTGTGATGTCTGGAGGAACCGCTGCCACTGGATTTCCCAGCTCTCTGCCACCCCCCCAAAATGGATCGTTTTTGTTCTTCTGAGATGCTGCCCATTCTGGTTGTCGCTCGGACTCAGACTGAGTTGCAACGGGCAGTTTTCCTCCTTCTGTTTCCGCTTCTGACTTTGGACTTCCCGCTTTTTCTTCTTTCAGCATTTTCTCCATCCGCTGGCCTCTAAAACCTAGAGTTGGAATACATTCAGATTAGATCACTTTTCGCAGGACATTTAGAGACACAGCAAAGTATGAAAATGATAATTAGATAATGAATGTTAAATAATAGAAAGCGGGGGATAGCTACTCTCCAATGTTCTCTCTGTGAATAAAAGAGATAGTTGTTTTGGTGTTGCGGTGAGAATGCTGGTGTCAATGTTCCGACTGACGAACCCAATCAAAGCAAGCGCAGTCAAGACGTTCCAATCTCTGAATGCAAAACTTTATTGAGTACATCATTTCAGCACCAACGAGGGCAAAACCAGATCTAGCTAATTCCCATACAAACCCACATAATTAAACTATAGGATTCTCCCTCCTCCTATGAGAGCAATAGAGTAGAGTAGAGTAGAGTAGAGTAGAGTAGAGTAGAGTAGAGTAGAGTAGAGTAGAGTAGAATAGAATAGAATAGAATAGAATAGAATAGAATAGAATAGAATAGAATAGAATAGAATAGAATAGAATAGAATTCTTTATTGGCCAAGTGTGATTGGACACCCAAGGAATTTGTCTTGGTGCATAGGCTCTCAGTGTACATAAAAGAAAAGATACATTCGTCAAGAATCATAAGGTACAACACTTAATGATAGTCATAGAGAACAAATAAGCAATCAAATCGTATTGGGAAACAGTCAATATAAATCGTAAGGATACCAGCAACAAGGTTACAGTCATACAGTCATACATGGGAGGAGCTGGATGATAGGAACAATAAGAAGATTAATAGTAATGCAGACTTAATAACTAGTTTGACAGTGTTGAGGGAATTATTTGTTTAGCAAAGTGATGGCGTTCGGGAAAAAACTGTTCTTGTGTCTTGTTGTTCTGGTGTGCAGTGCCCTATAGTGTCGTTTTGAGGGTAGGAGTTGAAACAGTTATGTCCAGGATGCGAGGGGTCTGTAAATATTTTCACAGCCCTCTTTTTGAGTCGTTGTTCACATTACTCAATTGAGTCTCTTTGTATTGTTATGAGAAAAGTCGTTGGCTTTGGCAAACATCTGCTGAAGTGTCCTTGGCTCTCAGAGCTTGGCTTCCTGATGTTTGGAGCATACATTCCATCTCACCCTTTCCTCCCCCTTGGTTCGTTGGCAAGCTGAGAAGCGATAATGATTGCAACACCAAAAACAAGGTTTGAACTTGACAGCTGGCCCAGAAACCAGGAGGTTGTGACTTCTAGTCCTGTCTTAGATACAGAAGTCAGCTGGGTGAGCGTTGACCAGTCCCTCTCTCTCTGCCCAAACAACCTCACAGGTTGTTATGATGGGGAAAAAATGGTGGCCGGAATATTAGGTATATTTGATTGTCCTGAGGTGTCAAAATATTTTTTAAAAGAGAAACAAGATTATTATTATTATTATTATTACTATTACTATTACTATTACTATTACTATTACTATTACTATTACTATTACTATTACTATTACTATTACTATTACTATTACTATTACTATTATTATTATTATTATTATTAATTTATTTTTTATACTGCCCTTCTCCCGAAGGACTCAGGGCGGTGAACAGCCAAGATTAAAATACATACAATATGAAAGTTAAAATAATTTAAAACATAATTAAATCAATTTGGCTTCCCCAATTTAAAACCCCTTACCCATAAAATTAACCAGTTAAAATTTTAAGCCAGCCCGGTTTGCTGAAATAGAAAAGTCTTCAGGGCCCGGTGGAAAGTACGGAGGTCCGGGATCAGTCGTATCCCTGGGGGTAGCTCGTTCCAGAGGGCGGGTGCCCCCACAGAGAAGGCTCTCCCCCTGGAGGCCACCAGTCAACATTGTTTGACCGATAAGACCCTGAGGAGACCCTCTCTGTGGGAGCGTATTGGCCGGTGGGAGGTTATCAGTTGCAGAAGGTGGTCTCGTAGATACCCAGGCCCTAAGCCATGGAGCGCTTTAAAGATGAGAACCAATACCTTGAAGCGCACCCGGAATACCACCGGAAGCCAGTGCAGCTCGCGCAGGAGAGGTGTTACATGGGAGCACCATGTCGCCCCCACAGTCACCCGCGCGGCCGCATTCTGGACCAGTTGGAGCCTCCGAGTGCTCCTCAAGGGTAGCCCCATGTAGAGAGCATTGCAGTAGTCCAGGCGGGAAGTGACGAGGGCATGAGTGACCGTGCATAAGGAGTCCCGATCCAGAAAGGGGCGCAACTGGCGTATCAGGCGAACCTGATAAAAAGCCCCCCTGGCCACGGCCCGTCATAAGCTCTAGATAGTCGCACAAGCAGTTGGATGTTTAGAGTTTTGGAAAAAGCAGTTTTTGTTTCAAGATTGTGACATTCATAATTGCTCTTCTGAGTTCGAAGTATTTCGTACTGTGCTTTTCATGTTTTAAACCATCATAATTTGTCTTTACAAATAATTTATAAATAACTAAAGGCAACAAATATATCCAACGCACCTTCCTTTTCCTATTTTCCTCACAAAAAGTGACTGGCCCAAAGTTACACAGCAGGCTGTCATGGCCAAGGCAGGACTAGAACTCAGTCTCTCACTTTCTAGCCCGGTGCCTTAACCATTAGTCCAAATTGGCTTGTGTGTAGCTAAATGTACGCACTGTATTTAGGAAGAAATGCTGGCTTCTTAAACTAAATATACATATATAAGGAAAGAGGTAAACCAGTTGGGAGTAACTTTGCACTGTGTCACTTTCCTTCAATCTTGCTGTCAGCTGCCATGGAAACGGAGGAGGGGAGCAAGGGTATTTGGGAAGGGAAGCATGCAGGAGATGTGAAAGGGGAATTTCTGATAAGTGATGGGGAGACTTGGACTCAGAGAAGCCTGCTTGGGTCGTTTAACATCTTCAAGGTTGATGAATCGGAGCAAGGGGAGTTAAAGAACGTGTGGGAGTTTTGAACTTTATAATTAGTTAGTTTATTTTAGCATATGTTTGTTAGATGCTATACCCTGTTTTTGCTCTGGGAAGTCAGGGGTGGGTGGGTGGGGAGGGTGGGATAAGGGTTGGGGTGGGAAAAAAGTGGTGAATAGAGAAATGTTTTAACAGAAGAAAGTATCTACGATTAGAATAAAGGAGTTGCTCAGATATTAAAGGAGGAGAATATTTCGCAGCAAAGAAGTTAGAAAGGAGAGAGGAGGAGAGGGTAGGAAGAGGAGAGGGAGGGAGAGGAATGGAAGAAAGGAGAGGAGGAAGGGAAGGAGATAGGAGTAGGAGTGAAGGTGAGAAGGGGGGAAAGAAGAGAGAAGTGGGGGAAAGGAAAAGGAAGTAGGATGAGGTAGGAGAGGAGGCAGGAGAAAGTAGGAGAGAAGAGGAGGGAGGGAAGGGAAAGAAAGGAGGAGAAGAAGAAGGTTTGTTGTGGAATGAGGGAAAAAAGAGAAGAAGAGCAACTCCGAAAGTAATTAAAATGTTTTATTTTAATGCTTTCTTTAAGGGAAACATGTATATGTAGGATTTATTATGTATAAGAAAATGTACATTTTCTATTACATGGGGAGGGGGAAAGGGTGGGGGGGAGAAAATTGTTTGTATTTCTTATAAAACTTTTCAATTAAAAAAAAAAAATCTTCAAGGCCAACCATCCTGGGAAGAGCATGCATGAAGGAGGAGCGAACCACCTGGACCAGAGACGTTCCCAAAACATCTTCCTGGCCGACGATTAAACTCTGGTTGCCTGACTACTGGTGGGATGGGCTCTGGGGTTATTTTCAATTTGGCTTTTCACACACATTTGCTATCTCAGGGGCTGCCACAAAGAACAGGGAGTCAAGCTATTCTCCAAAGCACCTGAGGGCAGGACAAGAAGTAATGGGTGGAAACTAATCAAGGAGAGAAGCAACTTAGAACTAAGGAGAAATTGCCTGACGATGAGAACAATTAATCAGTGGAACAACCTGCCTCCAGAAGTTGTGAATGCTCCAACACTGGAAGTTTTTAAGAAGAGATCAGATAACTATTTGTCTGAAGTGGTGTAGGGTTTCCTGCTTGAGCAGGGGGTTGGACTAGAAGACCTCCAAGGTCCCTCCCAACTCAGTTATTCTATTCTAAACCTTGCCTGGCTTTTGCTACAGTTAGTTCTTTCCTAGTAAAAGTATCTTTTCTCTGAATCTATGGAGTTAAGGGTTTTCTTTCCTAGAGATTGATCTGAGGCAGCTTGGGTGAGGTGGGGGATATATTCCTTGTTATAGGAAGCCCCAGTTCCTGTGTGCTAACATTGCATCAAAGTTGATTCATTGGTTAAAACCGTGTTAATTCTAAACGGAATCAATCAATGAATAAATTAAATTAAAATGGCTAGAAGGGAAGATGACGGTATGCAAAAGCTTTATTTATTTATATAGAAAACACTATATTACAGTATTTGTATATTGCTTCTTATATTTCAGGAAAATCCTTACCTGCCTTATTGATCTTCCTCTCACCATGTTTAGTGTTTGTAGTCTCCACAGACTCTTCTTCGTGTAAGAAAATCACATGCTTCCCTTTCAATGGCACCTGAAACAGGGAACAGAGTTTCACTCAGAAGAAAGAGCTCATTTTGACATACACACACACATCCCACATACAATCACAGCAGGCCCTTGGTTTTTATGAGGCTCATTCTTGTGGCCCGAGTCAGACAGTGAGGAGGTTGGGGAGGAACTTGGGCCAGTCCTCGAGGCTGGGGAAAGCTCAGACGCAAAAGGTGATCACGTGACCCCAGGGGCATGGCAACCGTCATACGTATGAGTCAGTTGCCAAGCGTCTGAATTTTGATCACATGACCTGCAACGGGGGCAAGTGTGAAAAGTGCTCATAAGTTACTTTTTTCAGTTTCATTGTGTTGTGGCCCGTTAGCGGCCTGTGCAGCTAGTAGTTGATTCTGACAGCAAGGAGGCTGGTGTGGTGCTGTGCAGCTGGCGCTCGAGTCGGACAATGAGGAGGCTGGAGAAGAGGTGGTGCCAGAGGCAGGGATTCAGCCAGGGCCTTCAGAACCTCCCTTAAGTGAAGAGGATGAAGAGGAGGAGCCTCTTCTCAATGCACGGGCACGCAGAGCTGCCAAAAGGCAGGTGTGGCTCCTCAGGATGAGGTCTCCTCGAGAGTAAGGCTTGGGGCTAATTGGCCACTCCCTTAGCCTATTTAAGGAACGACGACGACTGAGGCAATTTGCAGGGAACAACTTCCTTCACTCTCCTTCGCATCTTGATCTTAGTTCTCTTATCAGTTTCCTGCAAATTGCTTCTGGGCTTTCTGCCAACCATAGTAAGACTACGATTATTTATTCTTTGGATTCTTGTAGGCTGTTAAGAAAGTTCATTAACAGCCTTTGTTTGAAAGAGACTGATTTAATTTAGTAAACTAAGGTTTGTACAGACTTTGTGTGTGCTGCGTTCTTTGGGGTCCGTAGCTGGGGCACAACACATTGTCACTTCCAATGCTCAGTAAAGGAACGGCTGTAAATTGAGACTTTGGAAAACGTGCAGAGAAGAACAACTAAGACGATTACAGGCCTAGAGACAAAAACGTATGAAGAACAGTTGCAGGATTTGGGTTTGGCTAGTCTAGAGAAAAGGAGGACTGGGGGGGACAATAGCAATATTCCAGTATTTGACAGGTTGCCACAAAGAACGGGGGGTCAATTTATTTTTCAAAGTCCCAGAAGGCAGGAGAAGAAACAATGGATGGAAACTAATCAAGGAGAGAAGCAACCTGGAATTAAGGATAAACTTCCTAACAGAGACAACAATTAACTGGTAGAACAGCTTGCTTTCAGAAGTTATGGGTGCTTCATCATTGGAGGTTTTTAAGAAGAGACTGGACAATCGTATAAGATCTCCTGCTTGAGCAGGGGGTTCAACTAGAAGACCTCCAAGGTCCCTTCTATTCTGATCGATCGATCAATCGAGGACTACCTGTAGTCAAAATTATGATGGCCTGGTTGCAGTTGGTCCTCGAAGTTCATACTTTACAACCGGTTGCAGTGCCTCTTAATCACACAATCACCATTTGCAACCTTAATTGTAAGGTTTCTTTATTTTTATTTTTCCCCCTAGAAGAATTCACTTTTTCAGTTGAATTGTACAGCTTATATGTTACATTAAAAGTGGGAAAAAAAACCTCTGAAGTGATTTATCTTAGTCTGATTTGTTGACATTTCAAAAACCTGCCATTTTAACGGGTGTGTATAGACTTTTTTTAAGGGACACGGTGGCTCAGTGGCTAAGACACTGAGCTTGTCAATCGAAAGGTCAGCAGTTCAGCGGTTCGAGTCCCTAGTGCCGCGTAACGGGGTGAGCTCCCGTTACTTGTCCCAGCTTCTGCCAACTTAGCAGTTCGAAAGCACGTAAAAAATGCAAGTAGAAAAATAGGGACCGCCTTTGGTGGGAAGGTAACAGCGTTCTGTGCACCTTTGGCATTTAGTCATGCGGCCACATGACCACGGAGACGTCTTTGGACAGAGCTGGCTTTTCGGCTTTGCAACAAATGAGCATCGCCCCCTAGAGTCGGGAACGACTAGCACATATGTGCGAGGTGAACTTTTACCTTATAGACTTTTTTATATCCACTGTAAATAAGAATTCAAATGAGAGTTACATCGTAAACCATACCTGACACGGCTTGGATTTGACTTCCGGCTGGCTCCTAAGGAAGTTCTCCATCAAGGCCACAGCCTGGGAACTTGTCTGCGGCCTCTTTGACTGAACCCAGTCCTGAAGCTTTGGAGGTAGGCTGGCCAGGAATTGCTCTAAGATCAAGAGCTCCAGGATTTGATCCTTGGTGTGACTCTCGGGCTTCAGCCACTGGTGGCAAAGCTCCTGGAGGTGGCTTTGAACCTTTCGTGGGTCCTCCACTTCCTGGCAGTAGAACTGTCTGAAACGTTGACGCTGGACCTCGCTTTTCACAGCATCTCCCCTCAAGATGGCCGCCTTCACGTTCTCATAATCCTCTTGATGAATGGTGTCCAGGCTCTGAAAGGCCTCTTCAGCTTCTCCATAAAGGGCTGGCAGGAGTTGGGCCACCCATTCTCCGCTGGGCCAGTGGCAGGCCGTGGCCACCTGCTCAAAGGAAGCCAGGAAGGCCTTGGGGTCTTCCCAGGGTGAAGCCTCCAAGATCCTGCCCGCGTGGGTGGGTTGTGTCTCGAGAAATGGCTCCCATTGTGTGTCCCAGCACTCCTCCATCCCAATGAATGGATCTCTTTTGATAATTTTCAGGTGGTTCTTAAGTTGCTTGCTTTGGCAGACTGAATGGGACAGCCAGAGTCTTTCTGTTCTTCTTCTGATCCCTTCTCTTCGAGCTCCTTCTCGCCGGTTCGCTTCCTGAAAACCAGAGTTGTGTATTTATCAGATTAGATCACTTTTAGCACAATCGGGCAAGACTGTCTAACAGGTTAGAGCCGTGATGGCGAACCTATGGCACACGTGGCATACAGAGCCTTCTCTGTGGGCACGCCAGCCGTCGCCTCAGTCTAGCTCCACCACGCATGCCTCCCGCCAGCCAGTTGGTATTTGGGTCTCTGCCGCACATGCGCGGAGGGCAGGGTGTATGTGTGGGGGGCGCTCGCACTGCATTTATTCATTTATTTTATTGGTTCGATTTATATGCCGCCCTTCTCCGGAGACTCAGGGCGGCTTACAATGCGTTAAGCAATAGCTTTCCTACTTTTGTATATACCTGCTTAGTAGGGCTTTCCTCCCCCCCCCCACAAGCGGTGTTCTTTTTTATACAAAGTCAGCTTATTGCCCCCACAATCCGGGTCCTCATTTTACCTACCTTAGAAAGGATGGAAGGCTGAGTCAACCTTGAGCCTGGTAAGATTTGAACTTGCAGTAACTGCAGGCAGCTGGTGCTACTTAACAGCACTTTAGTCTGCTGCGCCACCAAGGCTCTTAGGGAGGTTCGCTCACGTGTGCACCCCCCCCCCCGCACCCCATTTTGGGACTGGAGGGCCTCCTGCACCAACCTGGAAGCCAAAAATGGGTGAGGGGGCGGGGCACATGCGCAGAAAGCATGCACGCATGCACACGGGAAGGGTCGCATGCGTGGAGGCCCTCGCATTGCATTTTGGGGGTGCATGCGCTCATGCACACGCATTTGCGCACACACACCAAAAAGGTTCCCCATCACAGGGTTAGAGACCGTGAAGGAGGATAAAAGAAAACTGATCTTTGCTATCCAAGCTTCACTTTTGTAAGTACCAAGTAAACTTTCGACATTCTCCTCAAAACTAGGAAAAAAAGACCCCAAGCTAACCTACCCACACACACACACACACACACAAATATGCAGAATAACAACCTTGGGGGCCCTTTTTTCGACCCACAGATTTTTTTTTTGTTTTGTTTACTACTTTTGTACCTCAAAAGGAGCCACGTCGTTAAACGGGCATTGTATGCCAGCAAACTTGAAATCCCCCCCCCCCAACCCGAAAAATAAACACAAGGGTTCTTTCTCTGGCTTAAAATAAAGTTATCTCCATCCTTTTGTTACGGGAAGAGGGGAGCCAACCGGGGCCCCTTTCTGCTCCCCTCACCCCGAAGAGTCAAAGGGCTGAGCTTCCAGTCACCGCGCTCCTTGCGCACATCCACATCTCACACAAACACAAGGGCGCGCGCATACACACACACACACACACACACACACACATATTCGGGTTGCGGCGGCCCTGCATCGGCGCCCCCCCCCCCCCCACCCCCCCCGGGACGCAAGTGGATGGAGATCTCTCCTTTCTTCTCCGCGCCCCATTGTCCCCGGCCCGCCAAATCCGCTGCGCTGCGCTGCAAAGCAAAGGATGCGATGCAACATGCAACCCAATGCAATGCAACGCGATGCGATGCACGCATCCAAGCTCCGGGATCGGGGCTGGAAAGGCAAGGCGGGCAGGCGCGCGCCTTTCCCGGGACGGAGGGGAGGCCTCCCTTTTTTTTTTTTTTTTTTTTTTTGTGCAATTGTGGAAGAGGCCCCCCCCCCCCCGCGCCCAGCTTCCCCTCCTTCCCCCCCCCCACCTGCAGCGCTCGTACCGCAGACGGCAAAGAGGCCGCCGATCTCCGTCTGGGTTCCGCCCGGTTAGGGGAGGCGGGGGGGGGGGGCGCCTTAGGGACTCCCTGCTGACCGGCGGGGCTGCTCGGCTGCAGTTTGCTCCGGCCTGTCCCCGCCCCTTTGCTTCGCTGAGGCCGGCGGCGCACCCGCGGGCGACCCCTCCCGGACGGCGCCGCAACTGCAAGCTTCCGCTTTTCGACCCGAAGGAGCCTGGGGGACGTGAAGGAAGGAATCCGAATTGGAATCCGAAGAGCTGGAAGGGACCTTGGAGGTCATCTAGTCCAACCCCCCTGCTCAAGCAGGAGAGACCCTATAGACCTATACCAGTTCCTACAAGTGATTGTCCAGACTCTTCTGAAAAACTACCAGGGATGAAGCACCCACCAACTTCTGAAGGCAAAGCTGTTCCACAGGTTAATGGTCAAAAGAGCCCCCCCCCAGAGAACGGGTGGGTTGCAAAATTCCATCCCTATCCCAAAGGTGCTTTTTCAAGAGGCAACTGGACTTCTTTTTTTTTTCCTTTGAAGACATTTAAAGTGATAATAAAGTTCTATTCTATTCTATTCTATTCTATTCTATTCTATTCTATTCTATTCTATTCTATTCTATTCTACTCTATTCTATTCTAATTTCCCTCAACACTGTCAAACTATGTACTAAGTCTGCACTACTATTAATATTCTCATCGTTCCCACCAGCCATCTCCTTCCACTTATGACTGTATGACCGTAACTTTGTTGCTTGTATCCCTATCATTTATATTGATATTGTTTCCTGATTGCTTATTTGTACCCTACGACTATCATTAAGTGTTGTACCTTATGATTCTTGATGAAGGTATCTTGTCTTTTTATGTACACTGAGAGCCTATGCACCAAAGACAAATTCCTTGTGTGTCCAATCACACTTGGCCAATAAAGAATTCTATTCTGTTCTGTTCTGTTCTGTTGTTCTGTTCTGTTCCGTTCCGTTCCAGGGGTGGGCAACTGTGGCCCTTTTACAACCTGTGGACTTCAACACCCAGAATTCCTGAGCCAGTCAGGAATTCTGGGAGTTGAAGTCCACAGGTTGTAAAAGGGCCACAGTTGCCCACCTATTCTATTCTATTCTATTCTATTCTATTCTATTCTACGCTACGCCACGCCACGCCACGCCACGCCACGCCACGCCACTCCATTCCATTCCATTCCATTCCATTCCATTCCATGTCCAAGGGACATGGTGGGCTGTCCCGATACCACTAGAGCTAGGCCTCGCTGCCTTAGAAGAGTGAGGAAAATCCTCAGGGACGACTCGTACCCTGGTCAGCACTTCTTTATTCTCCTTCCATCGGGAAGGAGATATAGAGAAGTATAGGCAGCCGCACAAACAGGCTGAAGAACAGTTTTTATCTGTGGGCTGTCAGACTCCTAAATGAAAAATAACTACTACAACATAGTATGAATGATTTGTGGGGCCGGCGCAACGTGCAATAAGTTCACATGGTGCAGTAAGATTGGGTGATTGTTAGCAGGATTCACTGGGATAGGAATTTTTTTTTTGTCTTTCACTGTGAGTTGTATTGGGTTGGGGGGGAGGTGCACGAAGGGAGGCTCAGCCAATCTCATGGTACACATGGTGTACTCTGACAATAAAGGTTTGAAATTGAATTTGAATTCCATTCCATTTTCGCTTCACAAAAGCGAAATAAATATCAACCAATTGCCAAGCAGCTGAAGTTTGATCATGTGACCATGGAGATGCTGCCACAGGCATAAGTGTAAAAAATGGCCGCAAGTTACTTTTTTTTAGTGCCATTGTAACTTTAGTCACTAAATGAATGGTTGTTAAGTCAAGGACTACCTGTTTAAGACTCCTTTTTTTACATTTTGCAGGGCACTTGATGGTAGCGGCTTGGGGCAAAAGCGTACAACTGAAGGAAGTTTGGGTAGAGGCCTTCCCCTGCCCTCACAAGGCAATGGAGCCAAACATTAGCAATAGCATTTAGACTTATATACCGCTTCACAGTGCTTTTACAGCCCTCTCTAAGCGGTTTACAGAGTCAGCATATTGTCCCCAACTATCTGGGTCCTCATTGTACCGACCTCCAAAGGATTGAAGGCTGAGCCAACCTTGAGCCGGTGAGAATCGAACTGCTAGCAGTCGGCAGAGTCAGCCTGCAATAATGCATTCTAACCAGGGGTGGGCTGCTGGGGGTTCACAGGGGTTCGGGAGAACCTCTAGCTAAGATTCTGTGCAGTTCGGAGAACCCCCAAATCAAACTCCTGGCTGGCCCCACCCGCCCCGCCCCTCCCAGGAGTCCTCACACGGCCTGGTTTGGATGCAGGTAAGTACAGGGTGCACACAGAGACTTGGGAAGGGCAAAAAAACCGGGCCTTCCGGAAGTTCGGGAAGGCCAGAAACAGGCCGTTTCCGGTCTCCAGAGCCTGGGGAGGCCATTTTCATCCTTCCGGAGGCTCAAGGAAAGCCTCCGGAGCCCGGGGAGGGCAAAAGTGCCCCCCCCCACCATGGTGCAGGAGGCCAACTAGGCCAGCCCACCATGGCCACGCCCACCCAGCAAAGGGGCAGAGAACCCCTTGCTAAAACTTTTGAAGCCCACCCGATTCTAACCACTGCGCCACCACGGCTCAATTAGGTGACGTTTGAGATACAAGTAGTGCTTGAGTTATGACCATAATGGAGCCTGCCCATCATCATCATCATAACTCATGATGCCGGATCCCATCTGAGTCTGTCATCGGGACCAAAGGTTTATTCTTGCAAACTTTCGGCCTCGTGCCGGAGCCCATCCTTAGGGAACTTCCCTCTCTCTCTCTCTCTCTCCAGAAGGTATGCACTGGGTTGTACTACGAGTTGTATTTATGTGGAGCTTGGTTGCGTGTGACTTTTAGTTGTTAATTAGGGTGTTGATGGTCAGCTACAACTCCTCGTGGTTGTAAATCGGGTCACCCATACAACCAACCTGACTTTTAAGAACTTTTTGGCAATGATCAATAAATAAATCAATGGTTCTGTATGGACTGGACATAAGGCTATTTTCCAGCACCGTCTGTTCTGCCCCAGCTACAGACCCCAAAGAACGCAGCACACACAAAGCCCGTACAAACCTTAGTTTACTAATTAAGGGCTACTAATGAGCTTTCTTAGTAGTTGTTCGAACACAAGTACAGTTTAAACCAGTCTTTTCTGAACAAGGGCTGTTAATTTAACTTCATTAACAGCCGACAGGAATCCAAAGAATAATAACTCAATTCTGAGGCACAGTATTTCAGTTAACCGTAATCTTACTGTGGTTGGCAGAATGCCCAGAAGCAATTTGCAGGAAAACTGACAAGAGAGAAACAAGAGCCGAATCAAACGTTTCTGGAATCAAGACGCGAAGGAATATGAACGAAGTTGTTTCCTGCAAATTTCATCAGTCGTCGTCCTTCCTTAAATAGGCTAGGGGAGTGGCCAATTAGCCCCAAGCCTTACTCTCGAGGAGACCTCCTCCTGAGGAGCCACTCCTGCCTTTTAACAGCTCTGTGCGCTCGTACATCGAGAAGAGGCTCCTCCTCTTCTTCCTCTTCACTTATGGGAGCTTCTGGAGGTTCTGAAGGCCCTGGCTGAATCCCCGCCTCTGGCACCACATCTTCTCCGGCCTCCTCATTGTCTGACTCGAGCACCAGCTGCACAGGCTGCTGGCGCAGCACCACAGCAGCCTCCTCGCTGTCGGAATCAGCTACTAACTGCGCAGGCCGCTGACGGGCCACAACATTGTCATAAAACATGACTATTGGATGCTGCAAGTGGCCATATTGGCAGCTTGGCTGCTGAGTGTCTAACCATGACCTCCCCCCCCACTCCACAGCCATCATAACTTTGAATCTGGGTTGTAAATACTCTGAAAAGTCCATCATAACTTTGAACAGTAACTAAACAAATGACTATGTTAAGAACTATCTGTATTTCAGTCCAGAAGTGACTACAGCTAGTCCTTGATTTACAACGGTTCATTTAGAGACCGTTCAAAGTTACAACGGCACTGAAAAAAAGTTACTTATGGCCATTTTTCACACTTACGACCATTGCATCGTCCCTGTGGTCATGTGATCAAAATTCACACGCTTGGCAATTGACTCATAGTTATGACAGTTGCAGTGTCCCAGCGTGACGTGATCATGTTTTGCCACTTTCTTACAAGCCAAATCAGTGGGGAAGCCAGGCTCACTTAACAACCATGACACTAACTTAACAATGGCAATGAGTCACTTAACAAATGAAAGAAAGGTCGTAAAATGGGGAGAATTCACTTAACAAATGTTTCACTTAGCAACAGAAATTTTGGACTCAATTGGGGTCGTAAGTTGAGGACTACCTGTATACTGGGGGGCAGATGTGCAAACTAGAAAATATTGATGTCTCCCTCACCATAGAGCTGAAGTGGGGTAGAATGGCCTCTTTTTGACTTGTGGACTTCAGCTCCCAGAATTCTTGAGCCAACATGGGGACTGATGGCCCCTTAATGACTTGTGGACTTCAACTCCCATGGCTGGCTCAGGAGTTCTGGGAGTTGAAGTCCACAAGTCATAAAAAAGCCACAGTCCCCACGAATGCCATAGAGGGCCTTCCTTGGCCTCTAATGTCCTTTTCACTCTTTTTCTATAAGATCCCAGCATATCATTGAACACCGCCATCTCTGAAAAATTGGTCAATGACTGAATGGGCGATTCCAGTCAATGGAGGACCTCAGCTTCTCTGAGGGAATCTTTTGAGGCCATGGCGAGCCAGGGCTGAGAAGAGAAAAGCAGCAATAAGGGAAGAAGAAGAAAAGAAACTTCATAGTCAGACTAACAATACTTCTAATTTTCTTTTAATTAGTTTCTATGACACACATTATTTTCTCAATGTGGTAATTCTGAGGGAACGACAACAGCCTTCAGAGTAAGAAACCTCACTAAAGCAAAATGAACCTAAAAACACAATGAAATTGGAGGGGGAAAAAGATTTTCTGAGGGTTTTTTTCCCTCCCATTTGCTTCCATTCCTATACTATATTCTATTAGACCATACAAACATAAAGTTGAGCTCAGCTCTTGTTCATTTCACAGATGTGTCCGCTTATTTTGCTTGGCACCAATATTCGCATGGTTTACTATTTCTGCCACCTGGAATTTTTATTTTATTTTTAGATCCCAGTATGACCTGCAGCCCTGAGATTTCCTTGTGGTCTCCCATCCAAGTACTAAACAGATCTCACCACTCTTAGCTTTCTGAGATAGCCGAAGATTCACTATTGGGGTGCACTAAACATCCTGCACATGACTCTTTCCTGCATGATTTTGGATCCGGGTCCAAATTGGCATAAGTGCATTCATGGCAGAGATGTGTTGGCAGGGACTATGGAGAAAAATCAAGAATGTCAGTTGTGGTGATGGGTTACTAAGGGGGGATAAGGAAAAGAAGGAAAAATGAAGGGCAGGGTGAAGAGCTGCCACTGCCAATGCCCTCAGTCTTAATTGGGTAAGGTCCTATAGACTCACCTCCCATCTTCCCAGCACCTTCATTTCCCTACTTGGTGTCAGCGTCTCAGTGCTGACATAGAAAAGGGAGATAAGCCCTGAACTTTTGCCTGCTAAATCCCTTTGAAGCCCGGTCTCCGTGGAAATGAAGAGGGGGGGAACATTCCTGTGAAATGACGAGACAAGAAGTCAGGAGAGTGACTTGGAAGATAGCCAATGAGAAGCAGATAATTGGGGATCGGAAAGGGAGGGATTGGGGGGCAAAAGGTCAGTCTTGTCCGCATCGAGTCATGATCCGGTTGCTGTACTCAAATAAAGAGAAGATTTCCTTAAAGATTGGCAGTTTGGAAATTCATTTATTTTGAGATAGCATCGAAGTCTGACACTTGGGACATACTGTAGGTGCATGTCACACACGCCATGGATGGGAAGAAGACAGGTGAGTAAAGCTTGAATGTTGTGCTATTCACCCCAGAAAGCACCTCTGGATTTTGTGTCAGCCACAACCTGAACAAGCCCAGTTCCAGATGTCAGGTTTTTTTCCCCCTCAATTGCAGTCCACCCAAGATGGTTCAACCAAACTTCCAAATTGCAACTCCAAGCAAAACATGTTTCCTATGATATGCCCACCCATGTTGTGAGGCCAGTTTTCCAACCGTGGCAAGTTTTAAGATAGGTGGGCTTCAACTCCCAGAATCCCTCAGTGTTGTGGTCCGCCAGCAGGCCGCGGAGCTAGCAGTGGAGTCGGACAGTGAGGAGGCTGGGGAGGAACATGGGCCAGTGCTGGAGGCTGGGGAAGGCCCGGATGAGGGCTCTGCATCCGAGGCAGAGATGGGGCCAGAGCCATCTGGGAGTGATGTGCGAACTCCGGAGCCTCCAGAGTCGGACAGCAGAGAGGCAGAGGAACAGGAGGAGCCTGTTCCTAGTGCACGCATGCGCAGAGCTGCTAGAAGGCAAGAGCAGCTAAAACAAAAGGGACGACTCGGGAGTAAGGCCTGGAGATGATTGGCCCCTCCCATAAGGCTTAAAAGAGCAGCAAAGGCTCTTGGGCACTTTGTAGGAAAGCAACATTGCTAAATCTGTTTTCCAGTCGGTGTCTCTTGTTTCTGAACTTTGGCTTTCCCAAGAAAGGCCTTTGGCAGGGTGGCCAAAGAAGATAAAAGGTTTGTGATAACCCCGAAGGACTTTTTCTGAAGGACTTTTTTTGGAATTAATTTGGACTAACCTGGGAATGAAGTAATTCTCAGCAGTTACAATAAAACAGTTTTGTTTGAGACTATTTGTGTCCTGTAATGACCAAATGAGCCTAGGTCACAACACCCAGTGAGTCAGCTAGCTTAAACTTGCCATGGTTGAGAAACAGCATATTAGACAATAAAAATGCAACCATTACATAGACTCCTTGTCTTCTATCAACTGCTTCACTGAGTCGCTATAGCGTATAGCTTGAAGATCCTAAAACCCTGAGACTATCAACTTCACAGACATTCAATAAGCCCTCATCACCCAGCTGAGAACCCACCCAACTGAAGCTCCGAGATACAAACATCAGAAGGGTTGTGGAACGTCCCAGCGAGGTGATGGGTGCTTCTCCTACATGAGTGCTGGGGCAGACGTCAAGAACTGGAGCCGACCAAGTGCTTCTCGAGAGCCTGCATGGGCACACACTGCAGATTTACAAGGTCAAACCTTCCCGAACCCAGTATTTTCAGAGATCCAGTACAATCCTTGACACTTCCACCCAAAGCGGCCAGAGGTCCCACATATCTGGAAGCCACGGGGTTAGGAAAGGATGCCTACGGCCCCAGCTTCCCAAACCAGAAACACTCCATTCTCCTTTTATGAAATTTCTTTCGCTCGTTCCTCCTCCTCCTTTTTCTCCTCCGCCACCTTGTGACTGTTTAAGGCTTCCCGGGTGTGGATTTTCTGGTGCTTCACGAGAACCGCATGATGGGGGAACCGTTTTCCGCAGATGGCGCAGAGGTGCGGCCTCTCCCCCGTGTGGACTTTCCGATGCCGGATGTGGCTGGCCTGGTTAGAAAAGCATTTCCCGCAGGTGGCACACTTAAAGGGCTTCTCGCCCGTGTGAATCCTCTTGTGCACCATCAGAATCTGCCACTGCCTGAAGCTCTTCCCGCACTCGGAGCAAGTGAAGGGCCTCTCCCCCGTGTGCACCCGGTGATGCCTGTCCAATTGGGAGGATGTGTTGAAGGATTTTTCACAATCCGGGCATCTGTAGGGCTTCGCCTCCCCGGAGCAGGTAACTTCCTGTCGCTTAACAGTCATGGCGCAACCACCAAAGGCTTCCCCAGACTGGGTCCATCGGAAAGGCTTCTCCCCGACGTGGACTTTCTGGTGGCTGAGCAGCTGAGACTTTTGGGTGAAGCTCTTCCCGCACTCCAAGCAGCCCATCTGGTCTTTTTTAGCATGGACTCGGTAGTGCCTGGTAAGGACCCAACTGACAGTGAAGCTTTTCCCGCACCGATCGCACGAATAGGGCCTCTCACCCGTGTGGGTCCTCTCATGCACCACCAGGGCCGATTTGAAGCTGAAGCACTTCCCACAGTTCTGGCATGCGAACGGCTTTTCACCCGTGTGGGTCCTCTGGTGTGCGGCCAGCACGGTGCTCCTGCTGAAGGTCTTGCTGCAGACGGAACAGGTCTTCTTCCCCCGAATCCGATATCGTTTCTTGATCACCGTTGGGCTTAGGTTTCTCTCCTCTCCTGCCAGAGGAAAGATTTCAACCATGGGCTGACTTGAGCCATCTTCTCTCTTCTGCTTCGAAACAGCATCGCGGCTCACCAAGGCGTCTCTGTCCTCCTGGGGCTTGGGGAGACTATCCCAAGGAGTCCCCTGGAGCTTCGCGGACTCGGTGTCATCCCCCTCTTTCAACTCAGCGATCCACTCATCAGCAGCTGGAAGAGAGTGGAAAAAGAAGTTACTCAGAGAGCGAAGGACCTGATTTTCAGAGCAACAATCTAATCCCTCACTGGCTAAGCCGCTGCTTCCTGCTGGATCATGTTGTGCCCCGCCAGCGGCCAGCAGAGCTGGCAGCAGAGTAGGACAGTGAGGAACTTGGCTCAGTCCTTGGGGCTGGGGAAACTCGGACGAGGGCTCTGCCTCGGAGGCAGAGGGGGCCAAGGCCATCTGATAGTTATGTGCAGCTTTCAGAGTCTGACATCAGCGAGGCAGAAGAACAGCGTGAGCCTGTCCCCAGCGTGCTCATGCGCAGAGCTGCCAGGAGACAGAAACAATTAAGAAAACAGGGTCGACTTGGGAGTAAGGCTTGGAGATGATTGGCCCCTCCCATAAGATATAAAAGGGAAGCTAACGGATATGAGCTTTTGCAGGAAGCAATTAGTTCATCTGATCAGTAAAAACTGTGGAAAAGTCCTGTTTGACTCTGTGCTAAATTTGTGTGGCAATTAGTTCTCTGGCAGCATTCCAAGGGAGATAAGGTGACTTGATAAGCCTGTCGGACTGGGCTGTGAATAATTCACAGCCGTATGAATTAAAGAGGTTTGCCGGGACTACGTTTGTGCTGTATACTTTCTCAGGAAGCCTAGGTCAGAACAGATCAATGCTGAGACTCTGATCTTGGGTAATGCTATTTACTGATTCGTTTCTACATTGTTCATTGCATTTCTAGGCCATTTCTAGAAATGCAATGAATCACCACTGTTCCCCAGGCAGTGTGAATTCTTGAAAGTCAGATTTACTATATCTGAGCCCTTTGAGGTAGGCCAGATCAGGAAAGAGACTCCACAAGAAATCCTGGAATTCATCTTTACTGATCTAGATTTTTTTTTTTAATTTGATTTGTATGCCGCCCTTCTCCGGAGACTCAGGGCAGCTTACAGTGCGTTAAGCAATAGCCTTCATACTTTTGTATATTTTATACAAAGTCAGCTTATTGCCCCCACAAACTGGGTCCTCAATTTACCTAATTTAGAAAGGATGGAAGGCTGAGTCAACCTTGAGCCTGGCAAGATTCAAACTTACTTTAATTGCAGACAGCTGGTGTTAAATTACAGTGCTTAGTCTACAGAGCTATCCAGGCTCCTGGATTACAGGGAATCCTTCACTTACGACCCACAACTGAGCCCAAAATTTCTGTTGCTAAGTGAGACATGTGTTAACTTAGTTTTGCCCAATTTTATGACCTTTGTTGCTATAACTGTTAAGTGAATCACTGCAGCTGATATGTTAGTAACCTGGTTGTTAAGTGAATCTAGCTTCCCCATTGATTTTGCTTCTCAAAAGGTTGCAAAAAGAGATCCCATGACCTTGGGCCACAGAATTGGTTGTTAAGTATGAACCAATTGCCAATCATCTGAATTTTGATCACATGATCACGGGGATGCTAAAGGTCGTGTGAAAAATTGTCATTTTTTTTTCAGTGTTGTTGTGATTTCGGTCAGTAAATGAACTGTTGTACATTGAGAATTACCTGTACAATAATCCAATCCTTGACAGCCACACAGTGTTTCCTCTCCTCCTTATTCTAAAAATTTCTCAGTCCTGATAGTTTTAAGGTATGTAGACTTCAGCTCCCAAAATTCCATGCTGGCTGGGGAATTCTGGGAGCTGAAGTCCACACACATTAACAGTAAAAGCATTTAGGCTTATATACTGCCTCATAGCGCTTTATAGCACGCTCTGCGAGGTTTACAGTGTCAAAGCATGTCCCAAAAGTGCTTTTTTCCAAGAGACAGCTGGACTTCCTGGTTTTTCTTTGAAGTCTTTCCCTTCTCATCCAAGAAGCTTCTTCAGCTCTTCTTCTTCAGAAAGAAAATTGGTACTGCCATGAGGCCCTAGAAGAAAGCTGGGAATTAAATCTAAATGATAGTAAGTTATAGAGGTAGTCCTTGACTTATAACAGTTCGTTCCGAGTTACAGCAGCACTGAAAAAAATGACTTAAATCCCCTTAATATACTGGTTTCTCATTGGCTCTTTTCTTTTTTTAAAAATAATCTTTATTAAGTATAAAAAGATAAAATATCACATTCACTACATACATTATAAAATATGAAATAAAGAAAGATAAAAGAACATTAAGAACTGAAAAGGAAGAGAAAAACATGGAAAAGAGAGACACACAGAAGAAAGAAAAGAAGAAAAAGAAAAAAGAAAAATAGAAAATACACACAATATAGTAATACAAATTACAATATATATATATCTCTATACGTTATTGACGGTGTCTAGTTGTTAATTTTGTTATCTTAGGAACCTTGTTTTTGATTTATCCATTCATGCCATTTGTTCCATACCATATAATATTTCGAATCTACCTTATCCTTTAATTCCACTGTTAGCCTATTCATTTCAACACAGTTGTAAATTTTTTGAATTACTAATTGTTCTGTTGGAATTTGGTCCGTTTTCCAAAGCTGAGCGAATTCCAGTCTGGCTGCCGTGATGACATGCAATATTAAATATTTCAATTCTTTCCTAATATTTTCTCTAATCATACCCAATAAAAAGATTGGGTAACCTTTTCCGGCCTGAGTGCCCAAAGCACGCGCGAACCCCAAAAATGTAATGCACGTGTCCCCGCACATGCACCCCGCACATGCGTGCGAGGCCGCCCCGCACACACCCTACCCCCTGCGCATCTTCAGCAGAAATCTGACGACCAGCTGACCGGTGGGAGGTGCACACGGATACGTGGCGGAGCTGAACGTGACGGAGCTGGACAACTCGTGTGCCCACAGAGAGGGCGCTGCGTGCCACCTGTGTCACACTTTGCCATCACAGATATACATCCTGGCAAGCGATCTAAGCTGTGTGTGCTAATCTAACACATTTATCTTACCTTCTGAATTGCCCCCATCCTCCTCCTCTTGCTTGATCTTGCAATCAAGCTGCCTCTCTGCGGGAATTAATGGCGTCTGCTCAGAGGTGTGAAAACTCACAGCCACCTCCTGGATCAGCCCTGGTTCCTGCAAGAGTCCAAAATCTGACTTAGGGATACAAATAGCCCTTGACTTACAACCCTTCATTCAGTAACAGTTCAAATTTAGAACAGAATAACAAGAGTTGGAAGGGACCTTGTAGGTCATCTAGTCCAACCCCCTGCTCAAGCAGGAGACCCTACACCATTTCTGACAGATGGCAGTCCAGTCTCTTCTTGAAAGACTCCAGTGATGAAGCTCCTACAACTTCTGAAGGCAAAAGCTGTCCCATTGGTTGATTCTTCTCACTATCAGAAAATTCCCTACTGACTTTGGTTGTGGGGCGCTGGCAGGAAATTGCCTTTCCTAATAACCAGGGTGGATTTGATTTAAATCGAGTTGATTTAAATCACAATTTAAATCATGATTTAAATCACTAGTAAAAAGGCTTGATCTAAATCAACTCGATTTAAATCATAATTTTTAAAGAGCAACTATCATCTCTGCTACTCCTTTGACCCACTGTTGACTCACCGATAGTCCCAGTGTTGCAGAATATACAGCCTCGTGCTACATAACTAAGCTCCATTTCATGCTGAATAAACTAAATGATTTCTGTATCTTAAATAGAAAACTGTCTTACGATAGATTTTTACCCAAAAGTTTTTTATTAAAATAAATTCGATAAAAATCAAAAAAATCTGATTTAAATCAAAAAAATCCAATTTAAATCAAAAAAATCTGATTTTTTTTTTTGATTTTTTTAAAAAAATTGATTTATATGCCGCCCTTCTCCAGAGACTCAGGGCGGCTTACAACGCGTTAAGCAATAGCCTTCATACTTTTGTATATTTATACAAAGTCAGCTTATTGCCCCCACAAACTGGGTCCTCAATTTACCTACCTTAGAAAGGATGGAAGGCTGAGTCAACCTTAAGCCTGGCGAGATTCGAACCAGCAGTAATTGCAGGCAGCTGAATGTTAATAACAGGCTATAACCGGCTATTAGTCTGCTGCACATTTTAAAAAAATCATTGATTTTTATCCACCCTGCTAACAACTATGGGATTCAGTTAGCATTGGCTAGCCAGGACAGCAGGAACTGACTCTCTTGCGTATTACATGCACAACTGCGATTATTGTCTGAAAACTTCCCGGTGTGCGTATCACATCTGCAGCCCTTGGGATTAATGAGGCAAAATCGGCCAACTCGCTATGGCCCGCTCACCAGAGCCAAATTGCTGCGGGTGAACTCACCACGGCCAACTCGCGGTGGGAATATTCAATGGTTCAATTTGATTATTGAAAATAATGTTAAAAATATTTTTCGTTTTTTTGGCATTCACATTTCCTTTTGTCCCTCCTTTGCCATCCTATCTTTAACGATTCTGTCAATATAAGTAATTATGAGCTGGAATAGACCATGGCAACAGGTCAGCCAATGAGGACTGTTTGGAAACTGAAACATAGTATTTGTTTGTATGGGGCCATAAGAGACAGTTTATTTATTAGTCCAATTTATATGCCGCCCTTCTCGGTAGACTCAGGGCGGCTTACAATGCATTATAGCAATAGCCTGCATACTTCTTTTTTTTTTTGTATATACCTGCTTATTAGGGCTTTCGGCCCCCCCTAAGCGGTGTTGTTCTATACAAAGTCGGCTTATTGCCCCCACAATCCGGGTCCTCAATTTACCTACCTCGAAAGGATGGAAGGCTGAGTCAACCTTGAGCCTGGTGAGATTCGAACTTGCACTTGCACGAACTTGCACTAATTGCAGGCAGCTGGCAGCAAAGGGCTAGCGTTTAACACCACTTTAGTCCGCTGCACCACCGAGTTTGGAGTCTGGGCGTGGCTTAGACTTGCTGAACTGTATATAAGAGTTGGTTTGGCCTCTGTAATGGCTGCCTCTGTACAATATATACCCTCTGTATCTCTCTACTCCAGACGTCTTCAGAATTCTCCAGCCAGCTATGCTGGCTGGAGAATTCTGGGAGTTGAAGTCCACAAGTCTTAAAGCTGCCAAGTTTGGGGACCCCCGCTCTCCTCTGTAAAGACTTGCTTCTAGGAATATTGCTTCTGTGTTCCTGATATTGTATGCTGAATTCTGCTGTATGGTATTATTTATAAAGAAGTTTCTGATATAATTTGACTCCTGCTGAAGTTCATTCACTTATGTGCTGATCGGATGTGCGGCAACAAACTCTGACAGATTCTATTCCACTAATTCTTGGATATTAGTGTCACTCTTGTCCCACAACGAGTTGTCCCGCGGCCAGTCGGCTGAGGTGAATTGTCGTAGATCCTAATGAGGCAGCCACCCTGGCCTGAAACTTGTCAAATTTGTCCTTTCCAAATGTTTGTTGCTTTTGTTTTGCGTTACAAACCTGTGCCTTAATATATAGATAGTCCTCGACTTACAATCTTTCATTTAATGACTGTTTGAAGTTACAGCGGCACTGGGAAAAGTGTCCCGTGACCGTTTTTTTCACACTTATAACTGTTGCAGCATCCCCTGATGCTAACTCAGACACTTGACAACTCACTCATATTTATGACAGTTGTGAGATCCCGGGGGTCTTTTGCGTCCTTCTGCCAAGCAAAGTCAATGGGGAAGCCAGGCTCACTTTACAACCGTGTTACTAACTTAACAACCGCAGGGATTCACAGCTATGGCAAGAAAAGTTGTAAAATGGAACAAAATGCACTTAACCGCTGCCTTGTTCACAACAGAAATTTTGGGCTCCGTGGTGGTTGTAAGTCGAGGACTAGCTGTTCTTATTTTATTGATCAATTTTTTAAAAACCCCCCCCCCCCCCCCATTTCCCTCACACTCGGTGATGTTTTGCACGGAAGGAAATTCAGCTAACCCAAAATGCTTCACCCTCGTTCTGTTATCTTACAAATGCAGCTAATTTTCAAGCGAAGAATTGTGGTTGTGTCAAACAACCTAGGGATACGGAGGCTCAGTGGCTAAGATGCTGAGCTTGTCGATCAAAAGGTCGGCAGTTCGGCGGTTCGAATCCCTAGTGCCGCGTAATGGAGTGAGCTCCCATTATTTAATTTAATTTAATTAATCATATTTCTATGCCGCCCAACTCCCAAGGGACTTGTCCCAGTTTCTGCCAACCTATCAGTTCGAAAGCACATAAAAAATGCAAGAAGAGGGGACTTCCGGTTTGCTGCTTGTCCCCGCTGGACGCTCCTCCGGGATCGTCGAACCCACTGCCTGTAAGAGCCGCCTTTTTCAGCGGAATGGCGGCTCAAAAAAACTCCGTTTCCATTAGGAAACGGAGATAGAGCCGGCTGGGGTGGGTAGAGTCCTCTGCCTAATCCCAAAAGTTTTTTATTTACTTTTGGGAGGGAGCGGAAGAGACTCCCCGTATCCCCAGCCGATGCTCCGGGCTCTGGGAAATCTCTGCTACACGCAGAGCTAGGGGGCAAAAGCAAGCCTGTAAATCTGTCAAATAAATTAATTAAAGAAGATATGAGCTGGACCTTTGATCCTGAAGCGCAAGTATTCTTTTTATTCTATCTTGCCTAAGAAGTGAAGTGAAGGGAAAAAAGTTTTTTTTTAAAATGGCGATTGCTGCTGCGGCTTGAAGAGAGGCTGAAAGGGAAACTCCTTCCGTTTTTAATTACAAAGTAGCGGAATGAATACTTTTGGCTGTAACTGAAGGCAAAATCTCACTCTCATTTCGGGTTTTTTTTTCTTTCTTTTTTTTTTCTTTCTCTTTGAGGATCTGATATTGATCTTGGTTGGAAAAAAGTTTTTTTTTCTCTCTTTTCCAGTAAATTTTGTCTGCGTGGAAAAATGGCACTGAGACTTATAAAACTAGACAAACAGGCAGTGGGGGGGGGATTCCCCCATTAATAAATTACATCAACAAGTTTTAACTCTCCAGTCACAGAAACCTGACTTTAATATAATAGAATTTCTTCTTGAGGAGATTGTAAGAAGGGATGAGATTGTGAATCAGCAACTTGAAAAATTTAAGTTGGAAATCAAAGAAATTGGTGAATTGGTGAAATCTAAGTTTGGCTTTTTGGATCGAAAGATTTTAAAAGTAGCTAATGGCTTAGCAGACTTTATGACTCAGTTGGAAGCAAATACTAACTCTAAAATGAAAGAAACTGAGGAGAATTTGGATGACAAGATCCAAAAAATTAAAAAGGATTTGGCAAACATTCAGGATAATAGTTCAGAAGACAAACTTAAAATGGAGGCTGATCAAAAGACTGTTATTGAAGAAAATGTACAACAGAGGATTGAAAGAGAAGTTTTAATGATCCAATACAATTTTACAGAATATGCAATTAGACTGAGAGGTTTGCAGGAAGATGACAGAGATGATTTAAGGAAGATATCTTCTGAAATTCTGGCTGGGATTTTAAAGGTTCAACCTGATGAAGTGTTTTGCAGGATTGACAGAATTTATAGAATAAACTCCTGGTTGGCAAAACAAAGGCAATTGCCTAGAGATGTGGTGATTTATTTTACAGACAAAGAAATTAGAAATAACATTGTCCAGAATTCTTATGATTCTGCTTTGCAATTTCGTGGAAGAAAGATTTGGATTTTTAAGGAACTCCCGCCCAAGATGTTAATGGAGAGGAAGAAATTTGGTTTTCTAGTGAATGAGTTAAAAAAAAGGAATATTCTATTTAGGTGGGACGTCCCAGTTGGTTTAATATTGAGACACCAAGGAGTAAGATACCAACTGGATACTGTCGAAAAAGCGGAAGAATTTTATCAAAAAATTTTAAAAATAAATTTAACATCTTTAGGCATAACACAGGACAAGCAAAAGGAGTTGGAAATAAAGGGAAAACATCAAATTACAGAGGCTGTGGTAGATAAACTGTCTTTGGACTCCTTGGATACCCCAGCTGGACTGTCTATAAATTTGAGGGCAGTGTCATCTGATTCTAATGTGATTAACTATCAACTTACAAACAAGTGCGTAAATCAACCAGTTGATAATACAAGTGAAGGAAAAGACATATGGGATAATAAAACAAAACCAACAAGATCAATTTACAAAGCAGAATGACAACCGATCAGCTGATACACAACTTGTAGGAAGGAAATCTGGATGGAAATGCAACCCGCAAAAGAAAAAGAAAAGAAACAGATTTCGTAGAAATAGTAGTTTCTAAACCAAGCAACAGTGAAGCCAGGGATTTTAAAAAAATAAATGAACATGTGAAAAGATATTGGAGGCGAATTATCGTTTAATACTATCTTGAGGAAAGTGGCAGATCTCTGCAATGCCGTGATTTTGGGATGTGGAAAGAGCCTTACATTGTTGGATTTGAACTATCTATTTTGGATTTCTTTTACCGATAAATATATTATATCTATTTTGAGTTACAAGGCAAGAGAGTCATGCTGGGGCATGCAGAAGATCTGGCTGTTACCCACAAAGATGATGGGGATTTATAATCCTGATGAAAACCACAATTACAACTATATGGAATATAATTATAATGTCACTCGGGTGGTTGTTTTTATTTTTATATATACATGAGGATATTTATTATTGATGGGGGGCAGAAGATGACTGAAGATTTTGAATAAACTGTTGCACCAGGATGCTATGTTACCCTATTATGGATGATGGATTTAACAATCTAGTGGAAAGACATCAAAGAAGATACTAAATGAATTATAAATTTAAAGTTATTGTCTTTTTTTATAAAATGGAATGTATATATAGACATATGTATAATTTAGCAGAGTGGGCAGTGGATTATATTTAGAATTGTAGTGTATGGTAATCTTGCAGGAAACTGGGTTGAAATAGGCTAGTTTAGTGATTGATTAGTTTAAGAAAAAGGATTTTTAAGACATATATTTTGGGGAGTGGAAGAATCGGATAGAACTGAACAAATGTTAAATTTGGAGAAGGCTGCTTTGAAATGTTAAATTAATATATATAATATATATAAAAGTAAAGGTTATGTTGTTGTAATAATAATAATATTTTATAAGTTTGGGGGAGGAGAAAAAGGGTAGATTGTGAAAAGTGGAGAAAAGCGGAGTTATAAGAATACTTTGCTAAGGGTCAGTACTTTGAGGAGTGAGTAAGGGCATGGTAAAATATTATGTAATTAATTATGAATTAGCTTATTGTTGTGAAGAAGAAGTCACAGGGGGGGATGGGTGGTGAGGGGGGTTAGGGAAGAAGGGAGGAAAAGGGGGAAAAACTTGTATTTGAAAAACTTTTTCAATAAAAAAAAAAAATGCAAGAAGAAAAATAGGGACCACCTTTGGTGGGAAGGTAACAGTGTTCCGTGCGCCTTTGGCGTTTAGTCATGCCGGCCACATGACTACGGAGACGTCTTTGGACAGCGCTGGCTGTTCGGCTTTGAAACGGAGATGAGCACCACCCCCTAGAGTCAGGAACGACTAGCACATATGTGCAAGGGGAACCTTTACCTTTACCTAGCAACCTAATCCACATTCGGTAACACAAAAGGCTGGGATTGTAATCTTTAAACCATACCTCATAAGACTCTGATTTGACCTCCTGCTGGCTCCTCAGGAAGTCCTCGACCAGAGCCACCGCCTGGGAACACGTGTCTGCTCCTCCTGCTCGGATCCAGCTCTGGAGGTCCGATGGAAGGCTGGCCAGGAACTGCTCCAGGATCAGCAGCTCCAGAATCTGTTCCTTGGTGTGTCTCTCCGGCTTCAGCCACTGGAGACAAAGCTCCTGGAGTTGGCTATGGATCCTTCGGGGGTCTCCCACTTCCTGGCAGCAGAACTGCCGAAAATGTTGGCGCTGCACCTCCATTTTCAGGGCTTCCCCTCGCAAGATGGCGGCCTTCACCTTCCCATAGTCCTCCCGATCTCTGGCTTCCAGACTTCGGAAGACCACTTCGGCTTCTCCACTCAGCGCTGGCAGAAGATGGCCTACCCACTGTTCTGAGGGCCACTGACAGGCTTGGGCCACCTGCTCAAAGGACGCTAGGAAGGCCTTGGTATCTTCCCAAGGAGAAGCTTCTGGAAACCCTGGGTTGTCTTCTCCTGTGTGGGCAGGTTGCAGGGTTTTGAGGAACTGCTGCCACTGGGCTTCCCAGCGTTCTTCCATCCCATGGAACGGTTCTCTTTTACTTTTCTGTGACGTTCCCCATCCCGGTTGCTCAGAAAGGGACGGAGGCTGAATTTCGCAGGGGAGTTTTCTGAGATCCGTTTCTTCTAATTTTGGTTCTGAAATATAGAGAGGCTGAACTGGATTGGTGGGATTTTCTGGTCCTCCCTTCCACTGGGGATCTGCACAATTTTTCTCTTTCATTGCTTTCTCTGCAGGCTCTTTGCTCTTGGATCTAGAATTTTTCAAAGATCAGATTTAGCAGACCAAACGTAAGGAACCTAATATACAGTAGGGGCCAAAATTGTGGAAACCTTTTGGGAAAAGTGTATTTTTGAGATTTGATGGCTAATAACACCACTTTTTTTTTTTTTTTGGAGTTTCAAGATAATCCTATTCCACTGCTGGAATGGCCTGGGAATAGCCCAGATTTTAACCCAATTGAAAAACTATGGAGCTGAGTAAAGAAACTTGTTAGTCAGAAGCGACCCAGCAATAAAACCCAGTTAATAGAAGCCATCATTCAATCTTGGTTTCACATTATAACAGCTGCAGAACTAAAAGACTTGGTTCACTCCATGGGAAGACATTGTAAGGCTGTAATTCATGCTAAAGGTTACCCAACTAAGTATTAACTGACGTGATAATTTTTGTATATCTCGTTTTTTCTATGGTGATAATTTTTGCATAACTCATTTTTTTTCTACGTGTTTCACTCTTCTTCTTTATACTGTAACTGCTATTCTAATAGCAAATCCTTCATAAACGTTATTGCATTACATTCTTGATTAAATTATCTTTCCATTGATATATAATTTTATGGTACTTCTCCCAGAAAAAGTGGTGCTATTAGCTAGTTTTAGAAAATACACTTTTCCAAAAGGTTTCCACAATTTTGGCCACTACTGTAGTTTGAAAGGAGTTATAAAGCAGCTGATAGAGGTAATCCATGATTTACGACCACAACTGAGCCAAAAACGTATGTTGCAAAGCGAGACATTTGTTAAGTGAGTTTTTGCCCCATTTTACGACTTTTCTTACCATGGTGTTTTTTGTTTTTAAATTTGATTTATATGCCGCCCTTCTCCAGAGACTCAGGGCGGCTTACAATGCGTTAAGCCTTCATACTTTTGTATATTTATACAAAGTCAGCTTATTGCCCCCACAATCTGGGTCCTCATTTGACCTACCTTAGAAAGGATGGAAGGCTGAGTCAACCTTGAGCCTGGGGAGATTCGAACTTACAGTAATTGCAGACAGCTGGTGTTAATCACAATGCTTTTAGTCTGCTGAGCCACCAGGCCCAGGTTGTTAAGTGAATCACTGCAGTTGTTAAGTTAGTAACACAATTGTTACTGAACAGTGAATGAAATAAGCAAGTCAAGGATTCTGGCTCCTTCAGCCTCACATTTTGGGTAATGGCTTTTATACCAGGGTGACGGAAGGCCATCCCAGGTATAAGCTGGGGATGAGACAATCAACGTAACATAGTTTAATGGCCCTTTTCTAATTATGCAGAAAGTCTCCATACTTGTTCAGATGTCTTTTTCTCTACCATGGACCTTTCTGAAGAGTGGATGTGATTTCCACCCATTCTTGACTGAGCAAGTATCTATACTCGTGATGGCGAACCTATGGCACATCTCTGCGGGCAGGCGAGCCGACGCCCAGAACTGCTCCACCACGCATGCCCACGGACCTCCTCCTGGCCAGCTGATTTTTGGGTCTCTGCTGGGAGATGTGCGCACATGTGCGGGGGTGGGAGGTTGCGCCGCCCCCCTCGTGCCCCGTTTTTGGTTCCAGGCGGCTTCAGGGAGGCCTGCTACCACCAAAACGGGGATCATGCAAGGATGCGTGGGGGGAGAGCGGGGGGTCACATGCGCATGCGTGGGGGAACGGGGCGGGGCCTGCAGGAGGGATTGCATTATGGGTGTCGGCACGTGTGCTTTTGGCACCCAAGGAAAAAAAGGTTCACCATCAAGAGCCTTGGTAGTACAGTGGTCTAAGACACCCTGTTATTAAGCTGGTTATTAAGACCAGCTGCCTGCAATTACTGCAGGTTTGAATCTCGCCAAGGCTCAAGGTTGACTCAGCCTTCCATCCTTTCTAAGGTAGGTGAAATGAGGACCCAGTTGTGGGAGCAATAAGCTGACTTTGTATAAATATACAAAAGAATGAAGGCTATTGCTTAGCGCATTGTATGCCACCCTGAGTCTCCGGAGAAGGGCGGCATATAAATCAAATAAAAAAAACAAAACAAAAAAAACAAAAAAACCCTGATCTATACAGTAGTTTCCCACCTCTGGATTAGATGATCTCTATGGTTCATTCCACTATTTCCATTCTTTGATTTTCAGGTTCCCATAGGGCAACAAAGACTATATAGGGAATTCTTAAAACTTACAACCACAATTGAGGCCACAATTTCTGCTGTTAAGTGAGACATGTTAAGTGACCTTTGCCCCATTTTACGACTTTTCTTTGCCACCGTTCTTAAGTGAATCACCGCAGTTATTAAATCAGTCATGAAGTTGTTAAGTGAATCTGGCTTCCCCATTGACTTTGCTTGCCAGAAAGTCGCAAAAAGGGATCCCGTGACGCGGGGACACTGCAATCGTCATAAATATGAGTCAACAGCCAAGCATCTGAATTTTGATCATGGGACCACAGGGATGCTGCAACGGCCAGTGAGCCACTTTTTTCAGTGCCGATGTAGCTTTGAACGGTTACTAAAGGAACTGTGGTAAGGCAAGGACTATCTCTACACTGTGGTGGCGCAGTGGTTAGAATGCAGTATTGCAGGCTACTTCTGCTGACTCCCGCAATTTGGCAGTTCGAGTCTCACCAGGCTCAAGGTTGCCTCAGCCTTCCATCCTTCCACGATTGGTAAAATGAAGATCCAGATTGTTGAGAGCAATATGCTGATTCTTAGAGAGGGCTGTAAAAGCACTGTGAAGTGGTATATACGGTAAGTTTAAGTGCTATAGCTATTGCTAGTTAAGTTCACAAAACTATTTAGCCCCTGCAGGAGGACATCTGCAGCTTGAGCCTCAGACCTGGAAGTGTGCACAACCATCCTACAACTGAATTTCCAACCTCTGGAAGGATGTCCCTTAAAACCAGAACGTCCCTTTAAGTAGGGGTCCGCAACCTCCTCGGGCCGTGTCCTAATTCGCAACCGGGCCACTTGGGTTGGGAGGCCAGAATGCATGTGCAGTAAGGGACGTCCTTCCATTAAAGAGGTTGGAAATTCAGTTGTGATCTAAGAAATGAGGATGGTTTTGTGTGTGTGTGTGTGTGTGTGTCTGCGCACACACACACTTCCAGGTCTGAGGCTCAAGCCGCCGCCGCCTTCTTACAGGGGCTAAGGGAATGAGACAACTTTTGCCGCAGCCAATTCACCAGTCAACTCGCCGTGTGGCGACTCGGCACAATTTCACAATTCTATTTTAACGGCTGAAAACAAGTTAAGAATTCTTTTAATTTTTGCCATTCGTATTTCATTCCGTCCCTTCTTTTGCTTAATGATTCTATTCCACCATTTCTTTGATATTCGGGTAACTCTAGTCCCGCATCGAGTTGTTCCTGCGGCGAGTTATCTTTCGGCGAGCTGGCCGCGGCGAGCTGACTGTGGCGAATTGTCACAGACCCCGGAGCTTAAATGGCTTTCCGAGCTTAACCAGAGGTAGTCCTCGACTTAACGACAGTTCCTTTATAGTGACCATTCGGCCCTGAAAAAAAAAAAAAGTTGCCGGTTGCAGCATCCCCATATTGACTCCTGGGTTTTTTTGGTGTGTGTGTGTGTTGGACCGCTGCCTTGGAGGTCCAGCGATCCCACCTGATCTGCGACATGATGTAGCGCTTGTAGAAGCTGCTGCCCAGCGGCTCCATCCCTTCCTCCTCCTCGGCAGCGGCGGCAGTGGCGGCGGCTTCCCCGGCGCAGGCTCGCTTGTGGTCGATGCCATGTCGCTTGTAGAAGCGCCAGATCCAGCCGTCGCTGGCCTTGAAGTTGAGCTTCATGTCGGCGGCGATGGCGTTGGCGGCCGCCTTGAGGTCGACGCGGCGGACCTTGGTTCCTCCAGACCGCTGTTCCACATACCACCTGAGCACGGCTTCCTCCAGGGAAGCCTCCTGGGACATCTTCATGTGCTTCCTGGCCCCGATCTCCGCCCCGCTGCCGGTGGAGTCGACGTCGCACATCAGCACGAACTTCCTCAGCTTCTCCTTGGCTTTGCGGATGTCCGACACCGTCTGCTTCTTCACGCCGTACTCCTCGCACACCCGCGCCACCGACCAGCCCGACTCCAGCTTCTCGATCAGCTCCAGCTTCTGCTTCACGCTCAGGTTGACCCGCTTCCGCTTCTCCACCCCCGCCGAAGCCATGGTGCGGCCCGGCGACCGAGTTCGGAGACGCCGGCGGGACCGCCCAACTCGCCAACTTGGGGGTGGGTGGGAGAGAATGTGGAGACTCTCGGGCGGGCTCGGGAAAAATCACTTAAGGGTTCCGAGGCTTGCGCCTGCGCAGAAGCGCGGCCGCCCTTCGGGGAAGCCGCTGTCCGATTCGTAGCATCTCGCTGGTCGGACCCTGCGCAGGGGAAGGGGTGGGGGGGTGGGAGGAATGAAGGACCGACCGGAAGTTTCTATAGCAACGTAGAGATGTGAAAAATAGAAGGAAAGGACATCTAGGAGACTGTTTCCGGGTTCAAGGAGGGGAGTGGGATTTGACGCGCAGGCGCAAAGAAAGAAGGGCGGCTCTGCCTCGAAGGAGAATCTTGGACAATGTTCACTGTTCCTGCATCGGTTCCGGAAGTTGTGTGCCGCTCTATCTGTCTATCTATTGCCATGGGACAGACCTCCAGATCTGTGCTAGGCATGTGTCATTGATGGGGGGGGAGTGGATTCAGAATAGAGCTGGGAGGGATCTTGGAGGTCATCTAGCCCAACCCCCTGTTCAAGCAGGAGACCCTATAGACAAGTGTCTATCCAGTCTCTTCTTAAAGACCTCTAGTGATGGAGCATCCACAACTTCTGGATGCAAGTCGTTCCACTGGTTAATTGTTCTCACTGTTAATTACTCCTTAATTCCAGATTGCTTTTCTCCTTGATTCTCACAGTTTGCTTTTGCTTTGTCTGCAAGGGCACATAGGTGTTACTCCACACCTACGCTGTGAAGGGGTCGATGGGTTGCTGATGGTTGCAAACTGTTGTGTAAGGGATGCGCATCTTTTGCATGCGGATCGGATAACCCGACTTCCCGGTGGGAGGCGGGAGGAAGGGGAGGCACATTCAAACGGCAAAATGGAGCAGCTGGAGGAGAGACTGGCCCACGAAGTGAGGAGATATCAACATTTGCACGACGTGATGGATAGAGACTACGGGAGCCAGGAGGCGACAGCCCATTCGTGGAGAAGAATTGTGGAGGAAGATCCAGACCGATGCAGAGAAAAGTGGAAGCAACTGCGAGATGAGTTCGTCAGCCTGAAAAAAAGAATGAAAACAAAGACCAGGGATCCAGGGCCGCCGGCCCATTCTATAATGCTGTCCTGGCTGGAAGAATTTGTAAAACACTGGGAAACCCAAGCGAATGTCAACAGTGCTGCAACGGAGGTAAGAAAATCACATCCTAATCTAGAACGTGTTTATATTTGTAGAGAACTGGATAAAAGGTAAAGGTTCCCCTCGCACATATCATGGCTAGTCGTTCCCGACTCTAGGAGGCAGTGCTCATCTCCGTTTCAAAGCCAAAGAGCCAGCGCTGTCCGAAGACGTCTCTGTGGTCATGTGGCCAGCATGACTAAACACCAAAGGCGCACGGAACGCTGTTACCTTCCCACCAAAGGTGGTCCCTATTTCTCTACTTGTATTTTTTATGTGCTTTCGAACTGCTAGGTTGGCAGAAGCTGGGACAAGTAACGGGAGCTCACCCCGTTACACGGCACTAGGGATTCGAACCGCTGAACTGCCCACCTTTCGATAAACAAGCTCAGCATCTTAGCCACTGAGCCACCGTGTCCCAAACTGGGGACACAGTCTCTTTTGACCCACAAACACACTCCTACCGCATTTTGAGCTGACGATAACCACCTCTGTATCTGACCCAGACATACATAAGGAAGTAGCATTGCATTATTAAAGCGAATAGCACTGCATTCATAATATAGTATGAACAGTGCTGTACAAATCAGCTCTACTTACTTTCATTAGATTTTTTTTATGCTAATTGCATTGATGTCTTTAAAGGTGTTATGTATGTAACCATGTATCTGTTTGGATAATTGTTGCCACAAATTATATAATTACAGCCTGAGGATGTCATGCCAGATCCTCTAGAGAAAGACTCTTTGGATTCAAGCTTGCATATGGAGGACATCTCATTCACATCACACCATGCATCCAGGCGCTCAGGTGTCTTCTCAATGCATAGTAGCGATGATGATGATGAAGATGATGAGAGTTCAACCAGTGTGCTCACTGGGTCACCCATAAAAGCACCAGTCCCCCAGTCAAGAAAGAGGAGGAAGGTGATGGGAAAGGACGAGATACTAGACGCTTTGGTCACTCTACGCTGGGAGCAACTTCAAACTGCAGTGATGTCACTGTTGAACCCCGATAACAGCCGTCGCAATGATGAATACACAACTTTTGCCCTGGCTGTTGCGGACTCTTTGCGGAAACTTCCACCGGAACGTGTGGAAGCAACAAAATCCCAGCTCTTCGTTGTGCTTGCTGACGCACATTCCCAAGTGACAAAACCCGGCCGACCTGGGGATGCAGGTGCGTTTTCTTCTCAGTGCAGTAATTGGCTGATTGTGAGGTGCCTTTGGGGAAGAGAAATGGAAGAATAGAATAGAATAGAATAGAATAGAATAGAATAGAATAGAATAGAATAGAATAGAATAGAATAGAATAGAATAGAATAGAATAGAATAGAATAGAATAGAATAGAATAGAACAGAACAGAACAGAACAGAACAGAACAGAACAGAACAGAACAACAGAACAACAGAACAGAACAGAACAGAACAGAACAGAACAGAACAGAACAGAATAGAATAGAATAGAATAGAATTCTTTACTGGCCAAGTGTGATTGGACACACAAGGAATTTGTCTTTGGTGCATATGCTCTCAGTGTACATAAGAAGAATAAAATTTATTTATTTATTTATTTATTTTTCATATTTGTATACTGCCCTACTCCCGAAGGACTCAGGGCGGTGAACAGCCAAAAATAAAATACAAAGACATACAAAAGTTAAAAACTATTAAAAACAGATTAAATAATTTAGGCTCAAAAAATTTAAACATCCAATTTATCTAAAAGACATTTAAAACCCAATTTAAAACCCAATTTAAAAGGGAGAGTTAGGCCAGACCAGCCTGTTGGAATAAAAACGTTTTTAGGGCGTGGCGGAAGATGTGTAAGTCTTGGATCCTCCGTATCCTCCGTAAAATACATTCATCAAGAATAAAAAGATACAACAGTGATAGTCAAGGTTACTAATAAGCTATCAAATCGTACTAGGAAACAAAAACGATATAAATGGAAAGATACAAGCAACATAGTTATAGTAATAAGTGGGAAGAGATAGATACTAGTAAGGAAGAGAAGAATAATAGTAATACAGTCTTAGTAAATTATTTGACAAGGTTGTGAGAATTAGTTGTTAAGCAGAGTGATGGCATTCGGGGAGAAAAGGGGTATCCAGGAGCTCGTGAATTAAAGGTTTTCTTTGGTGGGGTGGGGGGGAGAGAAGAGAGATAGACAAAAAAAAGTCAGGGAGATCTCTGTGTAAAACATGAAATAAATTGCAATAAATGCTCTGCTGATTCAGATCAATGTGGCGGCATATCCGGTCCTCTTGTTGATCTGCAGCAGGTCCAGCTGTTTGTTTAAGAGCCGTAGTGGCGCAGTGCTTAGAATGCAGTACAGGTAGTCCTCAACTTACAACAGTTCATTTAGTGACCGTTTGAAGTTACAACGGTACTGAAAAAAGTGACTTGTGACTTATTTTTCACACTTCTAACCGTTGCAGCCTCCCCTTGGGTGCGTGATTGGATTGGATGCTTGACAACAATCTCACATTTACGACGGTTGCAACGTCCCGGGGGTCTGGTGATCGATCCCCTTTTGCAACCTTCTGACAAGCAAAATCAATAGAGGAGCCAGATTCACTTCCCAACCTTGTGACTAATTTAACAACCGAAGTAGTCCTCCACTTCACAATTGTGGCAAGAAAAGTCGTTAAAATGGGGCAAAACTCACTTAACCAATTTCTCGCTTAACAACCTAAATTCTCAGCTCAATTGTTGTTACAATTCGTTACTAAATTGCAGGCTGTTTCTGCCGACTGCCAGCAATTTGGCTGTTCAATGCTGACCAGCTCAAGGCTGACTCAGCTTTCTGTTCTTCCCGAGGTCGGTAAAATGAGGACCCCGATTGTTGGGGGGAGTAACATGCTGACTCTGTAAAGCACTATGAGGTGGTATCAGTAGTGGTTTTCACTTACCTTCGCTACTGATTCGGGAATGTGAGTGCGTGCGGCGCTTCTGCACATGCGCAGAGTGCCCGTGATGGTGGGTGGGCGGAGCCTCCCGCCACCGCCTCTACCGGTTCGCCTGAACCGGGGCGAACCGGTAGAAACCCACCACTGGGTGGTATCAGAAGTGGCTTTTAGCAGGTTCTGACCAGTTCTGGAGAACTGGTAGAGGAAATTTTGAGTAGTTTGGAGAACCGGTAGTAAAAATTCTGACTGGCCCCGCTCCCATCTATTCTCTGCCTCCCGAGTCCCAGCTGATCGGGAGGAAATGGGGATTTCGCAGTAACCTTCCCCTGGAGTGGGGTGGGAATGGAGATTTTACAGTATCCTTCCCTTGCCCACGCCCACCAAGCCACACCCACAGAACCGGTAGTAAAAAAATTTGAAACCCACCACTGGGCGGTATCTAAGTCTTAAGTGCCATTGTTTGCTCCGAAGCCTCTTCTTCAGAACAATATGTGGCCTCTGAACGGGGAGGCTCCATTTAGCAATTGGAGCCCGTAGCGACACATTGCAATGAAGGCTTCTGTTGAGGGCTGCAGAGCACTGGAAGTTTAACATCTCCTGGTCTACCTTTTTTTTAGGCAGGAGATCTGCCATTTCTGAGAGCAAGCCCAGCGGCAGAGGCTTGTTGCCTAACTGAACCTTTCCTTCTCATAACACACATGGTCCTCGACTTATTTATTTATTTATTTATTTATTTATTTATTTATTTATTTATTTATTTATTTATTTATTTATTTATTTATTTATTTATTTATTTATTTATTTATTTATTTATTTATTTATTTATTTATTTATTTATTTATTTATTTATTTAATTCAATTTGTATACCGCCCTTCTCCTAGTGGACTCAGGGCGGTGCACAGCCAGAACTAAAACACATAACAATACAAAATTTAAAATTATTAAAAGAATTATATACTTTGGCCCAAATTTAAAACAATTCGAATTAAAACCCATTGACAGATTAAAAGCTAAACAACTAAAAAACAAAACAAAAAAAAAAGGGGGGGGGGGTTCACGCCAGCCCTGCTTGATGGAAAAGAAAAGTTTTCAGGGCACGGCGAAAGACCCGGAGATCCGATATCCTTCGTATCTCCGGGGGCAAATCGTTCCAGAGGGCAGGAGCTGCCACAGAGAAGGCCCTCCCCCTGGGGGTCGCCAGCCGACATTGCCTGGCTGACGGCACCCTGAGGAGTCCCTCTCTGTGGGAGCGTACTGGTCGGTGGGAGGCTATCGGCGGCAGAAGGCGGTCCCGCAAATACCCAGGTCCTATGCCATGATTTAACGGCCATTCATAATTATCGGGGCACTAAAAACTGACACGACCAATTTTTTCACATGACCACTGCAGCATCCCCAGGAGAGAGTATTCAAGTTGAATTAGGGATTTTTAATAACCACCAGTATCTGTTCCCCCATGGAAGAAAAATGTTATCTATATATGAATGTCAATGTGTATTTAAAATATGCTTTCTTCGGACAGAGAACGGTAGACCTGTAGGAAAATGGGTGGAGATAGGTTAGGTTACTGATTGTTTAGTTTAGGAAAAGGGATGTTATGTTCAGATATTAATATACGTAAAAGATTTGAATTAAGAGATATATGTATGGGGGTGGAGGAAATGGGTAGATTATGAGTTGAATAAATGCCAAATTAGGATTTATTATATAATTTTATAGCTGAAGGTTGCTTTGAAATGTATAGTATAGGGGGGATATAATAATAATGTTAGAAAGAAATGGTTAGCATATGGGGGGTGGTGTAAAAGGATGGTAAAGTATTATATAATCTGATATCAATTTGGATTTTATTTTGGAGAAGCCATGGGGGGAGGGGAGGGGGAGGGGGGGTTAGGGAGGAGGGGGGGAAAAGGGGGAAAAATCTGTATTTGAAAAACTTTTTCAATAAAAAAAAAATGCTTTCTTTTTAGATCCCAGGGAACTGGGGAGTTTTTCTAGTAACCGAGGAATGACTGCTAGGCCGCTCAGCCAGGTATAACTATTATTATTTTTTTTCAGTGCCGTTGTATCTTTAAACGGTCACTACAACGAACTGTTGTAAATCGAGGACTGCCTGTAGTTAACGTCGAATAGGAATAAACGTAGACGTCATTTGTCCGCTTCACAGGGGCTTCTGACCTTTGAAGATGTGGCTGTGCGTTTTACCGATGAGGAATGGATGCTGCTGGATGCAGGACAGCAGGACCTCTACCGGGAGGTCATGGCGGAAAATTCTGGGATGGTGGCCTCTCTAAGTAAGGATCCCTGGGCTTCAACTCACTCGGATTGTTCTTCCTTCCTTCCTGTGGTGCCACAGTTTCCTGTAGAAGCAGTTCCAGTTTCTGCCTGGGAACCTCGGCTGGCCCAACTCTCCCTGCAGCTGAATCTTGCTGCACAGTTACTTTCCCCCCCAGATCGTGGATGTAGTTGCCTTTTGAGGGTATTAATTAGAATAAGATGGCAGCTAATTTTCTCCCTTCATCCTTTTCCCCCCATCCCCGGGCAATAGTATGGTTGACAGTGAAGAGGTTACAAAGACATTGGGGAATGGCCAGATGCTACTCGAGTGTGTGGCTGGCTGCTTCTGACAGCCGCTTTTTTCTGAATTGGGTTTTACAGAGCCTGATTCATATTCTCCCTCTTTCTTCTACCCCCCTCTTTCCTCTCTCCTTTCTCCCCTTCCCCCTCCTCTCTTATTCTCCTCTCTCCCCTTCTCCTTCTCTCTTCTCCCCCCTCGTTTCCTTCTCCCTCTCCTCATCTCCCTCTCCTTCTGCCATCTCTCCCTCCCACTCCCTTCTACTACCGTGTTTCCCTCAAAATAAGGCCCAACCCAGAAAATAAGCCCTAGCATGATTTTTCAGGATGCTCGTAATATAAGCCCTACCCAAAAAATAAGCCCCAGTTAAGCTTTTCAGCCAGATGGATGCATTTAGCCCCGTATTTCCTCCCAAATAAGGCCTAACCGGCAAATAAGGCCTAATGGCTTAGGACCTGGTTATCTACGGGACTGCCTACTACCACCAATAGCCTCCCACCGGCCGGTATGCTCTCATAGAGAGGGGCTCCTCCGGGTGCCGTCGGCCAAACAATGTCGACTGGCGGCCCCTAGGGGGAGAGCTTTCTCTGTGGGGGCACCTACTATCTGGAACGAGCTCCCCCCGGAGATACAGAGGATCCCGGATCTGCGCACCTTCCGCCACGCTCTTAAGACCTTTTTATTCCACCAGGCGGGCCTGGCCTAATCTTTTCCCTCTTTTTAATTATGCAAATTTTAATCGGTTTTTAATGATTGGGGTGTTTTAATCTGTCTGGGCCAAATTGTATAATTCGATTTTACTTTATTTTTAAATTTTGTATCTATGTATTTTTACTGTTTGGCTGTTCACCGCCCTGAGTCCTTTGGGAGTAGGGCGGTATATAAATCAAATAAAGTAAGTAAGTAAGTAAGTAACGTGTCTTTTGGAGCAAAAATTAATATAAGACCTGTGTTTCAGGGAAACACACTATTGCCTTCTCTTTCTGTCCTCTCCCCTCCCTCTTTCCTTTCTCTCTCTCCCCACCTCTCTGCCTTCTTTCTCCCATCCTCTTTCTCTCCTTTCTTGCCATCTCTCCCTTTTCCTTCTCCCTCCCTCTCCTTCCTCTCTTTTCCTCTTCTCTCCCCTCTCTCCTTCTCCCCTTCCTCCTCTTCCTGCCTCCCATCCCCCTGTCCCTTCCTCTCTTTCCTCCCTCTCTTTTCTTCTTCTCTCCCTTCCCTCTTCTCCTTCCTCCACTTCCTGCCTTCTTCCCCCTGTCTCTCCCTCTCTCTTTCCCTCTCTCTCTTTTTTCCATGGCCTTGACCCTGGGAATGGGGGGCAGTGCTGTTGCCTAAATTTACCAGCAAAGCTTTTCCATCTCAGTCCAGGAGCTTCAGCCAGAAAAAAATGCCGAAGACCAGGAGGCAGGAGCAGCTGACAAACCTGGGCAGAAAGCTCAAGACGGAGAAGGAAAAAGCCGCCCCTTTTTCCAGCGCCCCACTGAAAGCGAGCTAAAGACTTCACACAATGTAGGGCAGAGTCCGGTCGCTGGGCCCAAGCAGGACTGCCAGTGTTCTTTGAAGACGATGGCATTTTCTCCTCCCACCTTGGACTTTAGAGAATCCCAAAAACGTTGGGAAGCCAGAGCTGATGAAGAGGACGTGCCGCAGTCCCCCGGCTTCACTGACCTCGTGAATGGAAACAGGGAGCTTGGACCTGAAGAGGAGAGCCTGAACGGGGAGACCCAAGGCAGACTGGAAGAAAAAGTGAGAGTCTATCTCGTTCAGCGGCGACTGCCCTCGTGATATTTCAGAAGGCACCCCCGAAATGTGAAGGTTGAGCATGCTAAGAAAGAGAGATGATTGAAAATTGTGGGGGAGGGGGGATAGCAAAGGTTATATCAGGGGTATGAAACTCAGGGCCCGTGGGCCAGATCCGGCCCGTGGGGTGCGTACATTTTATTTATTTTATTTTTTTATTTTATTTCAAATTTATATACCGCACCTTCTCCCAAGGGACTCAGGGCGGTGTACAGCCAGATAAAAACATACAATACAAACATTAAGAATAATTAAAAGAATATATATTAATTTGGCCCCAGTTTAAAATGACAAACCAATTAAAAATTTAAAATTTAAAAATATGTTAAGCCAGCCCGGCTTGATGAAAAAAGAAAGTTTTAAGGGCACGGTGGAAGGCACTGAGGTCTTGGATTCTCCTTATCCCTGGGGGCAGCTGATTCCAGAGGGTAGGTGCCCCCACAGAGAAGGCCCTCCCCCTGGGGGTCACCAGCCTACATTGTTTGGCTGATGGTACCCCGAGGAGGCCCTCTCTGTGGGAGCGCACAGGTCGATGGGAGGCCATCGGTAGCAGCAGGCGGTCTCGAAGATATCTAGGCCCTATGCCATGGAGCGCTTTAAAGGTGATAACCAATACCTTGAAGCGCACCCGGAAGACCACTGGGAGCGAATGCAGCTCGCGCAGGAGCGGTGTTATGTGGGAGCGCCATGCAGCTCCCGTAATTACCCGCGCGGCCGCATTCTGGACCAGTTGGAGCCTCCGGGTGCTCCTCAAGGGGAGCCCCATGTAGAGAGCATTGCAGAGAGGCCTGTGGGGCCTCTCTGGAAACAGTGAAGGACTGGCCTATGGTGCCTCTGCCAGCGAAAATGACAGAGGGCTACAGGAGGCCGTTGCAGCTGAAAACAGAGCTTCGGAGCCCGTTTTCAGTGCTAGGACTACCACAGGGCCCCGCAAACCGAGGCACATTTATTTATTTATTTTATTCATTAGTTTGATTTATATGCTGCCCTTCTCCGGAGACTCAGGGCGGCTTACAATGCTTTTAAGCAATAGCCTTCATCCTTTTGTATATTTATACAAAGTCAGCTTATTGCCCCCACAAACTGGGTCCTCATTTCACCTACCTTAGAAAGGATGGAAGGCTGAGTCAACCTTGAGCCTTGGCGAGATTCGAACCCTGCAGTAATTGCAGGCAGCTGGTCTTAATAACCAGCTTAATAACAGGGTGCCTTAAACCCCTGTACCACCAAGGCCAATACTTTTGTATATACCTGCTTAGTACGGCTTTCGGGGGCCCCCTAAGCGGTGTTCTTTTTTATACAAAGTCATCTTATTGCCCCCACAAACCGGGTCCTCATTTTACCTACCTCGGAAGGATGGAAGGCCGAGTCAACCTTGAGCCTGGTGAGATTCGAACTCGCAGTAATTGCAGGCAGCTGGCAGCTAAGTACTACTTTAACAGCACTTAGTCCACTGCGCCACCAAGGCTCTTATAATCATGCTGGCCACGCCCACCCTGGCCACACCCACCCCGGCCCCCCAAGGTCAAACACAACCCTGATGCGGCCCTCAATGAAACCGAGTTTGACACCTCGGGGTTATCTCAACGTCCATTAAATTGAACTGAAATTTCAGTCTTGGGGGGCTGTTCTGCTGTCCTCCTACAGTCTAGCCCCGTGATGGTGAACCTATGGCACACGTGCCCAGAGCGGCATGCGGAGTCATGTCACCTGGCATGCACGGTGTCACCCCTTCCTCTTCCAGGCGTGCAGGCACGTGCGATGATCAGCTGGCCTCTTGTGTGTACGGCAATGCCGGAAACTGGAAGAGCTGGTCTTCCGTTTAACTCCGTTTAACTCATGCGCGCCCGAAACCCGGAAGACTAACTGGCCAGTGCTCATGCACGCGCCGGAAACCAGAAGTTCATTTTCGGGCATGCGCAGGCATCCTGGGCAGCTCCTTTACTGGGTTGCAGCCCAGACAAGTGTATGCTCCCTTTTCGGCATTCGGTGCTGATAAGGTTCGCCATCCCTGGTCTAGCAGCTCAGCTGTTTCTGCAAGTGTTCTGTTTTTCTTGCACTCTTAAATCTTTGCACGGTGCTCCCTCCTTTTGGGGGAGGTTAGATGGGCGTAAAAGAGTAAGCCATATGTTAGCCAGGGCCATTTTTTTTTCAACACGTCCATACAGGCAGACCTCGACTTACAACAGTTCATTTAGTGACCGTTCAAAGTTACCACGGCACTGAAAAATATGACTTACGACCGTTTTTCAGAGTTACGACCTTTGAAGCATCTCCCCCCCCCCCAGGGTCACGTGATCAAAATTCAGATGCTTGGCAACTGGTTCATATTTATGACGGTTGCAGTGCCCCCCAAAGCCATGGGGTCACCTTTTGCGACCTCCCGACCAGCGAAGTCAATGGGGAAGGCAGCTTCACTTAACAGCCGGGTTCCTAACTCATCAACTGCAGTGATTTAGTTTAACAACTGTGGCCAGAAAGGTAATAAAATGTCACTTAACAAATGTCTCGCTTAACGACAGCAATTTTGGGGGTCAGTTGCGGTCGTATGTTGAGGACTATCTGTAGTTCTGAGACCAAGCCGTCCTATCCTCACTACAGTTTTTTTCAGTCCGGCAAAAGTCGCATTGCAACATTGCACAGTAAGCTCCACCCCTTTGTGACATCTAGAAAGGGGGTGGAGCTTGCGTTGCAATGTGTCAAAGGGTCAGCCCTTCTACTCAAAGCTGCCTACACAGAGTTGCTGGCAACACACACACACATACACAGAGTAAGATGGGCAGCAATACAAATTTAATAGGAAGGTAGGTTGATAGGTAAGAGCCAAATTTAGTAGGAAGGTAGGTTGATAGGTAAGAGCCAAATTTAGTAGGAAGGTAGGTTGATAGGTAAGAGCCAAATTTAATAGGAAGGTAGGTTGATAGGTAAGAGCCAAATTTAGTAGGAAGGTAGGTTGATAGGTAAGAGCCAGCCTGGTATATTGATTAAAGCAGTGTTTCTCAATTTTATAAGCTTTAAGATGTTGGATTTCAACTCCCAGAATTCCTCGGCCAGCATGATTTTTTTTTTTTGAAATTTTTATTTTATTTTATAAACAAACAAACATACAATACATAATCAATCGTTCACTGCTTCATCTGAGTACATCTTTTGTGACTTCTTGTTCTCCAATGTTAATCATTTCATAATATCATTTCATTTATTATAACATTTCTCTCACATGTCTTACTTTGCTATTAATACATTTATCTTCTCTCTCTTTCTTTCTCTCATTACAACATTACCCTATATGTATTTCTTCTCTAACCAATGATAAAATTGTCTCCATATCTTAAAATATTCCGATTCCTCTCTTTCTTCGATTGTCAAAGTCAATCTATTCATTTCTGCACAACCCAATATTTTCTTAATTACTTCACCCTCTGTAGGGATTTTCTCTGCTTTCCATCTTTGCGCAACTACTATCCTCGCTGCAGTTGTTATGTGAATAATCAAATATATAAATTCTTTACTAAATTTCTCTCTGGTAGGATTCCCAATAAGAACAGTTCAGGTTTTAAATCTCTATGTTGTTGTATCATTTCTTCCAACCATGTTTTAACTTTAATCCAATAGGTTTTTTTGCTTCTGGACATGTCCACCACATATGATAATAACGATCCTGGTAGCTAGGCCAGCATGATATTTTGACTTCCTGTTGTATCAGCATGATCTGGGAGTTGAAGTCCACATAGCCTTAAATTGATACGGTGGAGAAACATTGTATTAGAGCAGGGGTGGGCAAATATGGCCTCTTTATAACCTGTGGACTTCAACTCCCAGAATTCTTGAGCTATCTTGGCTGTCTCAGGAATTCTGGGAGTTGAAGTCCACAGGTTGTAAAAGGGCCACAGTTGCCCACCCCTGTATTAGAGGATTGAGCCATGAAGTGGGAGACGCAGGTTCAAGTGGACTTTGAAGGAAGACATCAAACTTACCTCCCAGGCAATGGTGAAATCCGAACCGGTTTGCTACCGGTTTGCTGGCTGCGCACTGTGTGCCAAACGCACGCTGCGTGTATATGCGCAGTGCGCACCAAAAGGAGGCTTGGGAAGGTAAGTAGAAGCGAGGGGGTGGGATCAGCTGTGGCACGCGATTTAGCTTCACTAGAAAGCTACATGGGGCTACCCTTGAAAAGCCACACGAGCTGTCGTGGGTGCACCTAGACACACCCACATTACACCAATTCTCCGCGAGCTGCACTGGCTCCCTATTGGTCTCCGGTCACAATTCAAGGTGTTGGTTATTACCTTTAAAGCCCTACATGGCTCAGGACTAGGGTATCTTCGCGACCGCCTTCTACCACATAGCTCCCAACGACCGGTAAGATCCCACAGAGTTGGTCTCCTCAGGGTCCCGTCAGCTAAACAATGCCGGCTGGCGGGCCTGCGGGGGAGGGGCTTCTCTGTGGCTGCCCCAGCTCTCTGGAACCAGTTACCTCCTGAGGTCCGGACCATCCCCACCCTATTGGCCTTCCGAAAAGCGGTGAAGACCTGGCTCTTCCGGCAGGCCTGGGGCCGTTGATCTTGCTCGTGTGATCTGGTGAGATCCGGCCATGAATGGTGTGAATGAGTTTTTAATGTTTTTAATCTTTCAATGTCTTTTTATAATGATTTTAAATGCATTGTGAGCCGCCCTGAGTCTTCGGAGAGGGGCGGCCTACAAATTGAATGAATGAATGAATGAATGAATGAATGAATGAATGAATGAATAAATAAATAAATAAATAAATAAATAAATAAATAAATAAATAAATAAATAAATAAATAAATAAATAAAGCAGGATTTCCTGCTTTCTAGCAAAGCTAAACCCCGCTGCACAGCTGATCGTTGGAAATACCTGTTCAGAGGAACCTGTAGCTTTTTTTTTTTTAACTACCAGTTTGCCCAAAGCAAACCGGTAGCATTTCACCCAGGGTTGATATGAAGTGTTGGAAGAAAAATCTGGTCCCGTTCCAAGCCGGGAAAAAGACGGTGAAAATAAAATGGAGGCAGGCCGCATTTTGGAAAGGAGATCTCTTGTTTGTTTGCTAGCCAGAAATGTCAGTGACAGCAGCATGTTTTTGGGGTGGCTTGACAAAATGGGGTTGAGATTTTTATACGTTCTATGGGGCTTTGTGACTGAGATGCCTGTTCCTGTGTAAGAATGTGCCCTTTAATATTTTAATGGCTGTTGCCAGATTATTTTAATCTGGGGAGGGAGGGGTGGCTTCCTACAGAAGATAAAAGTCAGGATGTAGCAATAGCGCTTATATATATTTTATTTTATTTTATTTTATTTTATTTTATTTTATTTTATTTTATTATTTTATTTTATTTTATTTTATTTTATTTTATTTTATTTTATTATTTTATTTTATTTTATTTTATTATTTTATTTATTTTATATTATATTATATTATATTATATTATATTATATTATATTATATTAATATTATATTATATTATATTATATTATTATATTATTCAATTTGTATACCGCCCTTCTCCTAGTGGACTCAGCGCAGTGCACAGCCAGAACTAAAACACATACCAATACAAAATTTAAAATTTTAAAAGAGTTACATGACTTTGGCCCAGAATTTAAAACATTCAAACTAAAACCCATTGACAATTTAAAAAGCTAAACAACTAAAAAAGACTAAAGAAGGGGGAGGGGGTTCACGCCAGCCCTGCTTGATGGAAAAGAAAAGTTTTCAGGGCACGGCAAAAGACCCGGAGATCCGATATCCTTCGTATCTCTGGGGGCAAATCATTCCAGAGGGCAGGAGCTGCCACAGAGAAGGCCCTCCCCCTGGGGGTTGCCAGCCGACATTGCCTGGCTGACGGCACCCTGAGGAGTTCCTCTCTGGGAGCGTACTGGTCGGTGGGAGGCTATTGGTGGCAGAAGGCGGTCCCGCAAATATACCGCTTCGTAGTGCTATACTTGATAAATGATGACTTGAGCTTCTTAAGTAGGTCTCCTATCCCTATCCCTGGCCCATAACTTACTGCTAGGCCTTGAGCCTTTCGGAATCAGGCTGTGGAAGGGTCATGCATGTGTGCTTCCCCTCCTGCAGGTGCGCACTCCATTTGCATGAGTGGCAGATGGGCTTGCTCGCCACTTGTGCAGAACTATCCCCTCCCCCCTCAAGCTGGTTCACATAGCCCAGGGGTCAGCAACCTGCGGCTCTAGAGCCGCATGTGGCTCTTTCACCCCTCTTCTGCGGCTCCCTATCACTCAAAATATGCGTCACAACCGCCAATGTGTGACACCTGCCGATACACGATTTATTAAGCTTTTCAGCCCCCGGTAGGCCAACCACGGATAAATCCAAGAAAAGAAAAGTTTCAGAAGAATGTTCTGTCCCCGTCTCACACACGCACACAAACAGATAGCCAGGGATTAAATAAAACTGGCAGACAACCAATTATTTCGATAAAAGGATTGGCAGCAACCCAGTAGCTGCTTGCCAAGAGCTTTACTCATAGAGGGAGGGGTTGTTCCTCCGAAAGATAAATCCAAACAAGATACACACAGTTCAAGAATTGTCAAGTCCAGTCCGTATTAAATCCAAGGCAGATAACGTTGTTTCAAAGATACAATGTGATTCGCTAGTAGTTAGTTTTGTCCGTCACAGAGTCTGAATGGCCACCTCACCCCCTTTTATCCCTTGTGGGGTGTGGTCCAGTGACTCAGCTTAATCTCTGGCACGCCTCCTTTTCTGCTGCTTGCGCTTGTCTCTCCGACGCTGGCGTGGATCCAGCCAAGACTTATCTCCGTCACTGTCCGACTGTGAGGAGATACCTGGCTCCTGGCCAATCTCTTCTCCTACGGGAGACACCTCAGGCATTGCCAGAGAGGAGGGTCCTGGAGAGGGAGGCCTGGCCAACTCCTCTCCTTCATGTTCGGAGCCTTCTCCCTCCGATAAGTCGGCCTCGGGGGTCGGAGTCACAACAAAGCAAACAATGTTTAATTCAAAGACATATGCTAGTTTTCTAGCCGCTCAAGGAATAGTGAGGCACGGGAAGGGTTTTGTGGCTCCTGGTGTTTTCTTTTCTGTGGGAAACAGGTCCAAAAGGCTCTTTAAGGTTGCAGACCCCTGACATAGCTGAAAAAGTTGTGGAACTTTGTCTTATAGAGGAAGGACAAGATACTCAAGGTTTTAATGATGGAGAGAAGATGCCAGCATTCTTTTTGTTGCTTGGGTTACATTGTGTGAAATGCACTGGGGAAGTGGGGAGAATGGTGGGGGTATAGATGAGGACAGTTTAGCCCCTAATATTGATTTTCCCCCCCCCCAACATTGCAATCATGGCTGTATTGCCTTTCTCTTTCAGGTAAGAAGACCTCTGGCAGACATCAATTCCTCCACGCCAGTGCAGGAATCATCGGGCAGAGTGAAGATCCTACATTGGATGGAGACCACCCAAGAAGGTGACTTCCTGGGAAAGGCCTATCAGGGTCCAGATTCAGGTATGTTCCAGAATTCTGGTGGTGCCTCTGATTTATGTAAAGTATCATTGAACCTCTGGCATAGCTCCCACCTTCCTTAAAACACACAAGCCCCAGTACCACATTGTTAGTATTATAGTTGGTTCAGGGGTGAAATGCAGCTCGCGCGGACCGGTAGCTCCAGCGGCGGGAGGTTCAGCGAGCCGGTAGCACTGGAGGCGGGAGGCTCCACTCATGTCGTCACGTCACGGTTTTAACCCTCTGCACATGCGCAAAGCCTTCCGCGTATGCGCAGAGAGTCAAAACCACGACATGATGACGGTGCGCGCATTTCCGAACCGGTAGGGAAGCCGGCTGCATTTTCACCCCTGGGTCCCTTTTCATTCATTAATGTTATTGATTAGCCCTTGGGCCAGTGGTGGGTTCCTCCCGGTTCGGTCCGGTTCGGCCAAGCCGGTAGCGGTGGCGATATGACGTCACCGAACCGGTTCTCCCACCCCCCGCCCTCCCACCCCCCCCACGTTATTCTTACTTTTTATTTGGTCCCACCCCCAATCTATTGCTGCCTCCTGAGTCCCAGCTGATGACTAGAGGGAAAAAAACTGTTTAAACTCTTGCCGCGGGACTTCAAAGGGCCGCCCTACAGCTGATCAGTGTTAAAAGCAAACAAATGAGTCGGGTCGTAAGTGCGAGGACTGGTCGTAAGTGCGAGGACCTTCCAGAAATGACTCTGACCAGCTAGCCACGCCCACCTAGTCACATGACCTCCAAGCCACACCCACAAAATAAGCCACGCCCACAGAACCGGTAGTAAAAAAATTTAGAACCCACCCCTGCCTTGGGCCCTATCAAAGTGCAGAGTTCCAGAAACAAATTATTACTAAAAATTTGAGAAAAGCAATTATAAAGTGGAATGGGATAAAATAAAATTTAAAATGAAATTGGAATAAAATGCAATAATTTAAGATTTAGATAAAATGTGATACAATTATATTTCGGTGTCACCCCTACAATCTATCCCAATCGGTCCCACATATGCAGATCTCAGCCGAAGCATTTTGCTCAAATCCTGTGCTGCGTTAAATGTTATTTTCAGATTCTGGCTGCACATAAAATAAGTTGTTTTGATATGGAGAGCCCAATGGGTCATCCGTTTGGTATATAGACGAAGGTACCCATCTCTCCCCTTCCTCCCTTTTGTTTCCTACCATTTGCTGTTTTTTTTAATATAGTTTATATTATAAGCTAATAAAACTATTAAAACCTGAGAAGTTTTTTTAGAAACCAAAAACCTCTGATCAGCAGCAGAGTTCTGTCTATATCAGCCCAAAACAATCACTCTCCCCTTTTAAAGACTCAAGGAGGGCAAACGCATTCCTCATCTCACCTGTTTTATTCATGACGATTCAAATACTGTAGAACAATCTTATTTATTTATTTATTTATTTATTTATTTATTTATTTATTTATTTATTTATTTATTTATTATTTAAATTTCTATACCACCCTTCTCCTTTCGGACTCAGGGCGGTGAACAGCCAAAAATAAAACATTTGTACACAAAAGTTAAAATAGTTTTAAAATAATTAAATAAAATTTGGCCCATAATTTAAAACATTTCAATTAAAATCAGTATCAAATTTTAAAACCAATATAAAATCAGGCCAGCCCGGCTAACTGAAAGAAATAAGTTTTAAGGGCCCGACGAAAAGTCCGGAGGTCTGGGATCACTCGTATCTCTGGAGGTAGATTGTTCCAAAGGGTAGGTGCCACTACAGAGAAGGCTCTCCCCCTGGGGGTCGCCAGCCGACATTGTCTGGCTGACGGCACCCTGAGGAGGCCTTCTCTGTGGGAGCGAACTGGCCGGTGGGAGGCAATTGGTGGCAGAAGGCGGTCCCGTAAATACCCCGGCCCTAAGCCGTGGAGCGCTTTAAAGGTGACCACCAACACCTTGAAGTGCACCTGGAAGTCCACCGGAAACCAATGCAGCTCGCACAGGAGAGGAGTCACATGGGAGCGCCATCTTGATGTAATTGAGACCAGAATGTCCATTGCTAACCACAATGCTTGTTAAGGGAGTCACATCCAATTTTACAAACGTTTTTGTCTACAGTTGTTAAGTGAATGACTTCAGTCCAGGGGTGAAATCCAGCAGGTTCTGACAAGTTCTGGAGAACCGGTAGCGGAAATTTTGAGTAGTTCAGAGAACCGGCAAACACCACCTCTGGCTGACCCCCGAGTGGGGTGGGAATGGAGATTTTGCAATATCTTTCCCCCAGGAATGGGGATTTTGCAGTATCCTTCCCCTGGAGTGGGGTGGGAATGGAGATTTTGCAGTATCCTTCTCCTGCCACACCCGCCAAGCCACAACACACCACGCCTGCCAAGCCAGGCCCACAGAACCGGTAGTAAAAAAAAATTGGATTTCACCACTGCTTCCGTCGTTAAGGGAGTCACATGGTTATTAAGCAAGTCTGCCTTCTCCCATTGACTTTGCTTGCTGGAAGCTGGCTGGGAAGGTCGCAGATGGTGATCGCATGACCCCAAGAGGCTGCAACCATTGTGAATGCTTACCACCGGTTGCCAAGCACCCAGATTTTGATCTCATGGCCAGGGGGATATTGCTATGGTTATAAGTGCAAGGACTGGTTGATTATAAGTCATTTTTTTCAATGTCGTTAACTTAGAACGACAAATGGTTGTAAATTGAGCACTATCTGTATGTAACTATGGTATGTTCTCCCTTTTATATTTTGGTTTCTTCCAGGATCGGGTAACTCAACGCTGGAATCTAAGGATGGTTTTTGGCTAGAAAGACCGAAGGAGATAAACCCCCATGGGAAATTATTGGAAAGAGCCCTGGGAAAACTCATCCAAGGCCCCAACGCTCAGGAGAGTCTCGAAATCAAGCAGGACATGGGCAGCTTACCGGAGATAAAGTCTGATTTAGCCTTGTTTTGTGACGAGGCGTCTATAAACGGACCTGCGAAAACCCTCCAAGGAAGAGAGACCAGTTTTGATCTCTCTGGAAACTTCCAGCCAAGAGCCGATCGTTTGGAGAATCAGAACGCGCCAATGGAAAGTGAACGGATCTATAAATGCTCCTATTGTGGGAAGTGCTTCGAGGACAGCTTAGACTTGGTGACCCACGAGAGAGCTCACATAGGAGAGAAGATTTACAGGTGCTCCCAGTGCGAGAAACGGTTCTCTCACCGAATCGACCTCCTGACCCACAAGAGAAACCACCAAGGGGAGAAGCCACACCAGTGTGAACGGGACTGCGCCAAATGCAACAGGCAGAGGACTTGCCCAAGGGCATCCCACCGAACGCGACCCGGAGAGCAGGCCTGTCAGTGCTCAATTTGCGGGGAATGTTTCAGCTGGAAATCCAACCTTATCAGACACCGGAGAATCCACACAGGGGAGAAACCCTATCGGTGCGCTGATTGTGGGAAAAGCTACACCCGTAAGACCGCGCTTGACAGACATAAAAGGATCCACGTGGGGGAGAAAACTTGTGAGATCGGTGCTCCGAACATGGGGCAAGCATCCGTGTTGGTCCTCCTTGTTTGAATCACGTGAGGTTGGCGAGAAATGCATCGCACTGTAGTAAACGTATTAAACGTGTTAGGAAGTTCAGCTAAATAAATTGGGATCAGTAAATTCGTCGTTAAGTGGTGCGATTGCTAAATGAGGCTTCAAGTGACCACGTCCAATTTTATGACCTTTTTTTTTTTGCCATGGTTGTTAAGAAATTTGCAGAGCAACCCTTGAGTAGCAAGGGTGTGCACATGAAAGTGATTGAGAGTAGTTACGAATAAAACACAGCCAACACACAGATACACTGAGTTACGTTTACTTTTAGGAAAATAGTAAGGCACAGTCCAATAAACAGTCCAGGTCATACATGTATAAAGCAGTAGATAGTAAAACAATAGTCCAGGGATAGTCCAATAACAAAGTCTTCTTACCAGTCGTTGTAGTCATACACATTAACAGTTGCAAACAGTAGCAAAGAGCAGTAACGAGCAGTAACGATCAGCAAATAGCAGCAAATAGCAGCAGAGAGCAGTAGAGAGAAACAAACCATGTTTCAAGCTCCCTTTTAAGGACATTGGCTACAGAGCTAACCAATCAGGACACAGTATGATGCAATACAGCAATACATTAGTCTTAAAGCTATATTGATGGTTTATATATTGCCAACCCAACAAGTTAGGTGAAACCATTTCCTAACAATGGTCATTCAGTGAAACACACAACTGTTAAGTAAATCACATGCTCGTTAAGCAGATCTGGCTGTCCCTTGACATGGTCAGTTGGAAGCCGGCTGGGAAGGTGGCAAATCCCAATCACGTGACTGCAGAACGAGACAACCTTTGTAAATGCCAGTTGCCAAGCGCCTAAATCCCAATCGGGGTGGCAGTGGGGGCGGGTGCAACAGTTGTAACTCTGAGGAAGGATCATGGGTCACTTTTTTCAGTGCCGTTGTAACTTCAAACTGTCATTAAACAAATTGTTGTAAGTTGAGGACTATCCATGTAGCAATAGCACTTATATTTATATACCACTTCATAGTGCTTTACAACCCTCTCTAAGAGGTTCACAATGTTAGCATATTGCCCGCAACAATCTGGGTCCTCATCAGTGATGGGTTGCTTCCGGTTCGGCCGAACCGGTAGCAGTGACGATATGACGTCACCGAATCAGTTCTCTTTGTCTGGGAGAAGGGCCATCCCGCTCGCACCCGCGTTATTCCTATCTTTATTTCTTCTTTTGTAGCCCAGCTGATAGGTGTGGCAGAGTCGATTGCCACACCTCAGCTGGGCAGATACCTAACGAGCTTGCGCGGAGCGCAAGTTTGGCGCACATGCGAACGAAGCAAGCATGCCCGCGACGATTGCGCACGAAGCACGTACACGAAGAGAACCGGTAGTAAAGCCGGTTGGAACCCACCACTGGTCCTCATTTTACGGACCCCAGAAGGATGGAAGGTTGAGTCAACCTGTCAAGGCTGACTCGGAATCTATCTATCGACAAGAGCCTGTAGTACAGTGGACTAAAGCACTGTTATTAACAGATTAACATCTTCTGCTTGCAATTACTGCAAGTTCAAATCTCACCAGGCTCAAGGTCGACTCAGCCTTCCATCCTTTCTAAGGTGGGTAAAATGAGGACCCAGATTGTGGGGGCAATAAGCTGACTTTGTATAAAATATACAGAAGTATGAAGGCTATTGCTTAACGCATTGTAAGCCGCCCTGAGTCTCCGGAGAAGGGCGGCATATAAATTAAAGCAAAAAAAAATAAAATCGTCGCCTTCAATTCTGGCAGCTTAACAATAGAAACAGAAGAGACGGGTGGAATCCTGGGAGGAGTTGGGGGAAGAGCTGAAGGAGCCAAGCGAGCCAGCTGAGTCTGAGAAAGTTCCTATGCTTCAAGGTCCTGTTATGAGAACTTTTCAAATGACACAGACATGTTTCCCAAAACACAAAAGAATTCATTGGATTGGCGGACGGTGGACGGTGGATGGCCGAAAGGGGAAATTTGCCTATGCCGCTTTCTGTGGGAGCCTTTAGAACTGGTTCTGCTTTTTCCGTGCCTATATGGATCTATCAGTAAAGTTATACCCTTGGTAAAATTATGTCCCAGGAGGTTTTTTTTCTTCTATATATGTCAATGGGACAGTTGATACAGCTTTGAGCTGGTGAGAATCGAACTGCCGGCAGTCGGCAGAATTAACCTGCAATACTGCATTCTCACCACTATGGCTCATGAGAACTTGGCTTTCATTCTGGCCACAGCGTCTGGAACGGTGTAGCCCAGAAACAGATTTGTCTCCTTGGTAAGGGATGAAGTTGCTGAATCCAGGAGTAAAACACCAGTGATGTTACAGGAATAGTACAGTTTCAGTCCGCAAGAAACAATTGGGTTAACAGGACAATGCATACGTAGTGGGAAGACAAGCTGAACAGCGGGAGGTAAGGCTGACGGGGGAGTCACCTTACCTCTCGCTTGGCTCTATGGGCATTGGGGAATGTTAACGCACCTCATGCTTAATCCCCAATGCCTCTTCCAGGTGACCCATGGACTTCTTGCCTAAATACTAAATACGCTGCATACAAACACTGAACAGAGGCGGCAGTTCTGGGACAAAGCAGCAAAATAGGGGGAAGAAAATACAGGTAGTCCTCGACTGATGATCACAATCGGGCCCAACGTTTCTGTTGCTAAGCGAGACAATACGCTGATGATACTCAGCTGAACATCTCCACCCCAGACCACCCCAACGATGCCCTTGATGTGATGTCTCGCTGCCTGGAGGCCGTGCGGGTCTGGATGGGGAGAAATAGGCTCAGACTCAACCCCTCCAAGACCGAGTGGCTGTGGCTTCCGGCATCCCGATATAGTCAATTGGTGCCATCGCTCACTATTGGGGGCGAGTCTTTACCCCCCACAGAGAGGGCTCGCAATCTGGGCGTCCTCCTGGACGCATGGCTGTCTTTAGAAGAACATATGACGGCCGTGGCCAGGGGGGCTTTCTATCAGGTTCGCCTGATTCGCCAGTTGCAGCCCTTTCTGGATCACGACATCTTGCGCACAGTCACTCACGCCCTTGTCACCTCCCGACTGGACTACTGTAATGCTCTCTACATGGGTCTCCCCTTGAAAAGCACCCAGAGGCTCCAACTGGTCCAGAATGCGGCCGTGCAGGTAGTTATGGGCGCAACTCGTTGTGCCCACGTGACACCCCTCCTGCGTGAGCTGCACTGGCTCCCAGTGGTCTTCCGGGTGCGATTCAAGGTGTTGGTTACCACCTTTAAAGCGCTCCATGGCATTGGACCTGGATACCTTCGAGACCGACTTCTGCCACCAATAGCCTCCCACCGGCCAGTCCGCTCCCACAGAGAGGGTCTCCTCAGGGTGCCATCGGCCAAGTTATGTCGGCTGACGACACCCAGGGGGAGGGCCTTCTCTGTGGGAGCCCCTGCCCTTTGGAATGAACTGCCCCCGGAAATGCGTCAGATCTCCGATCTCTGTGTATTTCGCTGTGCCCTCAAACCCTTGTTGTTCCGCCAGGCTGGGCTATCAATGTCAAGATTTTAATTGGTTTTAAATTTGGGATTTTAAATTTGGGGGTTTTATAATTGAGCCAAATTATTTAATAATTTTAATTATTTTTAAATTTTGTCTGTCTTTGTGCTTTTAATCAGGCTGTACACCGCCCTGAGTCCTTCGGGAGAAGGGCGGTATAGAAATAAAATTAATAAATAATAAATAAATAAATTTGATAACTGAGTTTTGCCCCATTTTATGACCTGAATCGGAATCAGAATAGAGCTGGAAGGGACTTTGGAGGGACTTCTAGTCCAGCCCCCAACTCAAGCAGGAGACCCTATACTCCATTCCAGATAAGTGGCTGTTCAGTCTTTTCTTAAAAAGACTCCAGTGATGAAGCACCCACAACCTTTCTTGTCATAGCTGTTAAAGTGAATCACTGCACTTAAGTTAGTAACACAGTTGTTAAGTAAATCTCGCTTCCCCATTGACTTTGCTTGTCGGAAGTTCGCAAAAGGGGATCACGTGACCCCAGAGTAGTGCAACCAGTGGTGGGTTCCTCCCGGTTCCGCTGAGCCGGTAGCGGTAACGATATGATGTCACTGAACCAATTCTCTTTGTTCGGGAGCTGGGCCCTCCCGCCCCCACCCCCGCGTTATTCTTACCTTTTATTTGGCCCCGCCCCTAATCTATTCGCTGCCTCCTGAGTCCCAGCTGATGGCTAGAAGGAAAAAAAAACTGTTTAAACTCTTCCCGCAGGGCTTCAAAGGGCCGCCCTACAGCTGATCAGTGTTAAAAGGCAGTATGGTGGTAGACCAGGATGCTCGAAAAACAAATGGGTAGACCGGTACAGCACTGCAAGCAGTTAAAAGCCTGGTAGACCAGTACCTCTGCTAAATCCTAAAGAATTGTCACATGACCATCAAGCCACGCCCACAAAATAAGCCACGCCCATAGAACCGGTAGTAAAAATATTTAGAACCCACCCCTGAGTGCAACCATCATAAATATGTCGCCTGCCAAGCGTCTGAATTTTGATCATGTGATCATAGGGATGTTACAACAGTTGTAAGCGGAAAAATGATCATAAATCACTTATTTATTTATTAGTTCGATTTATATATCCCACCCTTTTCCGGAGACTCCGGGTGGCTTACAATGCATTAAGCAATAGCCTTCATACTTTTGTATATACCTGCTTAGTAGGGCTTTCGGGGGGCCCCCTAAGCGGTGTTCTTTTTTATACAAAGTCAGCTTATTGCCCCCACAATCCAGGTCCTCATTTTACCTACCTTGGAAGGATGGAAGGCTGAGTCAACCTTGAGCCTGGTGAGATTCGAACTCGCAGTAATTGCAGGCAGCTGGCAGCTAAGTGCTACTTTAACAGCAGTAGTTTAGTCCACTGCGCCACCCAGGCTCTTTTCAGTGCTGTTGTAATTTTGGCCACTAAACGAACTGTTGTAAGTCAAGGACTACTTGATATGACGTGATGGAGGCAATTGGTAGAATAAAGTGATGAAAGAAATAAGAATATGAAATAATATTTTCCAGGAAGAAAGAGCCCAAACACTGCAAAAATAGCAACACAGCTCAGTTTTTCACCCTTCCAATATACAGTGTGGGACTAATCCTTTCACCCCCAAATCCTGCACCCAGAAGGAAAAGGTGTCGACGAGGGTGGGATTCGAACCCACGCGTGCAGAGCACAATGGATTAGCAGTCCATCACCTTCACCACTCGGCCACCTCGTCAAGGGGACGGGGCACCCACGGCCGTCCCTGGGTGGGCTTGAACCACCATCCTTCTGGTTAACAGCCAGACGCGCTAACCCCTTGCGCCACAGAGACCTGGCACAGGCCTCCGCTTGACTCTCTCTCAGGTGTAGCAGCTGCTGAAGGACAAATGGGGCTCCCTCCCCCTCCCCTCTGGGGGTGCACACTGTCAGTGCCAGATTGATGCAACAGAAGCATCTCCTGCCACAGAGATGCCGGCTTTGGCGTCAGTCCCCACACCAGGAGAGACCAAATGGGAATTTTGTTTTCTAATAGATGGCTGCCTGCTGGCTAAATATGTCTCCAAGCAGCTCTCGTTTTTCCAGGCTGGCAGCTGCACAATCAACCACGTCTTGTTTTGCGTCTCTAACATCTCTTGGCCTTGAGTGCCAAAGCCCTTCTATGTTTCATGCTTCTGCTTCTCAACCGACTTGGTAGGCAAACAGTCTCAGCAACTGCCCAGGCATTGAGGAGGCATTAATGTTACGTTTGTGTGAGTCAGATCTGAGTATCGGCTGCTGCTCCTCTCCTCCTCCTCCTCCTCCCTTTTGTCTTCCTAGAAGTAACATGCAGGTGGCCTAATCTTTGCAACAGGCAGCAGTTTCAGGACCCTGGAGAGCTCCCGCCGAGGACCTCTTCAGGATGCCTTATGCCTCTCCAGCACTTCTCCCTCCCAAGGAAGAAGCTCAGGACACTGGGGCGATTC